AAACGGCTCGAACAATTTTCCGGGCAACGGTGTAAAAGGAATTTTTACCGAGCTCCTGGATACGGTAATGTCTCCCTAATTGACGCTCGGATTGTCCACAAAAATGGACAATTTGGAAAGGGAAGCCTTGCGAATTCGAGCCTTACGACTCGTTTTTATAGTTACCGATTGCCAACGATTATAAAAACATTAGTGCAAAGCCGGAACAATCGTATCCCCTGTTCCCACATTGTCCATTTTTCTGCACAATCTGAGCGTCAGTAAGGGAGACATTACTGTAAGCGACAAGTACAGTAATGTCTCCCTTACTGACGCTCAGATTGCCAACGATTATAAAAACATGGTGCAAAGCCGGAACAATCGTATCTCCTGTTCCCACATTGTCCATTTTTCTATACAAACTGGTAAACTGGATTACACCCGGCAAATTCTCGCTGATCGACGCTCGCATTGTCCACAAAAATGGACAATTCGTTTTCACAATTGTCGATAATCCTTAACGATAAAAGCGAGAACTCGGATTTATCGTCTCCTCTTCCAAAATTGTCTATTTCTGTGGGGCAATCCGAGCGTCGATTAGGGTAGAATTTGCTGCAATTAGAAGCGTTTCTAATCGCGATCGTAACTCGACGATCCGTCTTTGCCAAATTTTGCCGAACCTTTTCAGGCCGCAGAAATGTTCTCAGTTCGAATATTCGCACGTGACACTTCTCCAAGCCATGGGTCCGGTGAAATTTCAAAACGTTCGCGCATCATTACGCGATTCCTCCGTCTTCGCACGCACACATTTCCTCCTTCGCGAATGCTCGCGTCGCGCCGTGGAGAGGAGGGCACGAAAGTCGGTCATTGTATTCTTTATTGATTCATACGTAAGAGAAACGTATCACAGAGGGGATATTGAACCTTTTCCGAAAACCTCTGTGCGTGTGCGTGTCACAGAAATCGCGACGGGAACCGATGTCGAACCTGTTACGAAACCGGCGCACACGTTTTCTCGTTTCCAGAAAGAATCCGCGCGATTTCTGCCGGCCAGAAAATGCACCGGTTTCGTCCGCGATTGAATCGCGAATTTTATACGTTTATTAGTCTGTTTCATTAGAATTCTCGAACGAAGAAATGAATTTATTTTGCACGATCGTAAGAAATGTTCTCGAATTACACGATTTATCGCGGCGCGACTGCAGCGCGGAACTTTACGCGGAACGGAAACTTTTTACTTGAAATTGCGACGAACAGGAACGAGATAGAAATTTCCTTCTTCGTTCGTTACTTTTAGCGAGTTATTAATAACACATAGACGATTCTAAATTCTCCGTTATCTTATTTATCGTGCCGCGCGAATTCTGACGACTCTATTTCTCGACGAAGGAAATCGTCGTTGACACTGTCTCGTCATTCGCTCGAGGAGAAAACGTGGCCATAACGAACATAATTCACCGGGGAGACGCAGGGCCTGCAGTATACTTATTATTATATATGTGCTGAAAATTTATCGATTTTCTCTGCCGACTTTCACCGGTCCGCAAAAGGGCATTTTCTATACGCGTTTCGAAGCTCGCCGTCTCACGTTTTGCTACCCGCCGTGTGCCGCCGTGGCAACGCGAAGAATAATAGAACCTCCACTTCTGTGCCGGTCGAAGCTTTCACTTGATTTCACAGGTTGAACGTTAATTGTGCCGGTTAATAAAATCTACAGCCTTGTCTTGAGATCCCGTGGATACAAAATCGGTATACCGAGCTCGAAATTCAAATTTCGGTGAAAGCAGACACAGGCGACACACAGAGAGCCGCTGCTAATTGGCCGGCAGTTAAGTTTAACGAACACGTTGCTCTATGGTGTTACACTGGATCTACGCTGGTTCGCCATAGATTTAATCGCATCGGTTTATTCGACTAATTGCTTTTCGTGTTTCGGCACACTTTCGAGTCCACCATTGTAAAAATCTTCGACAACCAGATCGCTGTGTTCGACGAGTATACTCGTCACGGGGAAGTAGCAGTATTTTGCGTCACGACGAGTATGCTCGTCACCGAGATATGGCAGTATTTTGCGTCATGACGAGTATACTCGTCGTGGAGAAGTGGCAGTATTTTGCGTCACGACGAGTATACTCGTCACGAAGAAGCGGCGGTATTTTATGTCTCGTCGAGTATATTCGTCACGAAGAAATTGCAGTATTTTGCGTCACGACGAGTATACTCGTCACGGAGAAATAGCAGTATTTTGTGCCAGGACGAGTATACTCAAAATTATTACAAAACACAGTGACCATTGGTTCTTTAAATTGCAATTTTAGCGAAAACGAACAATTCAAGATGTTTAGAATATTTTTAGGCGAATCCTACTGCTTCCAAAATACTCCTTACAAAATAAAAATTGTCCGAATCGCAACTCTGAAAACAATGTGACGATATATCTTTAAGATTGCTTCAATGTCCGTGCATTTTTCTATTCGATCGATCACTTTCCTCGTAAATTCATAAAAATCGCAGTCTAATAATTACCGTGGATCGCGTCGCTTTCGTCGTTAGCTGTGCCATTCGAACGCTCCTCGAAAGATCGGCGCCGAACGATAATATTCGATTAGAAAAGCATAGCACCAATAATACGCGCTCGTAAACGATACGAACAATTTCCAAAGCTGCGGAACGCTCGTTCGATAGAAAATAAGAGTAAGAAGAATGTTCAAGAAGTCGGTTTATAACCGCGCGCAACGACTGGAATAACGCGGAACGAGTTTTATCAACGAGTTCCCGACGGAAATTCTTATGAAATGGATACGAATATCGACGATTGAATGTCGAACGGAATCTGTAATATCGTTCGGCGAGTTCTTACAATTTTCTGCACGGTGCTTCGCGAATTCTATCGTTCTTAAAGGTACTACGTTTTTTTTTAATGTTTAAAAAATATGTGCCACATCGTCGGTCGCAAAATTCTACGTCTGCCGAATTCCAAATATGTACAGTAAATGCTCCCTGATTTTCTTTGAGCTTGTGAACAAATATGGACAACTTGGGAAGAGGAGATATAATAATATATAATAATAATATAATAATATATTATTATAATATATAATAATATAATAATATATTATTATAATATATAATAATATAATATATAATAAGAATATAATAATATAAAATAATAATAATATATAATACAAATTATATATTAAATTGAATATATTCAATTAAATATGCATTATAAATTATTATAAAATGTATCTTTCCAAATCGTCCATCTGTGTTTACAAGCTCGAGAAAAAATTGTGGAGAATTTACTATATACTCCAGAAAACCTAAACGATTTGCAATCGCCAAAGAAATCGATTTTTTTTCCGATTAAAATTCGACGAAGAAATCGCGTGGCATTTGTTCGCTCGAAAACGCTGAATTAGCGTTTGGGGATCGTTGGCAAGAATGTGAAAAATTGTTTAACCTCTTGCGCTGTAACGAGTGCGCTGTAACGAGGCGAAACCGGTAACTTATTGCCGAGACTCCGGCGTACAGGAACGGCATAATTTCGTCGAAGGAAAGGCCGCAACGGGGAAAGAGAGAGAGAGAGAGAGAGAGAGAGGGAGAGAGAAAAAAAAAGAATCGGGAACGAGCGATTGCTAAGAGATCCGACATCGGTTCGAGTCAAATGAATGCATAAGTGGCCGGCTCCGTGCATCAGGTGCACCGATTTCGATCTCGAGTTACAATGCGAATGCGGTAACCTGTTGCAAAATCTTGAAACGGGGCTGACAAATGTGAGAAAAATCCGAAGACGCGAGGAGGACAGGAACGGGGTTGTGCAATCATCGCTGGATAGGCAAAGCATCGGACTTGCGAGATCCTCTTAGAATCCCAGACTCGCAAGGTTTGCAGCGCCGTCCGAAAAGCTTGCTCGATCTGAAACAGAAAATGAAAATGATATCGATTGAGATCGTTATGAAAAAAGAAACAGATAACTTATAAATTACAATGTAAAAAAGTTCGATATAAATAAAAAAATTTATAATATAAAAAACAGAGGTTCCACTCGAGAGAATGAGAGAGGAGAGAATCGAAACGATTCGAAGAACATGTCGACGAGACACGTAAATGCGGCGGGACACACCTGATCGCCCGGTACAACGTGGAAAGTTGCAAAACGCAACCGGTAGAATTCGCGAGACGTTCGCGGGCAGCCTCGCTGCACTACAAAACCAAACAATCTCTGCTTCCGACAGATACAATAGTCGGATCAAATTCAACCGGTTGGTCAAGGCCGCTTTCTCAAGTATAAATCACGCCAGGAACGACTGACTGCTCGGTCCACGCCGCATTTTCTATCGAATTGGTTTCGCTATTTAAAAAGACATCATCGGCGCGACGCGCTCACGGAACGCTGTTCGGAGAAAGGTCGTGAAACAAATGACGGATTCGATTCGCCACGGATAACGGCGTGCTACGGTTTTTTTCGGACGAATGCGGGATCGTTGTAAATCATTTTAAACGCAACTGGTTGAAGTACAACGCATTTGAAACACACATTCATATTCTATATTTCATACCTTCTATTTCATATTTTATATCTCGTATTCTGTATTTTACACTCTATATTTCATATTTTATATTTCGCAGTCTGTATTTCATATTTTATATTTCTTATTCTATATTTTATATTTCATATTTCATACTCTATATTTCATATTGTATATTTCATACTCCATGCTTCAACTGGCATTAAATGCTATTCCATATTTATCGACTTTCCGCTAAAAGTAGCAATTAGAGCTGCTAGGATCTAGTTGGAGAATTCTTTAGCTCGTTTTCTGGCAGAGTGGTCCCCCGCGGTTCCTGGAAACACGATAGTCGGTTTCTTTCTCTCTCTCTCTCTCTCTCTCTCTCTCTCTCTCTCTCTCTCTCGGAGTTAGCCGCCGCGAAATGAATCAAAACGAGAGCAGCAAAGGAGGCGAAAAGGGTAAACGCAGCACGGAATACGGGACATGGTGAAAAAGAAAGCTAAACTCGGTCTCACGATACTTTACGGTACCTTTCTCCCGGCCGCCGCTACGATAAAGCCACCTCTCTCTTTTCCTCTCTTTCACCGAGCTCTCCTCTTCGCCTTCCATCCGCTATACACAGTCGAACGTTGTCCCGTTTCCCGTTCGCGCGAGCTTCGAGGCGTGGTTGAACCGTATGGACAACGGGTTACGCGGCTGTCACGATTTTTTACGCATCGGGAAACGAATTGATCGAGGAGAAATAGGGCTTTTTGCACGCGTCCCCTCTACCCATCTGTTACGATCCGCGCCGCGCAATGTTCTTTCATTTCCGTATCGTTTCGCCGATCGGAATCGTCGTTTCGGATTCGACCGCAGCCTCGGGGAGTCGATTAACGATCGCGATTCCCGGGGGAAACGATATAATTTTATGAACATGTAATTATTATTTCAGGCTGGCAGAAAATTAGAGATAATTAAATGATTCTTAGTGGCCTCATGTTCATAAATTGACCGAACAACGTAGGATCTAATTGCGAACGATGCGATTACTGCGATCAAGTGCGAGTACTTTGGTTCACAAGCTTCATAAATCTTGTTCATAAATTTGTTTAACAAGGTTCGACCTAAGCGTGGCCGACAACAGCTTGGCAGAAAGTGTGCGATTCGTCGAAGCTCGAGAAACAATTAATATCTCGATCTCGTTAGATTTAATTAACCAGTTATTATAGTTTATCGCAGACGTGTCTCAGCGTTGTTTAAACCACGGTCAGCTGGACGCACGGCCACACACCCACATTCGATCACACATGTGGTCAAAAAACAGAGGACGATGCCCTCGACGCCCACGCTTGCCATGCTTCTCCCTCGGTCCACCTGCTACCATTTTTTCTCGCAGCTGTTAATGTTTTAACAGTGGGCGTTCATGCGTTCGCGGCGCTCCTTAAACTGAACAGAGCGGGTTAATCAGCAGTTTAATAAGTATTAACAATATTCATAGGTCGCTATTAAGGCGACAGTAATTCTGCTTACTTAAACTTCTCTCCAGATTGTTTACGTAACTTGTTGCTGCTCGAAGCTTTGCCTCTTTTCGATCGTGAATGGGGATAAATAAATTTGATACCTCCTCTTCCCAAATTGTCCATTTTTGTTTCCAAGCTGTGGATCAATTACGGAGAATTTACTGTATTTTTCATTTATCTTTTTATTTATTTTTTTAATTATTTATCAATATTATATGTAATATTATATTATATATAATATATATAATATAGTATATTATAGTATAGTATATAGTATTATAGTATATTATTACATTATTATTATATATAATATTATCACTGTATTTATAGCTAACGCGAGTAATTGTTGCAATAAACAAACATCGTGGAACCGGAGATGGTCAAGACGGTGAATTCGCAGAAACGATCGCAGAAAAATTGCGGAACAGCGTTCACAGTCGACGGGCTGCCAAGATTCAGCGCATTCGGCAGCCATTGTCCTCGATTTTTCTTTGACCGACGATTAGTCGGCACGTGTTATCCTTTCGAGCAGGGATAACGAGGCGTCTCTACAATGGGATGTAACCACCAATTAGCAGACTTTCCTACTAATTGTCTAGCAAACACCCTCGCTATGATTCAACTGCCATTCACACATACATACATACGTTTTTTCTCCGCACTGTTCTGCCCTGTACCATACATTTATCTTGCAACAATGACATTTGCGTTGGTTATGCAAAGGGACGGCAGCCTAAGTTAGTATCGTCGCTATTCATTTTATATTCGAAATTTACTCGAAGTCGACGCGATCCAGCTGTAACAACGAAAGATTCCGATTCAGGTAGGTTCTCTCTCTCTGGAATTTTCTCTCTTTCGAATGCTCGGCCGAACGAAGAGAAAACCTTATTATATGTTAGCTTCGAGAAAAAGAAATCCTCGTCGACGCAGAAACCAGGGACTCGCCGAAGTGTGTCACGGAGGAACGATTAAGAGAACGTAACGTAGGATCAAATTGCACGTTGAGAAATCTAGCGTGACGATGCGATGCGCGACATCTTCCGGTAATATGCAGATCAACGGTCGCGTGCGCCGGTCTTCTGCGCCGGTCTTCTGCGCAACAAGGGAATCGCCGGTAGTCCCGGCCCGTTTACATGTAACCCTCGACGACGTCTTTCCCTCGCGGATCACGGCGAGTTCTCCCTAATTGTCGCTCAGATCGTGCACAACAATGGACAATTTGGGAGGAGAAGGTACAATTCGAGGAGGTATTCGAGCCTTGCGGCTCGTTTCTGTAATTGTTGACGATCGGTAACTATAAAAGTAAGTCTTAACTTTTACGCAATAACTTCTTCTCAAGTTCCCCATTTCTGTTTACAAGCTGAGACGACGCTTCGAAACGAACAAGATCGGTCTGCCGAATATTCTGCGATAACTCTGCAGGGATGATTCGTCGATTATCGAAACGGCGATGCAATTATTATGCAATTATTAGCCTCCGAACAATCGAGAATCCGAGCAAATTCTCTCGAATATACGAAATTAGGTAAGATTACGACATACATGTTATTTTATCGTCATGCGATTTATTGTTTATTTTGTGAACTGTTTCACAGTTATTTTACTAATGATAAAATAATAAGATGAATCGAATAAAATAAACCACGTCGACCAAAGTTTACCAAGAACTGTGAACGATTTCATAACATAGAAATGTTTGGACGGTGGTTCAACGTTGAAGGAAGGCGAACGTTAAAGAATGAACGAACAAACGTGCAACAGAAATATTAATGTTACGTTTTGCGTTACGTTGTTGCTTTTCAGAGCTATCGCGTGGAATTTGTTTCCGCGTAGCTCGCCGAAAATTCGCGAAATCCTGCGGCCGTGTTCGCCATTCGGATAACGGAGCGCTTCGGAGTAAAGCGATAGAGAGCGTGCCGTAATTATTGAAACGGGTGTGCTCGCGTTTAATGCGATCGCCGCGGTAACAAGACGAAACGTTACGAAAGCTTGTAGAATAACGTTTGACGTAACGCAAGAAAGGAAAAGGATGAGCCGGCGATCGGCAACGTTCGTGAAGAGAGAAGGTAGGAGGGTGAGGGGCGCGGGTATTGCGAGCGGGATATCAATCGACTGTATAATCGGCCGAATAATTACATTCTCCTCTTTAATAGGCAATCCGGCGAATCGATTTCTCTGGCCGCAAAGAGTCCGCAATTAGACGTGTTCGTCCGCGACAGCCGAGCGATACCGCGGTTGGCTCGCGAAAATCTGGAACGCCGATCATCGGTGAAATTTTCATGGATCGTCGGTCCCGTTGGTCTAGTGCTCCAGTCGATCGAACGCTGTTCGTCACGCAGCCCGCCAATTATTGCCGAAACTAATTAATTTCTCCTCCTCGGCCATCGCTGATCCGCTTCGAAAGCAAGAAAGTGTGAAGGAGGCTTGCTGAAAAGTCAAGACGCGGAGTCCGCCGAGTGCGACAGGTTTATTCGGGACGAAGTTGTAACAATTTGTTAACAAGTTTAATTATCGGGCTGAATTTACAAGTTATCGTGACAGAAACGAAAGTCGTACGGGCGAATTTGAAAACGTTGCTGCGCTGTTTTTGGAATTTGTTCGGTAACGAAATACAGTAATTTCTCCCGGAAATGCCGAGCGTCGGGTTGCCGTGAATTTCCCTGTGCTGGTCCGACGCCTATGCGATTTAGGGTCGACGGAGCCGCGACTTAGCATTCTCAGATCTGGTTTCAATTCCGACATCCGAACATTTCTGAGAGAAATCATTGTACATATTTATTTAATTTCTATTTCTGACAAGTAGATTAGACAATTTTGATCTTGCATAAAAATTCACATATTGTTGCTAGTTGATTTAGAAGAATCTAATTCATTTTGGAGAATACTAAACAGCACGTCGCTATGGAAAAAGATGATTATGCCATAAAATAGACAGACTGTAGAGTATTTATCGCTAGCACGAATACGTCTATATTATGCTAATTAATTAATGCGCATGGGTTAACGTACCGCGCTGTTTTAAAACGTGCTCTCGATAATGACGAGTGGACGGTAGATTGTTCGTGCTTTCATCGCGTGAATTCGCAAGATTCTTTGGATGCCGACGAACAGACTTCGTGCAAACTATCGCCTCCGACTTTAAGAAAACGTCTTTCATCGGCTGAAACATAACTTTCTACAAACACGAAACAACATCACCGAACGAACACAAGACAATCTCTCGTGTTCTACGAATTTTACGCATCGACTGGATCGAAGCAGAAATCGTAAAGATATCGGAATTTATTATTGAAACTGATTAAAAGCGGATGAACTTTCCGATCCGACTGGCGCGTTTCTTGCAACGAACGGTCATCGACGGTTTCCGTTTCGCACAAAAATCCGCAGCCCGGTCGCAGATTATGCAGAACGCTCCAGAAGAATGCTACAGCGATCTGCATAAACGATTCCGCGAATCGGAACGGCGTGCTTTTAAAGCATTATCGAAAGTATTGTTCCCTTCCCTCGAGGAATGTCGGATGTTGTAATCCGGATAAATCATGGCAGCGTCAAGTAAACGCTGGAGATTATTGTCATATCGAGTTACAGACGGTCGACTCGCTGGATAACAGAACGCGAGACCGACGAGAGAAGTCGTGCAGAGCGCGGCGTTGTAAAAGAAAAAAAAAGAAGGTGCACTAAAAGCGCTGCATAGAAATCTCTCTTTCTCTCTCATTCTGGCTTTCTTCCTTTCCTCGTACGCCGGCCACGTGTTTTCTCTTTCCCCCGAGTTTGCACGTCTCTGCATACTCGCCGAGCATGCACCGCATAACGCCGTGCTCACCTCGGTTATGCGAGTTTGCTGCAGGATTTATGGTCTTGCGGATTTCGATTCTGCGAGAGGTGTTGCGAGCAAAATAACTTCGGAACGTATACAGAGTGTCCCAGAATTGTGGTACTTCCGGGAAATGATGGATTCCTGAGGTGATTCGAAGTAACTTTTTCCTTAGCGAAAATGCAATCCGTGGCTTCGTTTACGAGATATTAAGGAAAAACAGTGGCCAATGAGACGGCGAGATCAGCTAATGCGAGGCGGCCGAGCCAATGAGTGTAACTGGGCGTCGTCCGCTCGTTAGCGCGGCCGCCTCGCGCCAGCCGAGCTCGCCTCTCATTGGTCACTGCTTTTTTGTTGATAACTCGCGAACGATGCCTCGGAGAAAATTTTTCCAAAGGAAAAAGTTACTTCGAATCACCTCAGGGACCCCTCATTTCCCGGAATTCACCATAATTTTGGGACGTCCTGTACACAGTGCAGCAGTCGATCTTGAGATTTTCAGGAACTTAATTAAATCTTACATAAATCTTAATTAAACGTTGCTCGACCACACACATTGATTTTCAACAATTTTCATACCTGAAATATTGTGTTCGGATCTCGATCGGTTCATTGGAAGATTAAAAATCGCATCTCAACTGTTTTAGGTCGCAGGCGAATTCGTGCGACGAAAATCCTGGCACGAATTTCATAATACGAATAATGTACGTGGACTTTCACGCGACTCAATTCACGGATGCCGTAAATGCGCGACCACGTTCGTCGGGAATAGTTCGCGCGGTTTTCCTTCGCGTTCGTCTAGAAATCAATTACAACAGGTAACCCTTCTATAACACGGTGGATAGGTTCCTAGAAAATGCCGCGTGAAACCCTGTTATACGAGACCCAGAGAGCCGGTACCGAGAACTTATTAAAAACAATCATTATTTTTAATTCTACGCAAGCAATTTAAATTCTATTAAAAAGTAAACGCGTGTATAACACGAAACGAGAAAAAGAAAGAAACAAAAGATATTGTTTTAATTTAATTTAACCCTTTGCACTCGTAGCGATTTTAACTGTAAATTTAAATTAACTTTTCTGACTTATAGTATTTCCATTTGTGACTTATACAACAGTCGGACTTTTAACAATTCTTTTTATATCTAAGCTTTGATAGTGTAAGAATTATCTTGGAACGTGGCGTAACAATTTTAGCGGTGCCTCGGAGTCACCACTCGGGTGCAAAGGGTTAATCATTTTCTTAATAATTTTAATAATCGTTTTCTGAACCTTATTGTTTGTTCAGATCTTTTGCACCTTCTCTCCTCTTTAAGAAATCTGTAAATTTACTTTGTTTGCTGGCTCTTTCAAGGTCATTGTATATATTTATACACCCTTAATTCTAATAATTATTATATATTTTCAGGCACTATAGTTCGTTATTCCTTCCGTCGTTATTTCAAGGTAACTCAGTTTTTAGATCTATTAAACAAGAATTATGCTGGCCAGTGCTGTAGAAGTACAGTGCCGTGCAAAGATTTTCGCAATTTATCCAGTCGTGTTAAAACGAAACCGTGTTACAGGTTGCAACGGTGTACGAGGGTTCCCGGCAATTTATCCAATCGTGTCACAGAAGCGAAACCGTGTTACAGGATGCCGCGTTGTAGGATGGGCTACCTGTACCTAAAATTTCAAGGCCGTCGCTGCGGCGATCAAATTTGTACACGACGCGTGTACCAGACCGTTTTAAAGAGAACGAGCGCGCGCGCGCGAGCGGAATACAACTATCCGCGAGAGAGAGAGAGAGAGAGAGAGAGAGAGAGAGAGAGAGAGAGAGAGAGAGAGCGTTGCGACAACGACGAGCATTATTATATTATGACACACAGCGTTCGATGTTCCATTGCGTTGACCCGATTGGGAAAGAGAGGAGGCTTCTCTCTATAATTTTCCACCTGCTATATAATCGGGACGGATGAAAATGGCGGTTCAAGGCCTTTGATCAGAAGCGCCATTCCAACCCGCGACTCCAACTTTCATCGTTACGCTAGGCTGCCTTTATGTACCAAACCGAAGAACTTTTGCGGAATGGAAAGTTTCGCGAAAACATAGGAAATGGAACATGTAAACAGCTGGGATGGCCTCTCGGTGGCCTTGAACGGATTCGCGTTCCTGTTACGACCGTGCTATTAGAAAATTACTGTACACCTAGAAACGTGCTAGAAATTACAGTGATGTCTCTCTAATTGACGCCACAGATTGTCCACAAAAATGGACAATTTGCGAAGACGAGATGCGATTGTTCAAGCCTTTTGGCACGTTTTTATAGTTATTATTTGCCAATAATTATAAAAACGAGCCAAAAGGCTCGAATAATTGAGCTGTTTATTTTGAAAGTGGCCATAAGTCACTTTACCGTAATGAAAAGTGGTGATTTTTTCATGTTTATACGAAATTATTTATACCGAGAAAAATATCAGTATCCTGAGATAATAAATACAAGTAGATCTTCTCGAAAGTTAGCATCCATATTTTTAAACGTGTTAAAAAACGCAAACCCTTAAATATATCGACTTAAAAACAAAGTGACTTATGCCACTTTCAAAACAAAACGGCTCAATTGTATCTTCTTTTCCCGAATTGTTCATTTTTGTGGACAATCTGAGAGACATTAGAGAGACGTCAATTAGAGAAACGTTACTGTATTTCGTTCCATTTCGACGAGAATCGTCGTCTTTCCATTAGCCTCGGTCGCCGATCGGAAAACATTCGTTTCGCGTGATCTAACATAGACGGATTAAAATCGACGAATCGTCGACGAATTTGGACCGAGATTGCTGGGCCATTTGGTCCGAGATTACTGGGCCATTTGGACCGAAATTACCGAGCCGGCTCGCTTCGATCGCTGCCTAACTGCTCAATTTTTGGCGTTCCAATTAGAGCAGCAGGGATACACAATTGCAAACTCTAAGCAACTTTTACGTTATTAGCGATATTTAATCGTTTATTTAATTATAAATCAATTTTGGATCAAAAGTTGTTGCGATCAAAAGTTTGCCCTAATCGCTCAATTTTTGGCGTTCCAATTAGGGCAGCAGGGATACACAATTGTAAACCTTGACGTATTTGTTAACCTTGCCGTACGCGTTAAATCCGAATTACGCGATTAACATGTAATTTTCGTAATTATCTTTTCTCGTTTCACGATCGCGATCGAGTGCGTCGTAACTAAACGGCTTGTGTGTGTGTGTGTGTTTCTTCGTAAAATAGTCCAGCCGAATTGCATAATTAAGGGAAGATCGAATCGAGAGCAGCGCAACAGCAAAAAAGCGGGACGGCGAGTGGCTCCCGTACAAATAGAACCAGCAGGAACAGCGATAAATTACGTGAACCACGGACAAAAAAGTGGAGAAAGGGGAGTGAATGGGACGAATCAATGGATTCAATTATCCTTTCTTGGATGTTGGACCGAGATAAGAAAGTATCCTGCTACATAATACCTTCCTGATGTTTTATCACGCGGAAGCAGCGGAGAGAGACTCGACGAAACGACGAGAAATATTTGCTCGGCAAATAATACGGAGTAAATAATACAGAGATACGGAGTCCTTCGAGACGAGCGAACTAAAAGCAGACGATCGTCTAACCCGGGTATGGCCAAGCTTTTGATCGCGACAACACTTTTGATAAAAGATCTATTGAATCGGTCGAAAAGTGGCGAGCAGCGTGACAGCGCTTGTCTTATATAATAATAAAAAGAATAATATAATAATATAATAATATAATAAAAATATATAAAATAAAAAAAATATATAAAAATATATATAATATAATTATATATAAATATAAATAATATAATTTAAAAAAAAATAAATATATTTATATATAAATATGAATAATATAATAAAAAGAGAAAAAAAATGAAAAAAAGCAGCTGTGCGATGTACGCGTGTCGCTAAAGTTTGATCGCGACGCAAGATCTGAACAGCGCGATCGCGCTGCTTGGGACTCAATCGGATAAAGAGAGGGAAAACCATTGTAAAAAAAACAAACGAAAGAAGTTCAAATGAGAATCGGCGGGGAAATATTTAAATCGAGCCGAACGGAGCATCGTTGCATCCGTGCAATTTTCCCACAGTTTTGGTATTTTGCAAAAATTGCTCGTCGGTTGGATTGGCAAATCATTGTCCCGAAAACAAAAGCGCGAGCGGTAAAGAATCGTTGCGCGGGTGGGAGCAAGATAGGTGGTAGGAGGGCGGGGGGGGCGGGGTCAGAGAAATCCTTGTATGCAAATTGTATAGGTCAGACCCCGACTGTTGCCCCCCCTTTGGAAAGAATACACTCGCGGTTTTGTTCCTTAATCTTCAGGCATCGCGTTAATTAGCAACGGGCAACGATCATAATGAAGCAACGAAAAAGAGAAAAAAAGTATAACGTGGAATAATCGCGAACATAATAAAAGAGTCTCATCGCAGCGTAATTGCAACGTAAAATGACAATGGAGTGAAAATATATGGCAGAAGAAAGAACTCGGTTTGCGCCGCCGCGCGAGAATCTAATCGGGATTTGAATCTCTTTTCAAGCATTTTCTCGGCATCGCGGCAACATTGCGAAACCGTTCGTTCGGCCGAAGCGCCCGGTTAACGCGGAAGATTAGAAAGATGGGCCAGCTCTCTTCGCACTTTGCAACGACGATTTTAGCGACAATAACACCCCCTTTAGGCAATGTTTCGCGTTTACTGTTATTAATAAACATTTTATGTTTACTATTATGAGTTATAAATGAACTCGGTACACGTTTTCGACGAACGAAATTTCTTTTAAACAATCTTACGAATCGTAAATCGCCGATTCTATGCAAGCTCAAATTGCAAAATGCGCGCCGCAAAATTTCAAGATCTCGCAATCTTTTCATTGTAAAAGAGATTCATACGCTGGCAGAGTTCGACGTTGAACTCGTGCAAAACTTGAACAAAGCGCCGCCCATTCATGCAATTACGTGTACGCATAAATTAACGTACTTTCACTACAAATCAACATTTCCATCGTTATACACCGTTTCTGTATTAACTCCGGTTGCTTTCACGATGCACGTAAGACCGCAACAAGATCGTGGAAATCGTTTATCGATGTGTAAATTCGCGCTGAATCCGACGAATAAATTCGACGGTAAAACGTAACGATTTATCCAAACATTTTAAAACCGTTCGCGACGACCCGATTTCATCGGATGAGGGTTACGCGCGAGAAACAACTCGATTAATTTCGTAAAAAAAAAAATTAACAAATTACAATTTCTGTGTCGCTGCCGGCTGCGAAAATTCGTAGATATCATCGCGCGGAGCAACAAAATATAGGCGGCCGTGAAAGTTGGTCGGATCATTCTCGCGGCGAGCCGCGACAAAGCAAGAAAAATTGAAACCGTATGAAAAGCGTGTCTCAGTCGGCCGTTTTAGAAAATCCAACTTATCGCACCGATGGATTTTACGTTTCTATTTGTGTCAACAGTGCTTTCCCTTCATCGCCGCGATAAGTGTCACGAGAACGTGAGCAAATGCCCGTTCTCGATCTCTCTCCATTGTGTTCGAAATGTACCGGAACAGCGCCACGGCGCGGCGGGCCGCGTTTAAAAATCGCCGACAGAATTTCTCGAAACGCGATCCCCCCCCGTTTGCAATTTCTATTCGGTTCGCGAGATTCGCCGCGTCTCGGACTCGTATATCCGCCTTTTATCCATGAATGATTTTGAAAGTGAAACGGAACGCGCGCCGCGCCGCGGCCATCGGATACCCTGATTTCGCGAAAGTTTTCCAGAATTTGATAGTTCGAGGAAGAAACTGCGAACGATGACACGTGAAGAAAAGTGTAGCGACTTCGACGTGACCGTTGGTTCGTTGTGGAAATCACAACGATGAATAATTGTACAGCAATTTCTCTCTAATTCGCGCTCAGATTTTCCCTAATTCGCGCTCAGATTGGAACAAAAATGGACAATTTAAATAACCTTGATTTATGTGAACATAAAATGTAAATAGGATAAATATAAAATAACCAAGGTTATATAAATATGATAAATATAAAATAACCAAGCATAAGCTATTTATATAAATAAATAACCTCGCGTCTCGTCTTTATAGTTAGTAGTAGTATATTTATTATATTTATTATATTTATTTATAGCAGTAGTATAGTTTGTAGATCGGCAACTGTAAAATTGCGAGCTGCAAGGCATTCTCTCGCACAATTATCCATCTTTGTGTACAAAGCCGAGGATCGATTCGACAATTAATTGAAATATTACAATATTTTGTTTATACCGAAGCAATTCTAATAGCATCGTCGTATCTACAGGGTGTCCCAAAAATGTCTCGCAATCCGGAAATGGCGGGTTCCTCGGATCGTTCGAAGCAACTTCTTCCTTTATAAAAATGTTCTCCGAGGCACCGTTAACGAGTTATCAACGAAAAACAGTGACCAATAAGAATCGAGTACGGCTGACGCGAAGCGGCCCAGCCGACCAGCGCGCGAAGCCCGGTTCCGCTCGTTGGCTCGGTCGCCTCGCGCCAGCCGAGCTCGCCTCTCATTGGTCACTGTTTTTCGTTGATAACTCGTTAACGGTGCCTCGTAGAACATTTTTGTAAAGGAAAAAGTTGCTTCGAATGACCCGAGGAACGTGCCACTTTCGTATTGCGAGACATTTTTGGGACACCCTGTATATTTGACTAACAGTCAAAGGTTATTTTTCAAACTGTTATTTTCAGTCGCGGGACACGTTCGCAACGGCCGTGTGCAATGTACGCGAAGCATCGTTATTGCCACGACAATGGAAAGGCAATGAATACGAAATGAAATCAGAATGATGCGGTGGAGGCTCCGCAACGTTTCTGTCCGACACAGCTTATTGTCCAGTATTTTTTCTCGCGTTCTCGAAGGTACTTGAACCCACGTCGGTCTGCTCGCGAACGAATGGAAGCTCGCGAGTTGGGCGGACTCGTCGCCGACGCTGGCCATTTTCTCGTGTAACAGCATTGAAAAAACAAAAAAAATTGTAAGACCTTTTTTCGAATCGTTTGAATCGGAATTTCGATTTTCGACGGCCGGTGGAAACTGGTTTGAAAAAACTGTTGCATAACCAAGGTGACATAAAACCGTAGCGGTAAAATGTGTAGGAACTTCCACTTTGCCGGTGCAACAACGTTTGCATAAATACCTACAATCCACTCGTTAGGTTAATAACATATTTCCTATCGTGGATAGACGAACGTTCCTCTGCAGCTGTTACCTCATAAATATTAACGGCCGGACTCTGTCGATTTGCATGGAAAATAAAATGTGATTCGGATCGATCGCAACGTTCCAAGGTAATTGGAGAGACGGTATTTATACGTTCGTCAAATATGACAATCTTGCGACACGAACGCATAAAATCGTGATGAAATCACGATCTAAAAATCATTCGATCGATTGCCACGATTATGTGTAGTACATTTTCTTTTATTATTATAAGCTTTCGAGTCTCGGATGAGATTTATTCGCTGTACGATAAAGCGAATGCACTTAAAACCTTACGTAGTAGTTACATGTGTTACATTCGTACAAGTTATTTATATTCCATATATTCTTTATATTCATTATATTTATATTATTACATTCGTACAAGTTATTTATATTCTTTATATTATTTATATTATTTATATTTATATTATTACATTCGTACAAGTTATTTATATTATTTATATTATTTATAATCGTTGACAATCGGTAACTATAAAAACGAATCGCAAGGCTCGAATTCGCAAGGCTCCTCTTCCCAAATTGTCCATTTTTGTGGACAATCCGAGGGTGACAATTAGGGCGACATTACCGTACTTTTGTTGTCAATTGCGCACGGTTAACCAAATTCTCGAACGAACGAAAACTTTCTACAGAGTTTTCTGCGGCGAGGCAGATTCGTCGTTCCTGTGAGAACCCTAATACCCACCCTAAACAGGAAATCGACGAATCACAATTTTCATCGAAACAATCATCGAAGTTCGACTCGGTGATTCATTGACGAGACCGCAAGCAGCTTTCTCCAGCTTTTGTCCCCTACCGGAAACGCTGTCGCGTTTAAAATTCACTCGCCGCAGTCCTCTCGGGAGCCGAATAAATTAATAATGCATAATAAAGATCGCTGCGTCCCACCGCGGGCATGCGCGGCGATTATTTCGATTTAAATAAACTATCGTTTCCCTTATGAATATTGATCGATCATAATTAAAAGGTCGTCCGGTGTTCTCTAACGAATGTTTATTGCTACCCTCGCACTATATAATTATTATACGATAACTATATAACTCCCTTCTATATTTCTCCTATCGGTTATTATATTATATTATATTATATTATATAATAATATATAATAATATTATTATATTATATATTATCGTTTTCTTTTTCGAAGCGAATAAATGTTCGCACCGAAGCTAAAAAAAACGCATGATTGAACGTAATCGAAATTTTTGTCGCACCTATTCCGTTCGAAGGAACGCATAAAATTGCGCCGCGGTTATCATCGAGCGGCGAAGAGCAATCTCGCACCACGCGCTTCCTTTCCTTCGAGGAACGTCAAAATGTAATATCATGTTCGCTTTCTTTTCAGGTGTCGACCAGCAGAACGACCTGCCTGCTGCTCGTCTGCCTGATCGTACTTCTCGGGATCCTCGATGACGCAGAAGGTATCTAATTATCAGAATACGATCTAAACGACATTGACCAGCTAGCTGTGCGTTTGACGAGTATACTCGTCACAGAGAAATTGCAATATTTTGTCTCTCGACGAGTATACTCGTCACGGAGAAATTGCAGTATTTTGTCTCGCGACGAGTATACTCGTCACAGAGAAATTGCAATATTTTGTCTCTCGACGAGTATACTCGTCACGGAGAAATTGCAGTATTTTGTCTCGCGACGAGTATACTCGTCACAGAGAAATTGCAATATTTTGTCTCTCGACGAGTATACTCGTCACGGAGAAATTGCAGTATTTTGTCTCGCGACGAGTATACTCGTCACAGAGAAATTGCAATATTTTGTCTCTCGACGAGTATACTCGTCGTCGCTTGATTCTCGCAACTGAACTGGTTAAAAGAACTAACGATTGAACGTGTACAGGCGCAAGAAAAAGATTTCGGAGGCCGACAACCAGTAGCAGCAGCAGCAGCAGTAGCAGCAGCAGCAGCTCGTCGAATTCGAACGATCAAGAGGTCTCCGCCAGCGTGAACAGATTCAAAGTCACGCGAAATCGTATCAGCAACAAGAACAAGAAAAATGAGATTCAGACCGGCAAGACGGAGGACTACAAGGTAGGTATGACATTTATCTTGTGACACAGATATATCTAAAGTATGACCTGATTCGTCCCTGTAATTCGATTAAAAAGCGAAACAGCCGCCGAGACTTTTATATTTTACAAATGACACCGTAGAATACTAACGACGGCGTGCAATATTCACTTTGAATATTTCAAACTCGAGAAAAGTGCAGAAACGATTGTTTTATTGTACATTGTTATTTACACGGCATTCTCTTGTTGTCGTAACAACGATGTTACATTTATTAATTATTCATACATTTCATCGGAGATGAATGAATAGAAAAATAAAAAGAAACGAGGCAGAATATTATAATATTATATATATTATATTATATTATTATATTATAATTATTATATTATATTAATATTGTAATAAAAAAGTAACAAGGCAGTATATTATAATATATAATATTATAATAGATATATTATAATATACTGCCTTGTTTCTTTTTTATTATAATATTAATTATACATAAATTTCATCGGAGATAAATAAATAGAAAAATAAAAAGGAATAAGGCGGTATATTATATATTATATAATACATAAATTTCATCGGAGATAGATAAATAGAAAAATAAAAAGAACTGAGGCAGTATATTATAATATTTTATATTATTTATCTCCTTATTTATCTCCATTTATAATACTATCTAACATTATATAGTATTTATCTCTGATGAAATTTATGTATAATTATAATATAATAACGTATATATATACATATAATATATATGTATAATATAATAACGTATAAAACAATAACATCGAACACAACGTTGACGTAAAAAATTGCGCGCGAACGTCCAACGATGTGGATATCTATTAATAAAATAGTTATTGTTGTCTCCCCGTCGCCAATCCCAAGTTCCCGCGGAAAGTCGAACGACGACTAAAGGTCGCAAAGGGTTAAAATAAACATGGTATCGTTCGAACAGCGTGTCCTAACGATATCGGATCCACGGAGCGTTCGAGTACGCGCTTAAAAGACCCTAAGTCCCTAAAGATCTCGATTTATCGATGCGTGTTCGTCGAACCCCTTTTGCCCCGATTTATCGAATGTACATATTGGGTTGGCAACTAAGTACAGGGATATCATAAAAATGGGAATGAGAGACATTTATAACTGAAATCGGCAATTACTTAGTTGCCAACACCATACAATTTACATACGTAAAACGAGCGGAACACACGCATCGTATCGCGATGTAATCGTTGCGTGGAAATTTGCAGCTCGTATGTTACTATACGAACTGGTCGCAGTACCGTACGAAGATAGGAAAATTCTTGCCCGAGGATATTCAACCCGATCTGTGTACGCACATCATTTTCGCGTTCGGCTGGCTGAAGAAGAACAAACTGACGAGCTTCGAATCGAACGACGAAACGAAAGATGGCAAGGTCGGGCTCTACGACAGAATTATCAACCTGAAGAAGGCCAATCCGTCTTTGAAGATTCTTCTCGCTATCGGTGAGTTTCCGAGATAATTATAAACAGTGGTGAAATTACGAAGTTGAACGATCGAAGAACGTGCAGCTGCAAATATATTTGCTCTGATGGAAAGCTTCGATATATTCGTTTACATGGAAATCTTGTTAAATAAAATATAAATATTGTAATCTATAAGATTATAGAAATTAAATATATTTTAAAATAATATTATTAATTTCTATAATCTGTAAATTAAATATATTATAAAATAATATTATTAATTTTTCTATAATCTCTGAATTAAATATATTATAAAATAATGTTATTAATTCCTATAATGTTATATTTATAATTTCTATAATCTTATAGATTATAATATTTATATTTTAAATATATATAAAATGAAATAGAAGAATATTAAAAAATTATTACCAAAAGCGTCGAATTTTCGTTAATGATTCGGTGACGAAAGCGATCGATCGAAAAAAAATGTACGATCTTGGATGTTCATTCGGCGACACTTTCGAAAGTATCGTGCGATTTTAAACGAACGAGTGACTGTTCGCACCCACGATTCAAGAATTCGGCTTTATCAGCGTTCCGAGCATTATAAATGATTCCGTGGGCATTGAACATGACAGAGTTGTCGCGTTACGATGTTTATCAGGTGGTTGGTCCTTCGGCACCCAAAAGTTCAAGGATATGTCGTCGACGAGGTACGCCAGGCAGACTTTCATCTACAGCGCTATACCGTATTTGCGGGACCGAAATTTCGACGGTCTTGACATCGATTGGGAGTACCCGAAGGGAGGAGATGATAAGAAGAACTATATTCTTCTGTTGAAAGGCAAGTCGGAGCGTATAAATGATTGATACACTGTTCTACGTCCCTTCGTTTCATCGAATTGTTGCTTGTTTCGCGGTATTATTCGAAACTGCTGCTATAATTATTGCTATATTTACTGTTTAGTACAGTTAATTTGTTTACTATTTACTATAGTAAATAGTATATTAAATAAATAAATAATAATAGTATTAATTTACTATATACTATTTACTAATAATTAATACTCTAATACTAATACTAATAATATTATTTAGATATATTATTAATACTAATAATATTATTACTAATAATTAATTAATTATTAGTAAATAGTATATAGTAAATTAATACTATTTGCCATGGTCAAACTAAATGATTGAGAACAGTCGGGAAACGATTAAGTTGTGTACGAAAGCGATATTTATAATCAATTAACAAATAATAATAATTTTTTTCTGTTGTGTTATATTACGATATCAATCGTAAACACAAAAAAGATTCGGCAAAACAAAATTTTAGTATATTTTTCTTAATAAAATTTAATCGATTCAAGATTTTTATTATTCTGAACACTCTGTTTATACATTCTATTCACAGAACTTCGAGAGGCTTTCGAAGCGGAAGCCCAAGAGAAGAAAATGCCGCGGCTTCTTTTGACTGCTGCTGTGCCGGTTGGTCCCGACAACGTGAAAAGCGGATACGATGTTCCAGCTGTTGCCAGGTAACAATTAGCATCTGCTATGGATTAACGTACCTAGAACGAGAAGCCCATCTTTGTTTCACTGATCGCATTATAAAATACAGAGCGTCCCAAAAATATCTCGCAATAAGGAAATAGGAGATTCCTGAGATCATTTGAAGTAACCCTTTCCTTAGCAAAAATGCAATCCGCGGCTTCGTTTACGAGTTATCAGCGAAAAACGCTGACCAATGAGACGCGAGATCGGCTGGCGCGAGGCGGAACTGGGCTTCGACCGCTCATTGGCTCGGCCGTCTCGCGCCTCTCATTGGTCAGCGTTTTTCGCTAATAACTCGTAAACGAAGCCTCGTAGAACATTTTCGCTAAGGAAAAAGTTGCTTCAAATGATCTCGAGAACCCTCTTTCCTTATTACAAGACATTTTTGGGACACCCGGTACAATCCGTCGTCACGAATAGAAGTTTAAAAATAAAGGCAAATCTACGCGGATCCGAATTAAGAAAGCGAAGATAATCGAACGAAGACGGACGATTAATTGAAGTTAAAATTCGTTTAAAGTTTAAATCTGAAACGCGGCCGAATTACTCGAGAAATCGACGGTGCATTTGGGCGCACGTTCTCGCCGGGGTCAGGGTCACGCTGCCTGGAAATCCGTTTCACGACTGCGTTTTCTAATTACCGTCTCTCCGCACAGTTACCTGGACTTCATCAATTTGATGGCGTACGACTTTCACGGGAAATGGGAAAGAGAAACGGGACACAATGCGCCATTGTACGCCTCGTCGCTGGATTCCGAGTGGCAGAAGCAGCTCAGCGTGGACAACGCGGCATCGATGTGGGTCCGACTTGGTGCCCCTAAAGAGAAATTGATAATTGGCATGCCTACCTACGGCCGATCCTTCACGTTGTCGAATCCTTCGAATTTCCGTGTTCATTCGGCTGCCAGCGGCGGTGGAAAGGCCGGCGAGTACACCAAGGAGTCCGGCTTTCTTGCCTATTACGAGGTATTTGTTCGCGCTCGCGCGCGCGCGCGCGCTCGCGCTCGCCCGTCGATCGCGACACCATTTCGCAATACGTCAACCGATCTTTCAAGTTTTACCGAATATTATTACCTAACGCCTTCGCTTTCGAACACCGCCGTCACCTGCGAACCGATCGAATTCAACGTACAGTTCCCATTAATAAAACCAGAAACAAAAATTCACGATTCGAGCTTCGGTTCGCTTCGAGAATTTTTCCTCGGATCGCCTTATCGGCGGCTCGAACGTAATTTATTTGCCAAATGGTAACCGTCGAATCGAATAGAAAATTATATAATTGCTCTATTTAATCTGCTCTTGGAAATAATTGCTCTGTTTAAGTGGAATTCAATTTATTTGCCAAGCGCTAGCCGTCGAATCGAACAGAAAATTATATAATTGCTCTATTTAAATTGCTCTTGGAAGTAATTGTTCTATTTAAACGAAATTCGACGGTACCAATTTTGTAAAATGAACGTCCGTTTGTCTCGAGTCGGTGCCATAATTAACACGTCGTGCTGTGTCCGGTTTTGTTAAACGTTGAACGTTTCGTGCGAAACGTGTTATGCACGCGACTTTTGAATTTTCTCGTTCATCGTCGACGGTTTATTATGCACAGCTATTATTTCGTGGCAATTACGCAGTAGTAAAACGACGACGGGGGCTGCTGGCCTTTAAACCGAGAGCCACGTAAACGTTAAGAGAGGACATATAAATTTAATGGCGGATGCGCGCATGCACCGGAGTCGGCTGTAGAAAGTCGTGGGTTAATTAAAAATCAGCGCGGCCACTCTCGACACAACGGATGTACACTATCGGCCATAAATCACCGGACACCTGTTACCCAGGAAAATACAAATTGTGACGCTGTGTTACTGCGAGCGTTTATGTAAAACTGTTTTACCGAACGCCCGCTAAATCATTTTTATTCGAACTTGTAAAGAGTACAGTAAATTCTCCCCAATTTTTCTTCAATTTCTCTTCGAGTCTCGCGGCTCGATTTTTATGATTATTGACAATCGGCAGCTATAAAAATGAGCCGCGAGGCTCTTCGCAAATTGTCGAAATTAGGGAGAATTTACTATAAATGGAATCAAAAAATAGAAGGCGTCGTAGTTAAGTTGTAGGAAAAATGTTTCAAACGCATTTCGCGCGACTGTAATAATTTCTTAAAAATTCTTTGACCCTTTCATGGGCACCATACGAATTTTCAAGAAGTTAGAACATCCTCTTACCATAATTTTATCCTATAGTATTGCAGCTGTCTCATTACTGTCCTCTAGTAATTCGTTTTTCTGTGACTTTTAATTGCTCGCCCCTCAAAATTAGGGGTGGCGCAACGAGCGAGGATATAACAGAATTTTAACGGAACGTTTCTGCTGCGACAGATCTGCGAGATGCTGCAAAATGGCGCGGCCTACGTGTGGGACGACGAGATGAAGGTGCCGTATTTAGTGCAGCACGAGCAATGGGTCGGGTTCGACGACGAGAAGTCGATTCGGCTGAAGATGGACTGGTTGAAGAGCAAAGGTTACGGTGGCGCGATGGTGTGGACGGTGGACATGGACGATTTCAACGGCACCGTTTGCGGCGGCAACGTCAGGTACCCGTTGATCGGAGCGATGAGGGAGGAGCTGCTCGGAATCTCGAGGGGGCCGAACGCGAAGGACGTCGATTGGACCGCGGTTGCCACCACGGTCACGGAGGTCGCCCTAAAGAAACCGGAGGCCTATAAAATATCGGTGTCCGATGTCCTTAACAAGGCGAAAAAGATTCAAAAGCCGGCCACGCAGCTTGTCATCAACACTCCGCCAAATGGTAACTCGAATCGAACGAGTCTCGTGATTGGCTAATAAAGGGCCTGTTTAAATATTACGGGATACAGCTGTTCTCTAATATAACATGGTTGGAGCGTGAGCGCAATTTTCGTTAACAATTTTTCGCTCTTCTTATGTTGTGCCAAAAATGCGAAGAGCGCGATAGCGCTTTTTTCTTTTTTTTTATGCCAAGACTGCGCAGAGCGTAATAACGCTGCTCTAAACCACTAGAATTTCTGCTTATTACCGGTTTTATTCACAAAATTAATTGAAACAAATTTATGTAAATAACTGGTGTTTTTTAATTTTTGTTTGTTGTTGCAAAGCGATACAAGTGAGTTTATTGTATGAAAAGTGTTTTACATTTTTTCCCGTACACGCGTAAGTAGTACCGCAGTTTTGGCATACGTCCGAAAAAAATACGTCAGCAGCCGAACGGTTAAACTATGTCGCGCTAACTGTTTCATGCATTTTGCGGGAAACACGAGACCGCGCCGCGTAACATTACCTGTGACACACCGATATTCGAAGCGAGCCTACCTGTTTCTCTTGCCCGCAGAAAGGGAGGCCCAGTCGATCTGCTACCTGACCAATTGGTCCCACAGAAGGCCCGGGGCCGGAAGGTTCATGCCGGAGGACATCGATCCGACGCTCTGCACTCACATAGTCTACGCATTCGCGACCTTGAAGAACCACCTGCTCGTGGAGGAGAGCGACAAGGACTCGGAGATGTACAACCGACTGATCGCTCTTCGCGATAAGAATCCGGACATCAAGGTCCCTCGATCCTTCCTCGAGATTTTATCCGGACCGTCCGGACCGGAAACGATAAAATCGCTCGACAAATGAGCCGCGTTTATTTTTGAAAGCGGCATAAGTCACTTTGTTTTTAAGTCGAGATATTTAAGGATTTGCGTTTTAACACGTTTCAAAATATGGATGCCAACTTTCGAGAAGATTTACTTGTATTTATTATCTCGGGATACTGATATTTTTCTCGGTATAAATAATTTCGTAAAAACATTAAGAAAAATCACCACATTTCATTACGGTATAAAGTGACTTATGCCACTTTCAAAATAAACGGCTGAAATCTTTGCGACAAAAATATGTAGATGCGGCATGGCGGAGACAAATTGATCATTCAGGATTGTATATTGCAGATATTATTAGCGATCGGTGGATGGGCCTTCGGATCAACGCCTTTCAAAGAGCTGACCAGCAATACTTTCCGGATGAATCAGTTCGTGTACGAGGCTATCGATTTCTTGAGAGAATACAAATTCGACGGCCTGGACGTCGACTGGGAATATCCGCGGTAACTTGTTATCATTGTAAACATAGCTTTCGAACGTATTTGAATATTTGATATATTAAAAGTATTTCAAATGATTCATGGAGCGCCTGAAAAATTTATTATATTATATTATATTATATTATATTATACTTAATATAATAAATTTTTCAGGCGCTCCATGAATCGTTTGAAATATTCAAACATGTTCGAAAGTTATGATTTCAATTATATATAATAACATATATTATATATTTAAATTTTTGTTTTTCCCAAAAACTGTTATTAAAACAATTGTCGCAATGCATTAGGGGTGGGGACGACCGAGCAGCCTACATAAATCTCTTGAAAGAACTCCGACTGGCTTTCGAGGGCGAAGCGAAGAGTTCCGGCCAGCCGAAATTGCTGTTATCAGCGGCAGTGCCTGCTAGTTTCGAAGCCATCGCAGCTGGGTAAGTTTTCCCAAATTATTCCTAAATATCATTATTATTGTTATTACTTATATCTCATAATGCAACTTAACAATGTCGCTTCGTCCTACAATTTTCGTTTCCGTTGTAGATCGAACGAAGCACCTTGGTCCCTTAATTAAACGAATAAATAAATATAAAATTCCTTCGATCGACAGGTACGACGTACCCGAAATATCAAAGTACCTGGACTTCATCAACGTAATGACGTACGACTTCCACGGCCAATGGGAAAGACAAGTCGGTCACAACAGTCCGCTGTTCCCATTGGAGAGCGCAACCAGTTATCAAAAGAAATTGACAGTGGTAAGCGAAGATCGTATCGCCGTTCGATCGCTGGACTTCGCGGATTTTACACGCTTATGGCAATACTGAGTGTCACGCTATTTGTCGCGCTATTTGTCACACTATTTGCAACTTATCAAAATAGTTAAAAGAAATAATTCATTTCTATTTAATTCCTGTTCCTTAGAATCGTCTTGGACAATTTTTCTTTTGCTCGTTATTTCATTTATATATTTACTTATTATTTACCAATTATATTATTATTATTATCTTATATCTTATCTTACTATTATCTTATTATATTATATTATTATTATTACAATTGTTATTATCTACTTATTAACATTGTTCGCACGATTTCCAATCGCTCGTTCGCCGATAATCGAATCGCCGATTTATTTTCGCAGGATTACAGCGCGAGGGAGTGGGTGAAACAAGGCGCGCCCAAGGAGAAGCTGATGATCGGTATGCCAACTTATGGCAGATCGTTCACGTTAGTGGACAAAGAGAAGTTCGACATCGGCGCGCCGGCTTCCGGTGGAGGAACGGCCGGCAACTTCACCAACGAGTCCGGATTCCTCTCGTACTACGAGGCAAGTCTGCGAAGCATTCTCTCGAATATTCGTCGCAGAATTCCTCAGAGTCGCATAGTAATTAAGCCGGGTGTTTGTTGAACGCGCAGGTTTGTGGCTTCCTGAACGAAGATAATACGACTCTAGTCTGGGACAGCGAGCAACAGGTACCTTTCGCGTACAGGGAGGACCAGTGGGTCGGTTTCGACGACGAGAGAAGCCTCATAAACAAGGTTAAATTAATTAGCAGAAATAACTAATTACGGTCGAGAAAAGATCGTGACACCGTTTTAGTGCATGCGTTCGATCTTCGATTCTATACAACCGACGATTATTTCAGATGCAATGGCTCAAAGACGAAGGTTTCGGAGGCATAATGATATGGTCGGTGGACATGGACGACTTCAGAGGATCCTGCGGGGGTGGAAAATACCCATTGATCAAAGCGATGAAGAAGGAACTGCAAGAGTACAAGGTTAAACTGGAGTACGACGGCCCGTACGAGAGCAACTTGAGAAATGGAAAGTACACCACCAAAGATCGTAAGTATCTTCTCTGTTCGCGTACTAAATATTTCGTTGGACAATCTATATTTTATTATAGGAATTTCTTGTTATACAATTCATTTTTAAGGTATTTCTTGTTATACAATTGACCTTTAAGGTATTCCTTGTTATACAATTGACTTTTAAGGTATTTCTTGTTATACAATTGACTTTTAAGGTATTTCTTGTTATACAATTGACTTTTAAGGTATTTCTTGTTATACAATTGACTTTTAAGGTATTTCTTGTTATACAATTGACTTTTAAGGTATTTCTTGTTATACAATTGACTTTTAAGGTATTTCTTGTTATACAATTGACTTTTAAGGTATTTCTTGTTATACAATTGACTTTTAAGGTATTTCTTGTTATACAATTGACTTTTAAGGTATTTCTTGTTATACAATTGACTTTTAAGGTATTTCTTGTTATACAATTGACTTTTAAGGTATTTCTTGTTATACAATTGACTTTTAAGGTATTTCTTGTTATACAATTGACTTTTAAGGTATTTCTTGTTATACAATTGACTTTTAAGGTATTTCTTGTTATACAATTGACTTTTAAGGTATTTCTTGTTATACAATTGACTTTTAAGGTATTTCTTGTTATACAATTGACTTTTAAGGTATTTCTTGTTATACAATTGACTTTTAAGGTATTTCTCATTATACATTTCATTGGATGAAACAGAAATAGGCAACGATTTGTCACCTAGAAAATTCGAATTAGGATAGAATGCATCGTACAATTGAATCACGGTTGCTCCCTATAAAGTTCTAAAAGATGCGCGTGTTCCCGCAGCGAACGAGGTGACCTGCGACGAGGAGGACAACCACATATCTTATCACCCGGATAAGAACGACTGCACGATGTACTACATGTGCGAGGGCGAGAGGAAGCACCACATGCCCTGCCCGGTGAATTTGGTGTTCAACCCTAACGAGAACGTGTGCGACTGGCCCGAGAACGTCGAGGGGTGCTTGCAGCACACGCAGGCGCCGCCGGTGTAGAGAAGAAGATCGTGAAAAGAGAAAATTCTAGATAAAACAAACCAGCAAAGGGGAGTTGTCCCGATGCTCGCGGCTGCCGATGTAACATGAAACGCGAGAACGAAACGCGTTACGGACGTTTAAAGTTATTCGCGGGACGCGCCCCGACAACCGCGGCGCGTCGCGTCGTCGCTGAACAAAAATCGACAATCGAAAGATCACCCTGGAGATCGTTTTACACCGATAATCCGGCGTTCCTCTTCTTCCATCCGTTTCCCTTCCTCGGAATTCGATGCATCTCTACCTTTTTTTGTCTGCGCGGCCGCGTTCTCTCTTCGCCTTCCTCTGTCATTTGTAGAGAAAAAGAACAAAAAACGCACGCTGTCCAACCACCATGACAAATTTTTTTTATGTAAATAAAAAGAAATTCTTCGAACGGAGGTCCGCAGCTGTTGAATTCTGACCCTTCGCCAAAGTCGGCAAAGTCGTTCGTTGGGATCAAAATCTCGGCCAAACAAATCGAACGCACCCGTTCAACTATGTTCTCTCTTTATTATTTCATTCCGTTTCCCAACGATACATACAAAACACACGATTCATTGTTCTCCGTGTACAATTCGCTTTCCAAATTCGATAAGAACGGTGGCTCGGGTCGCACGATAATTATTAACTTTTACCGTTTAGGTAGTCGCTCGCAACACGGCCGTGGCCTCGATAAGCGAAACTATCGTTCTACGGAAATGATGTGTACTTCTGGATATGTGTAGGTGTCGATTCGCCGATCGTACGACAATCTCGAGCGACGACCGTGTAAGATTGTTCTTGTTTTTTCTTTTGGTTTTTCTTATCGTTCCTTTCCGCGCGTCGACGACGATACGAGATCGACAAAGAAATTACAGATCGATCGAACGATCCTCGACGGATATGTCATTGCGCGTACCACGACGAAGTCAAGCCGACCCATGGATATATTACAATTCGATAGAAAATCTCGAGGTAAAAAAGTTTACTTGCTACGAAAGCAATACGAACGGTATTAAACGTGTCGTTACAAGTGAAAACGAAAACGTCCCTTTGTCTTGTTCATTTTGTGTCTAACGCAACGGCCACCGTTGTTTCGTGCATCGCACAGTTCTCTTCTGTTCTGACCATTCTTCTGGTAACGCAACGAAAAGTAGTCGACCGTTTGTCGCAACGATTGTTCACGTTCTCGAAAATTGCGTGGATCGTATTTGTGCGATAACGTTTCCGCGAAGGAGGTACGGTAAGTAAACGATGTCAACTAATTTACAAATTCTGTACACGTGTGTGCAGGACGTTCAGCCGAAAATGAGTCGCCTAAGCCGGCTGCTTCGATTCTGATCGGAACATTTCGATGAAACTGTACCGGTGGAAATTGAATAAAAACTTGCAGGTACATAATGAACTGTTTTCTAAAGAATTTTAAATTCAGCGTCGAAGAATACCTTTTGTATTCTGAAATCGCGACTGAACTATGATTCGTTCAGGCTGACTCGTTTTAGGCAACACATCGCACACGGTTCTACAAAAATGATCGATTACCACTGTTCGACGCACAGTTTTCTATTAATTACCGATTGTAGTCTTCAAGAAAATGACGTTCGACGGAAACGCAAATTTTCGACTAACAAGATATCTTTTGTATCAACGGTTATCAAAACATCATTTTAGCCTGCACTGTAGAACCCCCTAAACTCTTCTAAATAAGGTAATATAGTTTGTTGTTACAATGTTGATACGAGAACAATTTTAAAAAAATATTCACACGCGAACGTCGAATATGTTCTAGTTTCGCGAAGGTTTTTTAATTTATTTAAAAGAAGAGAATGTCTGAGAAAAGACTTAATTATACCACGCGATAGAGTAAATCTCCGAGCTTCGGATGGCGTTCGTAGAACTCGGACATCGCGTCTCGTTGTCAAAATACGAGCGAAACAGTTTTGCCGGACCACGCGTCACGCCGCGCCGACAGCGGTGCTCAACCCTAGCGCGATTCTAAAATGTCGCGTCACTTTGTACGACGACGTTGCCGTCGCAAAAACTGTCAGCAGCTCTATTTATCGTGATAAACGATTAAATAGCAACGTTTATCAACGCGCAAAATGATTTTACTGCGACTAATCGCGGATCCGACCACTCGAGTCCTAGCCTTGCTACACTATTTCCTGTATATTTCAGAAATTAAACACAATTTTCAACTTCTACCAACGCGATTCGTATGTCGAAAGTTCGCTCCGTCGCGCGAAGCAACCAGTTTGTCTACCGAATATTCTATTTTCTAAATAAACTAAAAAATATCCGAAAAATTGGCACATTTCAAGCGCGTTTCTCACTTTAACCACTGTTTCAACTTAGTTCTGTGTTAGTATTGCAACGTTGAACTAGATCACCTTATTCGGGAGAGTTCAGCGAATGTTACCGTGCAAGTTGGAAATCCGTAAACGTCGCTATCGAAGAGTTAGACGTCTTCGAAATAGAAAATTCGCGTTTTCGGACAGTAGATCGGTGCTTCTCGAGAAGTATCGGCAACTGTGACGCGACAACGATTTCTCTAGACGCTCGGGGGGCTAGTTCGGCGAGTACTTATCGGGTTCAATTCACTATTACCGTTAGAAGAATAATGTCAACTATGGCTAACCAAGTGGTGGCAAGTCTTTCGTAGTTGCCGGAGCTAAGGGCGGAAGCTTGGCAGGCAGTGTGCGGTGTTCCCAATGTCAGCAGGACCTTGTCGGACGAGTAAGACGGCGTCGTCTCGGTGCAGACCGCCCTGCCAGCGATCATTCGCAATTGTCTGGCGTCCGACTGGGACGCCGTGTGAATCTGTCGAGACTCCCGGAGCCATCTTCGCAGCCATAAGCTGAGCCAGGCGATCTCGCAGTCGCACTCCAGAGGATTTCCCGAGACCTGCAGTCCTCCTGAAAAACACAGATTTCTAGAGAGTTCGCCTTCTTCTACTAAATACCATGAAATCGGCGGTCTATTTTATTTTATTTTAAATGGCAAATCGAAACGTGGACGGTGCAATAAAAGAATCCTTCTCACCGGCGACCATATTGGTACCGACGCTCTCCCACGACAGATTGCCGTAGATGACGGACGGGCTGAGCTCGTTGATGTGATTGTTCCGCAAGTCCAACGTCAACTGGGACAATCTCTTGGTCAAGGAAAGAAATATGTCCGACTGCAATCGTCGCACGCGAGTGTCCTTGATTCTCAGTATCAGCTCACCGCCCTCGATGGTGGAGAACGCTTCCGAGGAGATCACCTCGAGGTCGCTGCCGGAAATGGTCAGCTCCCGGAGCTGTTTCGTGAAGACGTTCTGTATCTGATGCTTGAGAAGATGCTCCGTCACTTGTATCTCGCAGGTCCTCAACGGCAGACCGGTGAGCAGCTGGCGCAGATGAAAGCCCTCCGCTTCGGGCCAGGTTTGAATGCGAAGGTGCTTCAAGTATTTCAATACGCGCAGGCAGTCCTTGTCCACCGATCTGGTCCTGTTCAGGTTCGTCAGCTTCAGATACTCCAGCCGCGGATAGTCCATGAAACTCTCCTTCGTCAGTTGCTGAAATAACCGCGCGATTATTTTCGATTGTAACAATTATCTTGGAACGCGTTTGCGTTAAACGAATTCTCCATTTATTTTTTGGTACTCGAAGTCGCGACAACGAATAAAGATTGACATTGTCACCTCTATCGGGTTCCCGGAAACGTCGAGCTCCCTCAGCAGGTTCAGCTTCACGTTGGGCATGGAGGTCAACGAGTTGTTCGGCAGCAGCAGGACCCTCAGGTCCTTCAGGAACTCGAACTGCTTGTCGGTCGTGGTGTCCACGTGATTCAGGGACAAGTCCAGAACGTTCAGGTTGGTCAGCGGTAGCTGGGGAATCTCTCTGAAGCCGCAGTTCACCATGAACAGCTGCCTCAAGCTGGGCAGATAGTGGCAGAGCTCTTTGAAGTTCGCCTGAAGAACGCTGTGGGACACGTTCAGTCTCAGAAGCTTGCCGAGAGAGACGAACGAGTTGTCGGGGAGGATCGTCAGTCTGTTGTGCGCCAGATTCAACGAGACCATGTACGACGTCGGGAAAGCGGTCGAATCGAGTCGGTCCACGTAATTGTCCGCCAGATTAAGGTCTCTCAGGGTGTAGCCGACCTTGTGGAGAGATGACGATGGGACGGCGGTGAACTTGTTGTAACTCAGATCCAGAATCTCCAGCTTCGTTCCCTTGAAAACGTCCCTCGGCAAGGATCCCAGCCGGTTGTTCGACACGTTCAAGATCCGCAGGTTCTTCAGATTGCGGAACTGTTCCTCGGACAGCTGACTGATCTGGTTACCGCTCAGGTCCAGCTGCTGCAGCATCGCCAAACCGTGAAACGACTGCCCCTTCAAGGTCTCCAGCTTGTTGTCTCGCAAGCTCAACGTTTCCAGGTAGCTCAGTTGGAAGGTACCTAGAATATTGCAATGACTGAAACAACGATTTCCGTTAGGATGCGAGGGAGCTGCGGAACAGGTTCGGCTTATATACTATTCCGCGCTTCGGCACATTAAATTCATTCCAAAGGCAAGAATTTTTCAAATAAATCTGTACCCAAGCGATCAATATCATTCTTGCGCGCGATAATTAACGCATCGCTCGACAATAAGGGAAGCGCGGGTGTTACGCGCGGACGGCCCAATTACCGCGGTATTTTCTAAAAGTAACAGAAATTTGACATTTTATACGCACGAGACTTATCGAGTGACGTGTTACAGCTAACACGACCAACGCAAACGTTTCAATTTCCCAGCAAATCCCAGTAAAGCGGGAGAATTTCAGTGCATGTCCTGCGTCGTGTCTAGCTACCTGATTCGAGAACGACCAACAGATTGTTCCCCAGATCGAGATGTTTCAGGTCCGGCGTGCTGGTGAACGTGTCGGCGGGCAGCTGGCTGATGTTGTTGAAGCTCAAGTCGAGTCTCGTCAGGTTGTTCATGGAGCCGGCGGAGTGTATCAACGAGATCGCGTTGTACGAAACGTTCAGCGCGAAATCCGGCCCGCCGATCTCCGAGATCGCCTCCAGATCCAACGCGGTCAGCTTGTTGAACTCCAAATGAAGGAACCGTAGGCTCGGCAGCCCGTAGAACGCGTTTCTCTCCATTTTGTAGATCCTGTTGTACGCCAACGATATCGTGACCAATTTCGGGCAGTCGACGATGGACTCCGACGCGAGAACCTTGATCCGGTTCCCGGTTAGATCCAGGGACTTCAGTTGGGTCAAATTGTGGAAACTGAACTCCGGTATGGCCTCGAGAAAATTGTAGCCGAGCTTCACGTCCCTCAGCTCCGGATGGACGCTGGACAAGAATATCCGTTCCGGGAGATAGTGGAGCCGGTTCGACTCCAGGTTGACGTACCGCAGGTCCTGGAACGAGTAGAACGCCGTCGCCTCGATTTTTTGGAAGTTATTGTTGTCCAGGACCAGCCAGAGCAGATTCGAGAGGGGCCGCAGCGCCCTTTGCGGGAAAACGTCCGTCGCGAACGCGAAGCTCAGCTCGAGGATGTTCAGACTGTCCTCGATGCCGACGAAACAGTCGTCGTCGAGCTCCGTCAGGTGGTTGAACGACAGGCTGAGCTCCTTTAATTTGCCTGGAAAATTTATTCGTAATTACGCTCGTTGATCGCACCAACGCCACGCTTTTCGTTTCGATGAGTTCGGTCGTTTTCTCGCTCGCGTTCGGTTCCGCAGAAATGTTCGACTTTGAGGAGTCGTCCTGCTTTGGTTGCAGCAGCTGCACGAATAATCTTTACGTAGAATTATTGCGCAGATTCTTCCGAACGAGACGGTATACGTTTTTGTAACATCGTGAACATTTGAACGTCTTTAAAAAATATTTAACGAGAGCGCGACTGATCGGAGGCGCCAGACATGTCGGACATTTTTCAGCATATTTAAATAATATAATAATATAATAATAATATAATATATAATAATAATAAAATATAAAATAATATAATATAATAATAATATAATAAATATAATAATAATATAATATAATATAAATAATATTATATCATATAAATGATATATTTACTTTTTTAATGTACTGCAAAGCGTCTAAAATGATTCGACGAAAGCAATCGAACTGCGACAAGCGTAGAATTTACCTGCTCCTTTGAAAGTCTCCTTGCTCAACTTCGTCAAGATATTATTCCTAAGCAGCAGAATCTCAAGGTCCTCCGCCCACTCGAAATCGCCGGGTTGTACGTGAGAGATCTTGTTGTAACCGAGATTTAAGTGCAGTAGCCTCTGGCACCTGTTTCGAAAAAACACCAGAAGCTATTGACATCGATTCAGTTCTTTGAATAAAGTGTCCCCATTTTTCTGTCGACGTGAAACAATTGTTATACTCTAGGGTATAGCAACGATAATCTACGTTGAAATTCACAATCTACTTGTGCTATTAAAATGACAATAAAAGTCTTGCTGCTCTTCAAGATTTCTCCACACGGTGTCCCAAAGTTATCGTACAAATAATATTGTCCCAAAATGGCGGGTTTCTAAGGTCATTCGAAGTAACTTTTCCCTTTGCAAAAATGCAATCGCGCCCTCGTTTACGAGTTATTAACGAAAAAACAGTGCCGCGACACGTTCACCGACTAGCATCCGCGTAGCCAGAAAATCGATTACAGGGCCGGGAGTACCGGCGAATCCCGGAGAAACGTCTGTACCTGCTCAGCGCCGAAACTGGAACCATGTCCAGGCTGTTGGTGGCGAGCGAAAGGGCTCGCAAATTCTCAGCGAACTCTTGGAACGCGTCTCCGGAGATATTCCTTATGTCGTTATTGGCTAGATACAGATAGGACAGTTTTCTCAATCGGGTGACAGCGGTGGGCACATTCGGCAGATCGTTGGTCTCCAGATTCAGGTACTCGAGGGTGTCCTCCAGCCCGCGGAAAGCGTCGTCGTCGATGTTCTTGATCGAGTTCGAGGACAAATGGATCCTCTTGATGTCGATGCCGTCGAAGCCGCCGGCGGGCAGGGTGGACAGCTTGTTGCTGTCCAGATTGAACTCCTTGATCCTCAAGGTTCGATTCGAACGGCCGCCGAGCAGCCGGACCGACTCGATGCAATTCTCGCTGACGTCCACCAGCTCCAAGCTCGAGCTTTCGAAGTCGGGCAGCTCGAGGCTTTTCATGTCGTTGCCGCGCAAGTACAGCCACGTAAGATGCTTCAGGGTCCTCAGCGGCGACGGGAACCGCTTCAGCAGGTTGCTGTTCAAGCTCAGGGTGCGCATGTTGGGCGGCAAACTGTCCTGAGACAGGTCCTCGATGTTGTTGTTGTCCAGGTTCAGCCAGACCAGCGCCTTGAACGTCGCGAAAACTTTCGGTATCTCGATGATCGAGTTGTCTCCGAAGAACACGTTCGTCAACGTGTCCTTGATGCGGCCCCAGTCGCCGTCCAACGTCGTCACATGGTTGCTGGAACAGAGCACTCGTTCAGGATCGTTTACAGGTCACAGCGGTTTTAGCGACCCCAGTTTTGTAATTTTCAAAACAATGGTTAGAAAAGAATTTCGCGCATCGATTAAGCATTGTTTTTCGATGGGGAAAAATACCGTTGAAGTCGAACAGTGGTTTAATAAGCGTTACGTGTCCGGCGGATCGTGTCTGTACGCTCACCTGTGCATGTTCAGCCAGTCCAATTTCCGTAGCTCGCGAAAGGCCTCGAAAGGTACGTCCTCCAGGGCATTGTAACTGAGATCCAACGAGCGCAAACTGTCCGCGATACCTCTAATAACAGAGCCGGTGCAGGCGTGAATTGCTTTTTTATCTTCGAAAAAGAAAGAAACATAAATCTTTCTACGGACGCAATCTGGAGGAGCTATAGATTGCGCATCGAACGCGAGCTAGCGCGATGTTACGAGATTGTTGCAACCATGAACGAATCTGTCTGTCTTTCTATGCCACGGCTGAGCGCTTCCATCTTTCTTCCGTGGATCGTCTCGAGCGTTGTCGAGCGAATATAATATTATAATAATATAATATTATATATATATATATATAATATTACGTTATTTATTATTATTATGAAATATTGTTATTATTAATGCACTGACTCCTTAGAAATCGCAACTTTTATTTAAACTAATATATGCAAGCGTTCTTTTGCAAATGCAGTAAATTCTCCCCGATTTTCCTTCAGCTTGCAAACAAAAATGGACGATTTAAAGAAACTATCAGATTATTACTAGATATGCTTATAATTATGAAGATATGTAAATGTAACTTCGTGAGCAAAGTAAATTCTCCACAATTCTCCTTCAGCTTGTAGACGAAAATGGACGATTTGGGAAGAGGAGATACGATAATTTGCACCTTAAACCTCGTTTTTATAATTGTCGACGATCGGAGACTATAAAAATGAGCCGCGATGCTCGAATAATCGTATCTCCTGTTCCCTAATTTTACCTTTTGTCTACAAGCTGAAGGACAATCGGGGAAAAATTACTGTACTTTGCTCACAAAGTTACATTTACATGTCTTCATAATTATAAACATATCTAGCAATAATCTGATAGTTTTTAACAGAATAAAAGTTAACGATCTTCGACAGAATAAAAGCGAATAGTTTTCAACAGACTAAAAAAAAACTTAACACAGATCTTATAGATGGTCGATGTAGCATTAAACCAGGCCGGCAGACATAAATCATCGTATTTTCTACTCATTAAGGTTGCATTTAATTATTACTCGCCGCGTCCGAACGTAAATCCTCCGTCTGACAAGAGAAGGACGCCGCTTAGACAAATGGTTTCATTAACTACGGATCGGTAGAAAGTTTCACGGTCGGCCAAGAACCGGAGATGGGTAATCTTGTAGCCTCGGCAAAGATGTTCGAAACGATGCAAGATTAAATTGACAATACAATATTTGTAACTCTTTGCACTCGAGTGGCGACTCCGAGGCACCATTGAAATTGATACATCGCGTTCCAAGATCATTTTTATACCACCAAAGCTTAGATATAAAAAGTTGTTGAAAGTCTAACCGCTGTATAAGAGCTGTCTCTTATACACATCTAGATGTGTATAAGAGACAGTTTTTATACCACCAAAGCTTAGATATAAAAAGTTGTTGAAAGTCTAACCGCTGTATAAGAGCTGTCTCTTATACACATCTAGATGTGTATAAGAGACAGTTTTTATACCACCAAAGCTTAGATATAAAAAGTTGTTGAAAGTCTAACCGCTGTATAAGAGCTGTCTCTTATACACATCTAGATGTGTATAAGAGACAGTTTTTATACCACCAAAGCTTAGATATAAAAAGTTGTTGAAAGTCTAACCGCTGTATAAGAGCTGTCTCTTATACACATCTAGATGTGTATAAGAGACAGTTTTTATACCACCAAAGCTTAGATATAAAAAGTTGTTGAAAGTCTAACCGCTGTATAAGAGCTGTCTCTTATACACATCTAGATGTGTATAAGAGACAGTTTTTATACCACCAAAGCTTAGATATAAAAAGTTGTTGAAAGTCTAACCGCTGTATAAGAGCTGTCTCTTATACACATCTAGATGTGTATAAGAGACAGTTTTTATACCACCAAAGCTTAGATATAAAAAGTTGTTGAAAGTCTAACCGCTGTATAAGAGTCACAAGACTCGATTTCATACGCATGAAACGCATTTTATCGCATCAAATGGAATCTACTATATATATATATAAGACAGAAAAGTTAATCTAGATCTAGAGTTGAAATCGTTTCGAGTGCAAAGGGTTAACTTATCGAGGTCATCTAGAATGAAAAAGAATTCCTATTCGGTTCCCTTATTTGCCGCCGGCGACGAGGAAAATTCGTATTAATCGCGTAAAGTTCCGCCGGGAATTACGCTTCCTGTCGCGAGACCAGAACGGCAACAAAAGCACGAGACTTTTTAGGGATGAATCGGACTCACGAGAGCGACTTGTTGCCGATATTCGACAACCGATTGCTCATCAGTCCCAGCGCTTCGACGTCCACTATGCCGGAGAGCGCGTCGTCGTCCAGCGATTGCAGTCCGGTACCGACCACGTCCAGCTGAGCCACGTAGCTCACGATCACATCTGTTGTCACAGTAAAATCATCATCATCATCATCATCGACACAGGGTCATCGACGTTTGCGAGAAAATGGTACGACGATGCTTCGCGGCTTTTCGCACCGGTTATTCGGTTTACGCACCGGGAAATCTGGCGAACGGCGTTCCCATACAGCTGATGTCCATTTTCGTGAAGTCGTGATCGTCTTGTACCCAGCACATGCACATCGAATTGAACGTGCACGGCACGTTGTAGCACTCCATCGCGCCCGATGCACAGAGAACGAACACGATCCTCAGCCAGACCCGATTCAGCTCGCGCGAAGACATCTGGGAAAAACAAACGCACTTTTTATAGTCAATTTTGTTAATAGCCGTGCTAAACATTGAGTTACTTATTGTCAATTATATTGTATTATTATTATTATTATTACTGTATTATATTATTATGCTATACATTGAGTTACTTATTGTCATTTATATTGTATTATTATTATTATTATTACTATATTATATTATTATTATTATTATTACAGTATTATATTTTTATTATTGTCGTTGTTATTACTATTATCGTTACCATCATTTATACGAAGTATCAATTTTCACGAAAGCTATTTATTCCGTCGTGATTACGGTGTCCACGTCTTTACATTTTTCACGATGGTCTTAATTGTCGAACTTTTACTTAATAAGCTACTCGATAATTAGCACTCGTGATAGGTAATCGAAGCGTTGACGAAATATATTATTAAGCGATGTGAAAATTAAACGGACAGAAATTAACATTCGTTATTAAACAAGCGATTTGTCCGGACAGATTAACAGCCACTATTAACTAAATTATTCGCGAACGGACTCTCGACGTCTTTATCGAATGAAATGCTACTTTTATTCGACAAAGCTGCTTCTTCGGTTTCTCATCGAAACATAGTTCGTACTTGTAAAGAAATTCGACGACAACGCGAACGTAAACAGCTCCTCTTTCTCCCAGGCTTTCAACCCCCACGATCGTTCGAAACGAAAAGATATTTGCGAAAAGCGTCGAAGCGTTTTCAAAAAAATGAAACGAAGAGATCGAAGAATGCGTCGGAAACAAGCCGAAAGCCTGCGAAACCTGAAGAGGAACAACGAGCAGAGAGAGGAGACTGGCGGACGACGAACCTTTTCGAAAAGCGATCGACGCGATGCTTTCGGTGAATCGATCGAGCCGCGGATCCGATGTGGATCCGATCGTTTGAGAAACGATCGCGTCGTTCGGTGAACTTTCACATGTTATTTTTCGACGCCGTTAGCCGAGAGATCTGGCGAGTAAACAACGGGCCGCGAGCTCGAGGGAAAACCTACTGAAAAGCCACCGAACGGGTGGCGAGCACGAAAGCGCATGTTCCTCCGGCTCTATGGATCGAACGCGAAACCTAAAGCTACGTTCAGGCTACTGCCACGCGAAGCTTCGACGAGCATACTTGCAAAGATTCAAACGCGTTATTTCCCGCATCGGAATCTGTTATTTTCGGCGATAATATCGTGCTAAGAGAGGCCCGAAATTCCACGATCGCGGTAGCGTTGCGACGCGAAGCTTCGACGACCATAATTGCAAAAATTCAAACGCGTTATTTTCCGCATCGTAATCTGCGTCCTTTGATCTCGAAAAACGTCGAAGCTGTTATTTCCGGCGATAAGATCGTTCGAAAGAGGGGCCCGAAATTTCACGATCGCGGCAGCGTTGAGCACCACTGGCGGCCGGCGCGGCGCGTCTCGCGAAACAATTTCGCTCGTGCTTGGAAAACGGAACGAGATTTCTGCATTTAACAAACGCCATCCGCGAGTCGAAAGTTCGCTCTATCGCGTGGAACAATTCGATTTCCTTCCGCGTATTTTGTTCTTTGAGTAAATTGAAAAATATCCGCGGAACTTTTTTTGGGAACATTTTGGGTGCTCTGATATTATTTCAATTGGATATTTAGTACTCTAGCATCGATGACACAATTCGTGGACCAATATTAATAACATCGCCGCGACTCGAAGTTTTCGAATTCTCGCGGATCGGCCCCGAAATTCCGCGGCGGAGCGAACGATATTTCGGGATTGTGCACAAACCTGAAAATCAGGTTTCGGTCCGAAACCGTTTAGTTTTCTCAGATTCAACCTGTTCCAATTTAATGGCTTCGCGTGTCGTCACGAGCGCGTAACATTCGCGACGTCCGATCGCATTTTGCACTAAAATGGACAATTTGGGAGGAGGAGATGCGATTGATCGCATTGGCAATCTGTGTTTATAAAAACGAGTGCAATGCTCGAATAATCGCGTCTCCTCTTTCAAAATTGTTCATTATCGTGCGCAATCTGTACGCGAATCAGGGAGAAATTGACTGTATGTACTTCGATCATCGTTTTCGACAGCGAGGAAACAATTATCTCGTCGTCGAATAACCTGTCGCGAAAATTACACGGATGTTAAAGAACACGATTTATTGCTTTCTAGCTTCGCCACGATGCACTTCGATGTGCAAATGCAATCTCGAATTGTGCAACTCGTAAGTACGCATCGTTCACACAGTTGTTCGCGCTGAGATGCTGTTAATGCGACATTACATAAACAAATTGAATTAGGGAAACACGGATGATGCTCAAACGATGCTCAAACGATGTTCAAACGATTCCCAAACGATACTCGAACGAAATTCAACGAATACTCGATACGACAGGAACCTAAACGACTTCGTAATATTATTAATAAAAGAAAAAATACATTTTAATACAACCTATGTTCTTTGCAATTAGCTTAGACAATTTTTATCTCGCACAAAAATCCGCGGTCTAACTATCGCCCGCGTTCTCTCGCCGGTTTCTCGAAACGAATTCGAGTGCCGCGCGAACGTTCGAAACGCGTTAAACAAAAGTTAAACAAAAGAACGTTGGAAAAATCGTCGGAAAAGTACGAAACCGCAACGACGGCCCTGAAACAAAAAGAAAAGCAAAAAGGAACGATGTGACTCACGAAAAAAAAAGTGAAAGGTCGCCGTCGGTTCGACCGAATCCGATTGCGAATCCGAACGGCGCCTATCTTTATCGAAATCGAAAGGTGCAGCATCCCACTTCTCCGGACACGTCGAGCACTTCGCGTTCTGAAAATCGGTACCGAAAGGCGTCGGTGCCGTCGTAAGGTGGGGATCCGTCCGGCGATTCGTCGATACGAATCGATGATTTTTCATTTGACGCCGCGACGGCGACGTCGAACGAAGTCGCCGAGTGCATAACACACGTGACAGCCAGCGAACCGGGTGCCGGTGAAGAAGTTCGTTCGTTCCCATTTTGTCGCATGCTTTCCGAAACGGATTCTCCGTATCCCTAATTACCGAGAGAGAGAGAGAGAGAGAGAGAGAGAGAGGCTCGTCGGTGCGACGAGAAGCGTCGAGTTCGTTCGTTCGTGTTGCAAGATCTGTGAAAAGTGTTCAACGTTCGTAACAATGTGCAGAATCCGCGTCGGCGACTCGGATCCGGACGAATCAGCTCTCGTTTCCGACACGCGGAATTTCTGGATCCGCGTTACACGCGATCCGCTTCCGAAAAGTCCGCGTGCGACTCGCGGCCGAGGTTTTTGCGCCACTTTCGTCGACGACGACACCGATTCCGACGAATCGGCGAACTCGAGAGGCGCCTCGAAATCGAACGATACTCTTCCGAGATCGCCGAGCGACGGGATATTTCGAAGCTTCTTGCGAATTTAACACGGTTAAAGTCGATCGCGTAAATACAACGGCGAGAGAGAGTGTTCGGACACCTTTCTAAACGCGATAAATTTTTTCAAACTGAACCGAGTGACTCGAATTCTTCTCTTTTTTAGATGGGACTGGTTTACGGACGGTCGGCTAAATGCTTCTTTTTCGATTTTGCTATTACTTGGAAAGAAATAAAGAGAACTCTCGTTTTTTAACTTTTTATAAAAAATACCTCGCGGAGATCTCCGTGACTTATATGCGTGCTGAAAATTGCACCAGAATCAGTCGTTAGGAGTTTTAACGAATTAAAGATGATGAAAGTCGCAGTTTCGTCGCGGTTTTCACCAAAAACCGGAAGAAATCTGCCGTTCTTTAATAATTATCGGCTCGGACAAAAAAGATAAAAAAGTCGAGAGTTTCTTATATTTTCTTGTCATCCCAGGTATTAGCAAAGTTAACATTTTAGCGGCTTGAACATTTAAAAGAAATTCAAGTCATTTAACGCAGTTTTAAAAAAACAAGTCATCGCATTCCAAAAACTGAACGAATACTCTGTCAGGGGTTGTCAATCATCGTCTAATAGCCCAGTCCCTCTGCCGCCTAAAAAAGAAAAGTTATTACGTTTCAGAAAAGTTGTAACACGATCCTTCGGACTTAAGCGACATTTCAGTATTAATTAAGCAGATTTCTGTAAAGCAACGCGTTCGGAGGTCCGAGTCGTTCGATCGTTTCGTCGACGATCGTCTTCGCGGTTTCCTCTGTAGATCCGCGGTGAACGTAGAATGACAACAATCCGGGCGTAAACAGAACAACGGTGGCAAACAACAATTCGCCGACGATATATCGAGCGATAATCCGTCGCGGTGCCAGTGCCGGAGGAATAAAATGGAGAGTCGGATCGAAGATAAGAGTTTCGTCGAAAGGAGGCGGACGACCACCTTGGATGAGTGTTCCCGAATAATTGGAGTGAACGGGAACGCTCGGTATAATAGAGACACGTTCAGGCGTCTTTTTTCGGATCAGGTGAGTGGGCATTTAACGAGAAAACGATTTCGAAACGAGCACGATCCATTAAAACCGCCGAGAGAAAGAGACGTTCACCAGCGCGTTTCGACGAGATTCGCTTCTGGATTTTTGATTTCCTGTAGCCACTGTGAAATTCTTGTAGAGTTTCGCTTCCCGATCAGGGGAAACCCGAATTCGAAAACCGAATTGCTCCGTCGCCCTCGGTTTTTCGAAAAGAAACGTGCTTTCGTAATTTGAACGTGCTTTCAAAATTTTCGACAAAAATTAGGCATTGCGTGAAAAGTAAAAACGTTAGACAGTTCTCTAATCGGTGTTAAAAGATAGAGGAGAGTTTTCCGAATATAATGGCATGCAATTTATTAACCCTTAGGGAACCAAAACTATTTATTTCCAGTTTACACACTGCCAAGTCCAGACTATTTTTCAGACGAAGAGAAATTTTTTACTGAAAATTTTTCTATCAATTTTTGCCAAGTGGACAAAAACGCGTGCGGCCTAGCATTGTCCTGCTGGAAAATGACATCTTTACGATCGACCAATTCTGCTCGCTTTTCCTTGACCGCTGCATTCAATTTGTCCAGTTGCTAACGTTCACGGATAATAAAAAATAACATAATAATAATAATAATAATAATAATAATACTTAGTTGCCAACCCAATATAATAAACGAGATGCAAAGCTCTAAAAATCGGATCGAAACAAGGTCGCGATTCCATTGAAAGTAAATAACAAAGAGGTGAGATCGTCGTCGACTAGGCTCTAGAGAGCCTGCGGAACGACCTAAGGGAGAAGCGGAGGCAGAGCAGCGACGGGATCGCGGCAAATGGCAAGGGAATCTATCGAGGGTCACCGATATCGATCAAGGTGGCGGATCGCCCGGGGCGAAAAAGCGTTCTCGCGCCTCGGGCGTCTTTGATACTCGGAACTCAGAATTCGATCGCGGTCGCGAGCCTGTCTATATACCCGGCCTTGAATCGAGAGCCGATCGTTCGCCGGCGTTTGCCTAAAACAAATTCCTCGCGCTCGTTACAGCGATAGGGTGATTGCTATAAAAATAATACAGTAATGTTCTCCCTTATATACCGACGCTCAGATTGTCCACTAAAATGGAGAATTCGGGAAGAGGAGATACGATTGTTCTCGAGCCTCGCGGTTCATTTTTATAGTCACGAATTGTCGACAACTATAAAAACGAGCAGCTTCGAGGCTCGGATAATCGTATCTCCTCTTCCCAAATTGTCAATTTCAGTGGACAATCTGAGCGTCAGTTAGGGAGACATTACTGTACGCTCTCTTCTTTTCACGATTTCAGGCATTGTTGGAGAGATTGTTCGCCCTGTTCGATCATGACGATTCGAAGACGTTGAAGCAGGACGAGTGGATCGAATTTGTAAAGAGCAGACTATCGTAAGAAATATTTAATCGTCGAAAAGTATTATACAACGGAACGTTCCGAGCTACGATCGAGAACGGTATTAATAATAGCGGACGATGTGTTACCAGGAATAAAAGGCACAGTTTCATCGACCAATTCGATAGCGTCGTGTACAACGTGTGCGGCGATGATTCTATTAACTTCGCCAGCTTTCAACGAATATTTGCTACCAAAGAGGTAAATCGACGGTCCGCGAGCTAACGCGTGATCCGTGTAGAATCGATAGCATGAATTTTACGCTATAGCAAAGCGAACGATCGTTGTTTTCACTTCTCTCTCCCATGAAATATCGATTTATTATTTTTTAATCTATTTCTACATTTTTTTATTTTTCTATTTCGAAAATAGATTCACTCTCAGGAATCTCAATGTATTATTTTGTAATAATATAATAATATAATTATATAATTTGTAATATATATAATAATAATAAATAGGAAAATCTACTTCTTTATTTTTTCATTTTTCTATTTTGAAAATTTACTATTTATCATCGTTATTTATATCAAAAATAATACATTGAGATTCCTGAGAGTTTAACCGGAACTTACATTTTATACAATGATTTCGAAAAATTGAATCTGTCGTCCAAGAAATTAAATGAAACCTGCTCTACACAGAGACAGACTTCGCGAGCCCAATTACAAGAAATTATAAGAAACGATAGAAAATGTTGAATTTCTTCTTGTCCGGAGTCTTTCTCCGCAGGTGGTGGACAAACTGTTCCGCCTAATCGACGAAGAGAATGCGAACCACGTGTCGTCCGATCAAATTATGGATTTTATTGCCAACATAAGCGACAGAAGGTGATTCGAATTTCGTTACCGTTGCCTCGGGGGAACCTATTATTATCATCGAAAGCTATTATCTTTCGAAATGCTTCCGCAGACCACGCGCCGGCTTCGACAAGACCAGCTTGGAATGGTTGGAGAAGATTTTCAAGCAGATGGTGGGCAACGAGAAGGAGATAAAGCGCGAGGAATTTAACAAAATTGTCACGTCGAAGAACGTAAGACACGTATACCATGTTAAAAACCTTTAGACAAATCCTTTTCTATGAGATGGTTTTCTAAAGCGGGGTTAATCGACGCGTAAAAAAATAGATCGTGTCCCAACAATTTTAGGCAGAAATTTCAGGCAGTTTGCATTTCGAATTTATCCGTTAACCCGTTGATTAGAGCAACGAAACTCAACAAGAATCGAACAATTGCGACGAGAATACACGCGAGAACTTTTCTCCTTCAGCCGTTCTTCACGGACAGAGCGTTCGAAATATTTGACAAGGACAACTCCGGAGCCATATCTCTCCAGGAGTTTCTGGACGCGATGCACCAATTCGCTGGGAAAAGTCCCGACGACAAAATCAACTTTCTATTCAAAGTCTACGACATCGACGGTAAGACGCGCATCTAGAATGGAGGGTGTTGCAAAAATCGCTCGCAGTCGAGAACCGAGAGATTCCCGAGGTCGTTCGAAGCAACTTTTTCCTTTGCAAAAATTCCCTTCGAGGCTTCGTTCGCGAGTTATCGAAGAAAAACCGCTGACCAATCGGAGGCGAGCACGGCTGGCGCGAGGCGGCCTAGTCAGCGAGCGGTCGCCGCCCAGCTCCGCCGAGCTCGCCTCTGATTGGTCACCGTTTTTCGTCGATAACTCGCGAACGAAGGCTCGAAGGAAATTTTTGTAAAGGGAAAAGTTACTTCGAATAACCTCGGGAACCTTAATGTTTCTTTAATTTATTTTTTCGGTGCGATCTTTGGGAACGATCGATTGCGAAAAGGCGACGGATTGATACAACTGCGCGAATTGGAGCACGTGATGAGAGCCTGCATGGAGGAGAACGGAATGGAGTTCAGCGACGAACAAATCAAAGAGTTAACGATAGCGTTGTTCGAGGACGCCGATCAGGCCAACCGTGGTGCAATCACGTACGAGGCGCTCAAAAATCAATTACAGAAGCACGAGGGATTGTTGGAGAACCTGTCGATCAGGTGACCAAACTTTTGTTTGCCAGTCGTCGCGGGACCCGTCGGTTTCTACAGGGTGTCCCATAATTATGTCAACACTCGGACAGGGGTGATTCTTGAGATCATCCGAACGACCCCAGGAATCACCCCTTTCCGGGCATTGACATAATTATGGGACACCCTGTACAGCGCCGCGTCGATCCGACGAGAAAATAAAATTAAAAACAGAAATTCGATCGCAGCATCGACCGATGGCTGGTCCCGCCGAAGCCGAAAGTAACGCAGAGATCGTTGTTGGGATCGTTCGCGTCGTTGCGGCCGTACCAGTTGACGAGACCGTACATGAAGAACAATTACGTCTACCTCGCTTTCATCTGCTCCCTCGTCTTCGTTAACGCGGCTCTGTTCGTCTCGCGATTGTACGCCTACAGGTACTCGAACGGCTACGTCATGCTCGCACGTGCTTGCGGTAAGAGAACACCGATCGCCGTTTGTTCGCGCTTCGTCAAACGTTTCTCATCCGAACGTTTCCACGCAGGCCAATGTTTGAACTTCAACTGCAGCTTCATCCTGGTCCTTATGCTACGCCAGTGCATCACCTTTCTACGGACTCACGGTTTCAATTCGGTGCTGCCGCTGGACCAGCACATCTACCTTCACAAAGTCACAGGAGTCCTGATCGGCGTCTTCGGCGTCACGCACACGCTGATGCATCTTCTGAATTTTGGTACGTCCGTTGTTTTCGTCCAAGATCGCTCGAAGTCAATCTGGAATATGTTAACGCTTGCGTGTTCAACGAATGAGTTTGTTTCAGGCACCGTGGTGGTGAGCGACGAGGTGCTCAATTATCAGAATCATACCCTAAACGAATGGCTGTTCACGAGCCGTCCAGGACTGTTCGGCCTCGTACACGGCTACGCAAATCCTACCGGGATCATTCTCGTCGTCATCCTCGCCATCATGACGCTTTCTTCGATGCCCTTCGTTCGCCGCGGCGGATGCTTCGAGGTTGGATATCTCGTCGCGATTTCATCTCAAATTTGTTTGTCGCCTATCTTTTACAATTGATCACCGACAAAGAGCGGTTTCGAGGATATACAAATGATCATTGCCGGTTTTCTCGTAAGACGCAATGTAAATTGCGGTACGAATCATCTGTTCCGTAAAATCTTAATTTAGCGCCACTGCAAATCGTTGAAACCAGTGCACGAATTACCGACCGCGAACATTGTTTTTGAAACGTCAGATGGCGCCACCATACGCTTCTGGGAACTTAATATATAAATAAATAAGTAAATATAATATAATAATATAATATAATATAATATAATATAATATAATATAATATAATATAATATAATATAAGTAAATTTGTCTACCAGTTTGAGCGTTTTGCCACCGCGCGTAATGGCGCTATTTTTATATTTTCAGGGGCAGATAATTCTTACTGGAATTTACATCGTGTCTTATGAGAATAGCGGCAAGAATCATCCGTTCGCGATATTTGCAGTGACAAATAACCCTTTTTCGTATGATACAGATGCAGGAGAGTTTTCTGGACATTTCTATATCGTCGAAATACTTGTTTAACACCAAAATTTGCAAATTTTATACTGCCTTTTTTCTAGAAAATGTTGGATACCTAATATCGACTTCAGACTTAAACTTGCCTTATGTTTGTCGAAGTAATAACACAAAACCAGTTAAATTAATATCCGATCGCACAGATATTTTATTGGTCGCATTTGCTCTACATACCGTTCTGGATATTAACGATTCTCCACGGGCCGAACTTTTGGAAATGGTTCATCGGGCCAGGAACATTGTACCTGATCGAAAGGATTCACCGAATCGCCTGGTCACGATCCGAACTCGGGAAAACCTACATAAGCTCGGGCCTGTTGCTGCCGTCGAAGGTGACACACTTGGTCATCAAACGACCGCTTCATTTCGACTTTCGACCTGGTGATTACGTTTTCGTGAACGTGCCAGCCATCGCTCGGTACGAATGGCACCCTTTTACTATCAGCAGCGCGCCGGAACAGGAAGGTGAGACGCGTTCGAAATTAGCGCGAGTTCGAAATTAACGATCTCCGACGAAAGCCTTGCGTGGAAGATTAGATCGAACGTTTATATGATATATATATGATAATATAATATAATAACATTTATCTATAATATATATATAAATAATATATTTCTATATATTATAGATAAATGTTATTTAGGTGAATTTAATGCGCGTATTTATTAACATTATTTTTAACAGATTACATATGGCTTCATATCCGAGCGGTGGGCGAGTGGACGAACAGCCTTTATTCGTACTTTGAGAGAGAACAAGTGAAACTTCAAGGAGGCGGCGTATATCCGGAAGACTGTTGCGATAACAAAAGTGTTTCCAAAAATATGTGAGGCCGTAGAATTTATTTTATCTCGCTTTAGAAAATCTCAGATGTTATCTCGAATGGCTGACCACGATTGTTTCTCGTAGATATTTGAACAATAGACAAGATGCAAGCCCAAACATGAAGACACCTTCGCGGTCTTGGAAGAATTGTCAAGGTCTCGACAATCCCACGTTTGTCTCCGATAATAGCAGCGAAAATTTTTCGCCGCGCAGTACAAATGGTGAACGGCAAACCGATTACTATTGTCTAATTAATTATTACAATTGACTGGTTACGGTAATGTCTCTCTAATTGACGCCCAGATTGCGCAGAAAAATGAACAATTTGGGAAGAGGAGATACGATTATTCGAGCGGTTTATTTTTATAGTTATAAATTGCCCACAATTATAAAAGGCTCGAATAATCGTATCTCCTCTTCCCAAATTGTCCATTTTAGTGGACAATCTGTGCGTCAGTAAGAGAGACATTACTGTACTTTCAATTTACAGCATTTTTATTCGATTTAATTATCTAATCAAAGATATATAGTATAAATAATTAAAAATACGTATAATAATATAAATATATATATATATAATATATAATAATATAGTATAATAATATAAATATATATAATAATATAAAAATACGTATAAATATTTAAAAACTATCGCATGTATATATTTACGTAGATATACCAGATAGTAGTAAATTTACCAGTAGTAAATTTTCCAAAGAAGGAAGGCTTCATCGTTTGTTGTTGCATAGCAAGATGCCATTGGAGAAATCGTTCTCGGTGCCCGATATGCAAACGAGAAGAAAAACGAGAGACAGATTAATGGTGTAAGTCGTCCACTTTTTTTTATTAACGCTGTATCGATCCGAAATATTCTGTGAATTTTATTTTCTATTGTTACAGTAGTAACATTTCAACGCTGCTTTGCTATCTAATGAAATAAATGATATTCTCATTCGTGAAAAACTTGGTCAGAATTTTTACTTCATAATTCGTGTCGAAGATAAAAGTACATATTTGTTTCCTTCTACAGAATTTTCGGTAAAATAGTTCGACTAAAACTATTATCGATAAAGCAAAAGTCGAAGTATCATTTTTTTTTAGTATAATAAATTAAAAGGAACTTTGCATGATTTGTGCCTGACAGACTTCGCGATTATACGAGATCCGAATCGGAGAGGAACTTCAACGAGAGCCAGCTGCTAGGTGCACGACTGAAGTCTCTGGAGCAAGCTTATTTGAGTCCTCAGAATAAGAATATTGCTCAAAGTTTCCGCTATATGAGAACTAAGCCGACGATAATTGCTTTCAAGACTCCGAGTTTAGAGAATAACGTGTACAAAGTAGGATCTTCGACGAGCAACGGCTGTAAGAGAACTTTCTTCTAGCAATTAAATAATAATAAATAACTGCTAAATAATATTATATATAATTAACTGTTAAATAATATTTATATTATAAAACAGCGACCTTTGAAGTAAATGTGGACGAATACAAGTGCTCGGCCACGAAATTGGTCGCGTCGCAAAAAGCAGCGGAAGAAGGTAGATTAAAGTTAAGATTAGAGGAAACGTTAAACGGAAGTACAGAAGACGCCAAATCTGATGTTGCCTCGTTGAATTATTTAGGGAAGCCATTGGAGGTAAACAATTTGTTCAAATGTTACGACTCGAAAGAATGCTAACATGCGATTATAAAATTCGGTGCTTTTATAAATTGTCTTTTGAGAAGGAATCACTTTTTAGACTGCTCTAAGGAACAATCTCTTTAGAATGAAAATAATAAATGACCATGGTGTTCGACTATGCGTCAATTTATAAAAGCCAAAGAGTAAGGGCATTGTAATGATTGTTTAGATTTTCCTCGATGGTCCATATGGCGCTCCTGCCAGTCACATATTCCAAGCACAACATGCTGTATTAATTGCAACCGGAATCGGAGTCACACCTTTCGCGTCAATATTACAGTCTATCATGCACCGTTATTGGAAAGCCAGACACACGTGCCCAAAATGCACATTTTCATGGGCCAGCGATATTCCGTCCACTGTGATGCACCTGAGAAAGGTATAATAATATAATTTTATAATAATATAATATAATTTTCTTTTATCTGAAAACGCGATGAAAGACCTTTAATCAATTTACGAAGCCCGTATCCATCAACTTAGACGACTATTAATTTTAACAAAACTAAAAAATTGTCCTTTATTATAGGTAGACTTCTTCTGGATCAATAGAGATCAGAGGTCTTTCGAGTGGTTTGTAAATTTGCTGTCTCAGTTAGAAATGGAACAAGCAGAACTTGGCGATGCCATGGAACGTTTTCTTGAGATGCATATGTACATTACCAGCGCGTTGCAGAAAAATGACATGAAGGCTGTCGGTTTGCAGCTAGCTATGGATTTACTTCATCAAATGGTAAAATATCACAGTGTACAATGCATGTTTATACTTTATTTTATGTGATATTTCTCAAGAAACTCTCGTAGAAGAAATTATTATTTTATATATATATATTTATGTATATAAGAGAAATATATATATATATATTTTTTACGTTCTGTGTTTGTTTCAAATTTTGTTAGGAAAAGCGAGATCTCATAACAGGTTTGAAAACGAGAACGAACGCTGGTCGTCCAAACTGGGATAAGGTTTTCAAGCAGCTTCAAGACAAGAAAAAGGGAAAAGTGACGGTGTTCTATTGTGGTCCGCCGCAGCTTGCGAAAATTCTACGCTACAAATGCGGCCAATTTGGTTTCAACTTCAAAAAGGAATCTTTCTAGATTTTCCGAGACCGTAGAATTCGTGTGAACACGTTCGTCGCACCATATTTTATATCGGTTACTTATCTGGTATAAGTAACAAGACTCGTTGATCGTTGTTTTAGAAAAATACGTTGCGCAACATGTAAACGAGATTTAAGTTGTTTTTTCCTTCGGGTATCTCTAACCGAATGATAATCTGTGGAACACTTATAATTACGCAATGTGTATTTTACCTTGATTCATTTCATGTTATTTACAATTCTAATTGCTTCGTGTATTAACCATATCGACACCAGTATAGCAAGAAATTCCACTTGACGATCCGTCATAACTAGAACAATTTTTCAGTGCGATATTAAATATTTTGACGCGTCCGTTCATTCGGAACCAACCAACGATCTTCCGAAAAATTTCTCATGTGTGATAACTTCTTACGTAACTCGTGTGCGGCTACTTTCATATCCCAAATATTTTTCTAGAACGATACTTACATATTAATATTTAGCTATTGCATCGGATCGAGGGTCGAGAGATAATCTAATAGAAATGAACAGAAGTTTAAAATTACACTTCATTTATTTAAAGAGTAATGTACAGATATAACAGTTCTCCAGAATAATGACTAGATATCTCTTTGTTTACAGAAAAGCTATTAATACCGCTCACCATTTTTATCGCCTTAAACTATGTAAGTTCTCTTAACAAGGCATGTTAAATTTCTTGGCAATCTATACCAACCATTGGAATGTACATAAATACGATCTCATAAATATGATAATAAAATTTAAGTAATTCGCCTACGCAAGAGTGTTCACCAACATAGACGCTTTGTTGCAGTATGTAATATTAACTTCGCAAGGATGTTGGTACCAAGGTTCCCCATCGATTTGCATGGCATATGATTTCAGTAACTTCATCTGTACGTTGCAAAACATTTATTTATTTATAGAATGTACTGTTATAGCGTATAATAATAAATGCTAATTAAAATAACGTGAACGAAAGAGTTTAGTGTTTTTAGTAACAGTTAAAATACCTTTATAGATTTAGCTTGGCCGATTCGATAAGGCTGAGAAAGTCCCACTTGAAGCTGGGCCATATGGAAAGACGAGTAAAGTCCAACTACCTCCAATTTTTCATCGTTAAAACTTTGCTTTCCGTGTTCTTCGCGAACTTTTCGGCAAGAAGAAAGAACAGATTTGATTTGCTTCATTTTTTTCCAATTTCATACGTAAAAAAATTATAAATCTGTACCTGAATTCCAAAGATTAACGCCTGCGCCCCAAGAAGGTATATTCGAGACCACGATGCCCTCGATAGCGGGCAATTCCATTTTAACGTCATCTAAATACAGTTCTATATGCTTCTCAAGATCTTTGCATTCCCTTTCCACCACTTGTTGTGTACCAAAACATAGGTATAGTAGCTATTGAAAACATCAAAGTATGAATTTTTTACGACAAATTATAAATTACTGAAAATGAAATGTGTTACCTTATTGAATAATCTACTGCTATAAAAGTAAAATCGGCTCTCCCTTGTGCGATGAAACTGTAACGTTACTTGCGCATCAACTCCTATACCCAGATAATTATACATATGAAATTGCTGATGCGAACCGCGTAGTCCCAATCCACCATATGGTTTCACCGTCACAGTCCACCTAATAAATTATTAAGGGAAATGTAAGTATACAATGTTATCTATTTATATTTATGCATATTCAATATTCTTCGGACACCTATCAAGTTGCACTTCTCGTGCTGCTTGTATTTCCTGTAATATATGCGCAGGGTCTCTGTACAGATCGTGTTCCTTTCCCCATCCTAATACCCTGGACAAGTCGTTTCCTGTTCCCAGAGGAATAATTGCCACAGATGGATCTGGCTAGATAAAATAAAAGTTTAATGTAAAGCATAGTAAATTCACAGTTTCGAATATATTACCTCTAATTGAAGTTTGTGAATAGCATTTAATAACCAGGCTATCGTGCCGTCTCCACCTGCTACGAGAACAATGCATTTCACTTTTCCTATTAAGCGACACCATTCAAGAGCAACAACGGGATCACGTTCCGATAAATCAACAACTTGTGCAGGATTAAGTAACCTTCTAAATAAAGACAAGATTTCTCCTCCATCTTTATTGCCAGATTTCTTGTTCGCTGTGAAAGAAATTCCATAAATGACGCTACAATTATTTAAAAAATTACTTTAGACATGCACTATATCGTTTGTTCGGTATAATTTTATGTTTTAACGTTGACCTACCAACTACTATAAGAGGTCTCCAATTAGGCCATTCTGGTGGTATAACCGTACGAAGTTGTAATCTTCGTCTCACGGCATTGCGTTGATTTACAACTTCTAAGCTGCTCGGTGGAATTATCAACAATTTAAATTTACCAAAGTCGCATATCTGCAAATACGATACACAAATTACTTATATAAATTAGTATGAGCTACATAAAAATATAGAATATACTTCAGGGAGTTTAGGTTTACAATCTTCATGAACAGATCTTTGACACCAGCAACACCACGAATCTGTTAGCCCAGGTTCCATGTCGCATTCCTCGTTGCATACGTCACATGTAGTAGACAGTGGCAAGTTACCTGAAACAAAAAACAACAAGTTCCATCAAACTTATAACAATAGGATGGGTCGATAACAATTACTACTAAAAATAATGCTAACTTCAAAAAAAATTTATAAGGTGACAATTTTAATTATTATCACACGCATTTTGTAGTATTATATATACAAAACAAGTAAAAAAGAGACATACCCTTCACCCAATGGTGCTTCATTGGCTCGTTTGTATTTAAACGAATAACTTTACACTTCAATTGCTTGTCTGCAATCTTCACACAACTAGGATCCACATATACGCCACAGCAATCACACATCAACCCATCAACATTTAATAACAAATTTTCACATATGCTACAATAATATGCCTATAGGAAAAAGATTTCATAAATATATATCGTTCTTTTAACATTCTGACGTTGCATAAGAACATTGAATTTCTTCTAATGCAAACGGCATTACCTATGACAAATTTATATCTGCGGTGACGACATTGATTATATTACATTCAAAAAAATTCTATTATTTACATTTTGTAATCCACAAAGAAACAGTTAATTTTCTCATGTACATACATATTAAAAATAGATGGAGACTGTGCCAATCGAAGTTTAATCTAATTTTTAGTAAAAATTGTGTTATCACAACATATTTAACGTAATAAAACTATGCATACCTTAGTTTCTTTTCTCAGAGATTTCCAATTATGCTGTTTGGTAACATCTCGTATATGAATATGAGGTTCTCCTATAAGGTATCGGAAGAAGTATAATGTAAATATAAAAAATAGCATGGTAGACAATGTAGGTAAAACAATGGTACTAAGTTCTTCTTCTAACATTGCTCGATTAAAGTTTGATTCTTTCAGGAAAGATGACAGATCTCTGCAAAATAAATGGATCCCACAGAATGACGCAAGAAAACTGTCCTAACATAGTAAAATCGTAAAACACATCACTGGTTCTTTAAATTAATATTTAAATCGGAAATTCATTTTACTAACCTTCTATCATTTATGAAATTGACGATGTATTAGGACACCGATTGTATTAAATGACCGTGCAGGAAAGCTTGAAACACATTTAGCTAGTGAAATAGATTCCTGTGTCGCAGAAAATGCATTTTATTTACATAAATCACAGATAAAAAATGAATGAATAAGTATTGTTTACCTTCTCTGTCTTCAACTTTAAGACGCTTCAATCATATTTGTCACAAAGGTACCCGGATAAAGAATGATTTAAGAGGTAAGTAAGTACTAGTTTTAATGTTTGACAGCTGACATTACAATTATAGTTATTCACGTACATCTGTGTTAGTGTACACCGCTCATTCGATTCGTCTTTTTATTGTGCGTTCAAGTTCAAATATACGAGACAGGGTTCGATAATTATTTTGAACTGTGATACATATTCCACTTCTAATTTAATATGTGTCTCCTCATTCTGCCAATCAAAATTCACAGTGACTGCTAGTGACATCTTTAATTATTGTGTACACGTACGTATGGATTACCGTCAGTCGAATTTGGCTATCAGTTCGAGCGTTTTGCCGCTATCCCAATTGGCGCTGTGCGGACATCGAAAGGAGCTTCATTTTTTTCTCCGCAAGAGACGTCACATATGCGCAACGCAGGACCGCTTGAAAGAAGGAAAAGAAAGAAAAGGAAACATTAATTATTAAGACAAAATTAGGACATAAAAAAATGTAAACCAGGGATACTGTTCAGGAGAATCTACTGTGTCGACATGGTATATACAAAAAAAATAACAACATTGCGAAAGACGATAATTGCTGTTTGAAGTTTGGTTAATTATGGTGTAAACTAATTATATTTTACGTTGTTGTCGTTTGGTTTTTTTACAATACACGTGCAGCATTATTTTCTTGAACAATTATATGCCCTTGATTTAGATCATTTTGCCGCAATTAATGTTTTTAGGCGATCAACAAAAGACTAACATATTGAAATAAAAATAAACGATAGCCAACAATAAACGAATATACGCAAGAAATTACTACGCAACGCGAGATAGGAGATTAAGTAAGTAGTGGAAATCGTGTGTTACCGTAGATTAGACCATATGGTTTAATTAAGATGTGCATATATATATAATAATATAATACATTAACGAATGTGCGCAAGTGTTTAATTTTTAGAAAACAAATTCGATCAATTAAATATAAATATGTTCTAACAGAGATCGTAGGAAACTCGTTAGTTATTTATGATCATGATCAACGTTTATGCTTGTAGCTAGCTATGCTGATATTGCTGCCACGGTTTTGACTCGCAGTTTCAGCGTTTCACCATTCTGGAATGAACGGATTTCTTTTTAGAAATCTTCACAAAGTTTCTGGATAATTTAAAAAAAAAAATGAGATCGAGTTAGTTGGAACACGAACACATTTCTTCATCGTCGGTAAACGTAGCCGCTATCGGTACAAGAAAGATGAAAAAGAGAAGAAGAATGTGAATTCGATTTTAGTCGAATTGGAACTATTAAAGACGTTTCGTGGGGTTCCTGTAACATTTCTGTTGTTTCGTCGTTTTCAAATTTATCCGATGGTTAAACGGTCGGTACATTTCTGTTGCAGGAGGGCGTGACAATCTTGAAACCGAAATCGATCGAATTGGTGCTGATTCGGAGCTTGCGACAAACGGAAGAACCTCCGTGTGTTACAATTGTTATTATTGTAATATTGATTTCGGAGATCGTACTTCTGGAGGCTTGCCTGAGAGAATTGGCGCATCGAAAGAAGGGAAAAAATGGAAGCGATGCGAAACGAAGCGAGCAATGAAATATCGAGCATATTCAATCGCCTGGATATCGCAGGTTGATGCTACGCGTGAACGTCGACTGCGTCTCGAGAGGAAGATTTTGGTCAGGAGCGAAGAAAGAAAAGAAAGGGAAAGAGAACAGAAGAAAAGAGAGAAAAGGAACAAGAGAGAAGCGATTCGAAGGAGAAATGGTACCGAGCACAGTGAGCGGCGAGCGCGGTGCGGGACTGCATGCTGGTCGCTGGTCTTGCTCCCGGGACAAACCTCCCTCGTGATAACGTCAGCCCCGAGCATGTGTAGAAGGGAGGTAGGCAAGTTAGTTCGATATCGGACGCCAAGGCGTTCGGTCCGTCCATAAACGTTTCTAATTTTTCAGTTGATTTTCGTGTTTTGCGGCTCCTGTTTCATTGCATGCGTGCTTTGCGTGCTTTGTGTGCTTTGTTTGATTCGCGACGAGATCGGCCGAGGCTGCGGAACCAAGTAGGAACACCACCGAACCCGTACACTTGTCGTCAGTGATTGTCACGATATGCGTATTTTTAAAATCTCATCGAAAGCACGCAACCCTTTCTGGTGTATAGGCAAACAAAAGAAGAGGGAACAACTGTATCGCAGTCGATCCTCGAGAGAAGAAAAACGGTAAGAGCGAACGGGCTACTCGACGCGAATCTGTTGTCACAGGCCTTGTTGCCCGATTCGAACGCGTTTGTTATGTCGAGAGAAGAAACGACAAACCGACCGAACTATATACGTTGTATGCATGCTGCTATCGCCGTATATTTACGCTCATGTTTTGTCGTTTTGTACGGTCGCGTTGACAATGTTGAAACAGTCTCGTTAGCGAATCAGAAGCTGAATCCAGTGAACGAGTAAATAAAAGTATGTCTTTTCTTCTCGGCGATGAAAAAAAAATAAGTTCGTGCGTGTTGGGTCTTTTTTCAATTTTGTCGCATGTAGCAACGACAACCAAGAGTTTCCGCAATCGATTTTACATGCACGTAGAAGAAAAAAGAAAAGAAAGAACAACCCGAAAGGAGTAAAAGTTCACCGATAAAAATTTAGCAACTTTGTTCGCGTCGCGATGACATAACGTGGCAATTCCTTCCTACATTTCCGAGACACAGACAGGTTTCTGAAACAGAAAATGATTCGTATAGTTCGCGATGTTTGCTCGAAGCTCGCATCGACGGGAAAAACTATCGGCTAAGCACGGTTGGAATGTGTTTAAACTCCTGTGTAGTTCGGCTTTCCGGCTCTGTTGTTGCTGTTTAAGCGAGCGATGCAATTCGATCTCGTGCAGATCGGTTGAAACGTTGAAGGGTACACACATGCGAAGTCGTAAAGATAGAGATACATGTGTGTAGATGGAGATAAAGATGGAAATTTAAATTGAGATGGGAGCAGAGGTGCGACTACAAGCATGTAACACATTGTTTAAGAGCTATCGCGGAAGATTCTTCGAAAATATTTCGATATATTTTTAGCGTCGGTAAATACTAAATGTGGCGGAAAATGTTTGCGGCGCTTTAAGTCTAGCGTGATTAAGTTGTACGACACCTTTTTTTTTTGTACGAAAAGATTGTGCACGCTCTAATTACTACCGCTCTTGATCGTTTATCGTCCCGTACTTCCGCGCGTGTCACAGATATTTGCCATAAATAAAGTTTCCCCCCTGCAACGCGGCGGGAGAATTTGATGAATTAACTCGACACGTCGAACGGACGGGATTGCGCAAATTGCGACACCGTCGTTCTAAATGAGTAAACAACAGACCGAAGGGAATAAAAAGAGAAGCAGCGGCAGCGGAAAGGAACAAAGAAATAATAAAATAAAAGAAAGAGGCGACATCGTAAGAATCGATGTAATAGCATTATTTTTGATTGGTTGCGCAGTGTGTGTGCTGGAAGGAAGGGTACCCAGAACCGAATAGATACGGGCCAATAAGCTAGAGCTCTGCCGGGGGAAAAGACAAACTACCGAGAGCGACCTAAACATCGCAGCGAGCTAGATTAGGGTCGTCGGAGGCCCATGGCCGGGAACTCTTTCCGCTGGTTCTGGTCGTGGATCCCGATCGCGATCCTTTCCAGTTGCTTCGTCTTGTCGAACACCGATCGAGCACCGTGCGTCGTCTCGTACCCGTTGAACGTAACCGAAACCGAAATCGAAACCGAAGATGTCTACGACGAACAACAGTCGGAAGTAACAGTTTTTCTGCGCGAGCATTGCAACAGCGAAACGGACGCGACGGACATTCAGGGATTCTTCGACCGATCGAACTTCGATGTACGGATCGCTGTGATTCCACCGTCTCGTGAGTATCAATCGCGGTCGTACCGACGTGTTTACCGTACCGACCGAGAGCAGGATGATTATCGTTGGATCTGATTGGTATATTGTTGTTGTTGTTGTCGCCAGTGTCGTGCGAAAGAAAGACACGAGGACTCGACACCTTGTTGCGCATACTAGGCGAGAGAAAAACGAAAGTCGTCGTGGCCGCTGTCGATACGCCCATGTGCGAGATCACGGCGAAACTGGCACGTCTCTGGAACGTGTCCCTGTTCACGTGGACGTGTCCTTTGGTAAGACGTGTTTCGATCATTTACGGTTCCCGAACGCGGCGACGTTCAACCCTTTGCGGACGAGCGTCGGCAAATAGTCGACGACCCAAGTCTTTTTACCATTTTTTTTCTTTTTTTATTAATTTATTAACGCTATGCCGGTGCCATATTAAAAAACTGAAATTACATTTGAGCTATGTTTCTTGGGTGTTAAAAGGCAGCGTTGTGCTTATAAATTATTATATATTAATGTATTATTAATATATAATAATACATTAATGTATTAATGTTATAATTAATATAAACTACAGCATTGTGCTTATTTGACTAAAAATTAAGTACGAAAATTCTTGGATGACTTGTCTTAATTTTAGGAATTTATATTGCCGCCATCTTTGAAATTTTTTTAAATCCAAGATCTCCAAGCTATTATGCCGGCGTCAAACGAAAGAATTGTATCTAAGATCTCCGGACAGCATAGCGTTAATTATTAATATAAATTAACCGTATTATATTAATTATATTAATTTATTAACCGTACGTTCGGAATGAATTTCAATTTGACGAGTCGGTCTTTCTGTGTCGCTAGCAGAGAAACCAGCAAAGTTCTCCACATATTTATAATCTTATAATAACATAATTATATCTTATAACATTTTTATTTTATATCCAATACCTGTCGTCTGCAAAGGGTTAAAAAGTCTCGTCCGCCCTGACCACCGGCGACGCCGCTGATTTCAGAAAGACGACATGGACATGAAAGAATTTTCGTCGATCATCAGACTATCGCCCTCCTTGCCAGCGATCGCCAAGGCTTTAACGGAGATACTGATGAACTTGCAATGGAAAGCCGTGTCTATGATAGGAACCGGTAACGTCGATTCCATATACAAATTCGAACGCATACGACAATGGCAATGGCAACCGCCATACCATACGCGACGGACGACAGACGACGCGCGCGTAAGAGATTCCTGAGGTCATTCGAAGCAACTTTTTCCTTAGCGAAAATGCAATCCGCGGCTTCGTTTACGAGTTATTAACGAACAAACATTGACCAATCAGAGGCGAGATCATTTGGCGCGAGACGGCCGAGCCAATGAGGGGAACCGGGCTCCGTGCACTCTTTTGGCTGGGCCGCCGCGCGCCAGCTCGCCTCTTATTGGTCAATGTTTGTTCGTTAATAACTCGTAAACGAAGCCTCGGAGAAAATACTCGCAAAGGAAAAAGTTGCTTCAAATAACCCCAGGAACCTCCCATTTCCGGATTGCGAGACATTTTCGGGACACCCTCTATATTTTTCGTTTTTGTAGATCGCGAACCATGGTTGAGCCTCGACAGAGCGCTGTTAAACGCTCTCCGAGGTATCGGGGCTATATTACGATACCACGTGATATTGCCGTATCACGCTTCCCTCGAAGAGATTCGAAAACTTCTTCGTCCAACGCACAACATTTCCCGAAGAGGTGAATCGATCGTATTTGCATATCTCCCTGTGTGTGTGTGTGTCGGTAGTTACATATACATATGTACGTACATAGATACATCGTTGCTAGCCGTGCACAAGTATATTCCATTTAATGGCGCAACATTCACGAGGTGTGCGCATCTTATTGACAGATATCCCCGATTCGATCGTTTACAGTTACCCTGCTGTGTCTGCCGACGTCGGACGACAACGAAATAACGTCTCGGGTCCTTACCGAGCTGGACGCCGCTCGCAAGCCGTCGAGCACCGCGTGGATCGCGACCACCATGATTGTTCACACGAAAGACGACGATTTCTTTTTACCGGAGACGAACTCCTCGGTTCCTCGTTTCGACTTCACCGCATCCATATCTGCCGATAATCCGACGCCCTCGAATCGTTCTTTCTTAAACGAGACCGACGATTATCGCGTCCCCGTGTCGCAAGGTGCTCGCGCGAAACAAGCGAACGAGGAAGAAAGAGACCGGCGCGAGGAAGAGGAGAGGCGGGGAGAAGCGGATGAAACGGAAGAGGGAACGGAAGAGGGGTCAGAGGGAGATGAAACGGAAGCGGAGGACGAGCAAGAGCGTGGAAAGAGGAAATATCGATATTTACCACCGCGAAATCTCAGCTCGGACTTTCTGGAGAAGCTGGTGATCATAACGCCTCTCGATTATAGGTAAACGTCGGCCGTTCGCGCGTGAACGTCGACCGACGGCGCGGAGAGAACCAAGAGAGAGAGAGAGAGAGATGAGATAACGTGTTTGTTGATGTTCCGCAGATACGACGTGGAAAAGGTGTACGACGGCACCGAAACGTACGCCAGCCCGTCGCTGTTGGATCATTTGAACGAAACGTTCACCGTGTTAATGTACGACAACTCGAGCATCAACTCGTTCAACAACAAAATGTACGCGTACGTGTTGCTGGATTGGCGGGTCGACGCATGGAAGCCGATAATGATCAGCGTGGAGCAACGAAAGAAACGGCTGTTGGTCCGAAAATTGTCTATGAACGCGCCGGTGTTCCACGACACGCACGTGGACATACTAAGATGCAACGCGGAGGTTAACGGGCAGCTCGGTATCGATTGCACAGGTGACGAGTAAAGAAAGAAAATAATAAGCCACGCTTGCTCGAACGCTCTCGAGCCGAGTCGATTGGTATTTTGTTTGAATAAATGTATCTTGAATGTTGTCAGATGTTCATCGACTGGTGAAAAATAGTCGTCCATTTCGACCATTTCTCTCTTTCAGAGAACCATTCCGACGAAAACGAAACAGCGTTTCGCATCGCGCGTATCGTAACTATTGTTCTGGGATCGCTGTTGTTGACCGCGTTCGCGATATTAGCCGGCATCTTGATCAGGTAACACAGATACATCCATTCCATCTATCTGTCGCCTCGCGTCGCGTCGCCTCGCGTCGTCGATGTTCCCGCGAATTCGAGGATAAATTGCTGTATACGTTAATTAACGAACGAAGACGATATCTGACCCGTTTGTTTCAACTTTCCCCCACGAACGTAGAAAAAAGCTGGTTAAGAAGAGAATATCGAAAGGTCAGTACAAGATCATTCTGACCACGTCGGATTTTGTGTTTCCGCAAGTGCCTCGCGTAGATTTTAGAAGGGTGAGTAGAACCATTTGAATTATCGTGTATCTCGTAGAATAAAGGCGTAGGCGCCTACGGTGTTCACGTGCCGCGAGTTAACGACACGGCTGCGTTCGACGCTGTCCGGCAGGTGGACGAGGGTATCGAGACAATGTTATCCTGTTGGCTGCAACAATTGCAAGAATTTGGTGGCCCGGAGGTGGAGAAACCGGATCTTCTTCAGCTCGGCAGCGTGTCCTCCTTGAGGCCGTATCTACGGACAAGCACCGGGAACCTTGCGCGCCATGGTTTCTTTAAAGTTCCTCGGGCTCAGTACAACGTTAGTGCATACTTCTTCGGCTGGCTTGCCTTTGCTTCTATTCTATTGCTTCTAACATTCTATACGTTTCGGTGAAGAAGCATTTTTCTTTGGTGTCGTTAGGGCGATTTGGTGCAGTTGAAGGAATTGCCGGCGGAAGACGGCACGTTCGAGTTGAAGAACAAGGCTATGGACGTTCTGGTCACGGTGAGAACCTGCTCGCGACACAAAAATGTCAACAACCGATGGTCAAGCCGATGGTCAATTAGGGAGAATTCACTGTACAGTAATGTCTTCCTAACTGACGCTCAGATTGTGCAGAAAAATGGACAATTTGGGACCAATGAGACGCGAGATCAGCCGAGCCAACGAGCGGAACCGAGCTCCGTGCGCTCGTTGGCCGGGCCGCCGCGCGGCAGCCGAGCTCGCCTCTCATTGGCTACTGTTTTTCGCTGATAACTCGTAAACGAAGCCGCGGATCACATTTTCGCAAAGGAAAAAGTTGCTTCGAATCACCTCAGGAATCATCCTCTCCCAGATTGCGAGACATTCTCGGGACACCCTGTATAAATCTGAACCGCAAGGATCGAATAATCGTATCTCCTCTCTCTCTAAAGTGTCCATTTTTCTTGACAGTCTGAACGTCAATTAGAGAAACATATTTGACATTTCAATAGAAAACCGGTTCGATACTCGCGTTGCAATGTATACATCGATCGGAGTAGTAGAATCGTTCAACGATAAACTCTGTAACGTCTCTTTGCCCAATGTACACCTTCTAACCGAGCTGTGCACTACGCGCTATACGAACAGATGCACGGGTTACGCCACGAAAACTTGAATCCTCTGATCGGATGCCTGAACGAGCCAACGAGACCGTGCCTCGTTTACGAGTACTGTTCGAGAGGGTCGCTGGAGGATGTATTGGTGCAGGATGAGATCAAGCTCGATTGGTCCTTTAGATTGTCCTTGCTCACCGATCTTGTACGGGTGAGTAACGCTATCGGATCGAGAACGCGTTAACCAACGTAATCGCCGTGACTCGACAATGAGACTCTTGCGAAATATTTTGCTTGCGAAGGGTATGAGGTACCTTCACGGCACGCCGGTACGAGTGCACGGCTATCTTACTTCGCGCAACTGCGTGATAGACGCGCGCTGGGTGCTCAAAGTGACCGATTATGGACTACCGGCGTTTTACGAGGCCCAGAATATCGAGTGTCCGCCGAAAACGGCTCGAGGTATGGTTAAATAAATTCATTCGAGGACCCCCATGGTCCAACGTAAAAATCATCCAACCGTTGGTCATCGCCGTTTTACATCGTTTCGCGTGTACGTTGTAGATCTGTTGTGGACGGCGCCGGAATTGCTGAGACAGCCGAGTCTGCGGAAAAAGGGAACGCAACCGGGAGATGTTTACAGTTTCGGAATTATTATGCAAGAGGTGGTGGTTCGCGGAGAACCGTACTGCATGCTCGCATTGTCGCCGGAAGGTAAGCCGAACGACAAATAATTCTTCCTTGTTCGCCGGTCGCTCGAATAATCGGTGGCAACCAATTGTCAATTGATAATTGTTGACAGGCCGACGACGCGCGCGACCGGTGCTGCTAACTGCCGCGAGCTAGAATTTCTAATCGCGTCTGTAATCCCGTCCTTAGACATCATAGAGAAAGTGAAGAAACCGCCGCCTTTGATCAGACCCTCTGTGAGTAAAGGCGCCGCACCCCCCGAAGCGATAAACATCATGCGGCAATGTTGGGCGGAAAGCGCGGACCTGAGACCCGACTTCGACGACGTCCACGATCGTTTCAAGACACTCAACCATGGGCGGTAATGCGTGGCGAATGATTTTTCTGAATGGTTCCTGAATTATCTCTGAACTTTCTTTTTCTCTCTGAACTTATTCTCCGAGCTTATTTCGAACGAGTCGTTCTCGTCCGGTCACCGTGCACCTCTGATATTATTCGCTTGTTTTCTTCTATTCTCAGAAAGGTCAATTTCGTAGACACGATGTTCCAAATGCTGGAGAAGTATTCGAATAATCTGGAGGAACTGATACGAGAGCGGACGGAACAATTGGACATGGAGAAGAAGAAAACGGAACAATTGTTGAATCGAATGTTGCCAAGGTAGAGCAGAGAGAGAGTACAAAATGCTTTCCGCGCGGTAGACAACGGTTTCTAGAGAGGCGAAGAGGGTGAAGGGAGTAAATGGGGTAAAAGCTGGGCGAACGGGTAAAACGGAGTAAATGAATTAAATGGAAAGCCGTGTGCTGCGAGCAACCGGTAAGAGATCCGTTCCGACACCCGCATTTAAATCGACCCGTAATCCTTTCAGTTCGGTCGCGGAGAAACTGAAATTGGGAATGCCGGTCGATCCCGAGGAATTTCGCGAAGTGACTATTTATTTTTCGGACATTGTCGGCTTCACGAGCATTTCCGCGCACTCGACTCCGTTCCAAGTGGTCGACCTATTGAACGATCTGTATACCTGCTTCGACGCAACGATCAACGCGTACACCGTATACAAGGTGATGACCAATAACAGCCGGACAAACGAGAACAAGAGACACATACGTTACACTTGTATATTATGTATCCGCCGCTAATTATTTGGTTCTCGCGCTTCGACTCGAAACACGGTTCGACGTCACCCATTCAAACCCGTTCGTTGTAGGTAGAAACCATAGGGGACGCGTACATGGTCGTCGGCGGTTGCCCCGTAAGGATACCCGATCATGCCTCTCAGATAGCTACGATGGCCCTCGATTTGCTGCACCAGAGCGGAAAGTTCAAGTTGAGACACCTGCCGAAAACTCAGCTGAAGCTTCGTATCGGTCTTCATACTGGTTAAGTATAGCCCGATGCGGCCTCGTTTCTATCGCCCGCGGTCTCGTAAAATTTCAATCGACCCTTCCCACGTGTTGCATCCGTTCGTTCGCTCGTTTAACATTTAACCCATTGACTGCCGACTACGAGATACCTCGTAGCAAGCGTCTGTATCAAAACTGCCAGCTACGAGATATCTCGTGGTGGGTTGGCTGCAAGTTTAGATTGGCTACGAATGGCTGTTTAAGTTAGGAGCTATTAGGCAGGATGAATGAAAAATGTATACAGCGTAGAGAACGTATTGATTATCGAAAAAGATACTGAAAGATACTGTAAATGCCATCGCAATATTATATCGGTAACTTAATATTATTATATTTTGTAAATTTTATTAGAGGGGTTATATTATATTATATTTTGTATATTATTATATTTTGTAAAACTTTTGTAAAACTAAAACAAAACCGTGGCTGCCAGGGCAAGACGCGCTAAATTTGCGCGGCAGTCAACGGGTTAACGTTTCCTGAAATCACACACGGCTCGTCGTAATCAAACTGACTCGAACGAGATCTGTTGGCTACTTTATCGTGAACGCGTGCAGGTCCATGTTGCGCCGGCGTTGTTGGCCTGACGATGCCGAGGTACTGTCTTTTCGGCGACACGGTGAACACCGCGTCGAGAATGGAATCGACCGGAGCTCCGTGGCGCATACATTTAAGCGAGGAGACGAAGGACATACTGTCGCGGTGCGGCGGATACGACATCGAATATCGTGGACCGACCGAGGTGAAAGGCAAAGGAAAAATGCCCACGTACTGGTTGCTGGGAAAACAAGGCTTCGACAAGGAACTGCCGACACCGCCGCCGTTTGGGTAAGCCAAACCACGTCCTACGACGACTCGACCGAATCGCTCGGCCATAATTGCCCAACGAGTATCTCAAAAAATACATGAAAATACTTGGAAATGTCGACGATAATCAGGGGACCGACCAAATGAAATTTACATGTATCGAACGCGCGCGCGTTCAAACGCGCGATTGAAATACGATCGCTCTTTGCTCGTATTTACCGCAATTGCCGCGTTTACCGCATTTCTCGTTTGCCAGAAGCTACTCGACTCGTTTCACCGAACAACAATTCCAATCGTGTAATGAAAATGTAACATTTATTTACACGATATCCAATCACATCCGCCTATCGGTCATTCTCGATCCTATTTCTTTTTAACGCGCGTATCCAACGTTTCGGTCCCTCGAGTAGTCTCGAGGCCGTGAATCCGACACAGAAAACAAAAAACTACAACGACGTAGCAGTTGTGTGTCGCACCTACGCGTATATACTTTGTTTTTGGTAGTAGATCTTTATTCGAGGTGTTTGCTTTTCAGATTTTTAATGCTTTTATCTGTTGCCATACTGCCGCCACCTTCAGGGAAAACCATGGGTAAGTTTCTCGCTGAAAAATCGACGAACGCGTAGAATAATCGTAAAGTCGCCCCCCCCCCCCCCCCCCCCCCCCACCCAANTCAGATTTTTAATGCTTTTATCTGTTGCCATACTGCCGCCACCTTCAGGGAAAACCATGGGTAAGTTTCTCGCTGAAAAATCGACGAACGCGTAGAATAATCGTAAAGTCGCCCCCCCCCCCCCCCGACATTGTAACAAATCCCTCTGTATAATCATCCCTACATCCGTACGTACATGCGCGCCGTAGACGAGGCAACCGCTCGAAATTTTACTTCGCTTTTCTTCTCCGGCTCACGTTGCGCTTCCATTGAAATATAGAAATTTCTCATTTTCACGCGTTCGTCTTGTCAACCGCACAAGGTTGAACGAAAGTGCATCACCGGAGGATATTACGGAAAGAGAACCGGAAGCAGCGGCGGCGACGACAACGGTAGCGACGGTTGCGGTGACGACGACGGCGACGACGACACCGACCGAAACAACGACAACGACGGTGTCGACGACTACAACGGAATCCGCGCCGTCGATCGACAAGCTTCTCTCCCGCGAGGATGGTTCTTCGGCTCAAGACGATAAAGGAAGAAAGACGGAGGACGATCGCGTGGATACGGACGCGAAGATCGTCGCGACGCCGCAGCCACAGCTCGAGGATAACGTGGAGCCTGAAATCGCCGTGTCCGTGAACGATGAACAGATTTACGGTATCAAATCGTCTCCAAAAATGTCGGCAGATTTTACGAATATTTTATCGGGGAAACGCGTGATCAACGACAGAGAAAACGAACGCGTCAGTGCGAGTGGCGTAACGAAGATCGCCTCCGGAGATGGTCGAACGTCTCTCGGAGCGTCTACCGTGTACTCCGGCGAAACGGCTTTCTTAGGGGCGTCGACCAGTTCCCTTACATCGATCCCAGGCTCGGCCGCGAGCTCCTATAGACCGGGACCCGCCAGACACCGCAGAATAGCTGGCTATATAGACGAGAACGATTTGAGCACACCGTACAACCATTACAGATGTCTTTCTCCTAACGAACATTATGGTAAGACTCTTCCTATCTATCTCTGTCCATCTCTCTCTCTCTCTCTCTCTCTCTCTCTCTCTCTCTCTCTCTCTCTCTTTCTCTTATTATCTACAGTCATCAATTCAATCCTCCCTTTTGATTGTAGGAAGAACCGTAGCCGGCCGCTTCTTGAAAAGGCAATTCAGCTTGGACCGACCCGACGATACCGTTTGCATTGCCTTCACCGAACCGACTAATAATCAACAGCAGCAGCAGCAACAACAACAGCAGCAGCAGCAGCAGCAGAATTTAAAAGCAGCGCCCCGGCTTTACAAACAAAACAGCGCTGGCGCAGCCAACGATTTGGAACGCATCGAGGAAGTACCCTCGACGCCCACTCCACTTCTTCAACATTATAGGCAATCCGCGTCGGTTTCGCTCTCCGTGGAGTCGCTGACGCTTCGCTGAGCAAATTAACCTCGCGTTCCTTCGCTGGCCAAGCAACAAACACCCGCGTGGTTCGCTCATGTCCGCGCGAATCGGACGTGATCGCGTCGCGTGTCGTGCAACCATAGTCACGAAATCATAGCATATACACGTGTATGTGCGTATGATCGTGCGAACGATTCTCTACGTCGTGTTTAAGTGTTACATTCGTTAGGAAAGCATTACAGGGAAAAAAATGATGTTCGATCGATAAAGAACAAAAATGTACTATTTATTTTTCAGCGAGTCCGTTTTGCACCCGACACCGCGTTGCCGTTGACCGGCGACAGACGATTATAACGAATACGATTATCGCGTGAACCCGCGGATCGAACTCGCACCATCTACAATAGCGTTAAGAAGATTATTCACGCGGACGCGGACGCGAACGCGCGCTCAAGAAGCACATATTCATACACGGATACTCTCGTTATCGCGACTGACAATCTCTATTACGTACAAATGTTGACGCATACGGTATATTCCCATTTCTTTTCAACGTCGAACGAATAACCGAAATATCTACGGCTGGCTACGATTATGGTGGCTGCATACAATCTTCGGAGATAGCAAAAGTACAGTTCTTCGTGACACGAGAAAGCGGCGTGTGTAAAATGTCCGTTGAATCGGTGGCGTGCCATTGAAAGTCACGAATCGCTATTGCGCGCACGTATCACGATGAACAGAGAGAGAACTCGTCATTCTCATGATTTTCTTATCGTATGCGGCCAATCCAGAATTCAGAGGACCGCCACCGCGCGGCGAGCCACACGCTAAATTCAATCACTTCACTTACGGGACAACAAACTCGTAGCACTTTCCTTTTGTTATCGCAACTATTTGTTCGTTCCCAGACGTTAGCAAATCTTCGCTATCGCTTCCGAATCGTGGACAATAATTCGAAATTTTCAACCGTAGGAACCTAGATTGTCCGTTCGTTTATCGTGTCAGTATTACAACTAAAACAACTATGCGATTTTTTCGTATAATATATCTGTAACGTCTCGATACGAATATTAAGATGTTAAGACGCGCGCGTAAAGAAGAAGAAACAAAGTATGTGCGAATGTTTTATGCGGATACGCAATAATATGTGTGTTACATGTTCATGTAAGTGTGTATACTATTTATTATTCTATATATAGTATAGGATCAAAGAGAAAAAGAAGGCGGAGAGGTGGAACGGACAATATTTCGATCGACGAGAGAAAGAGAGTAGTCACCTGCGAGCGGTTTGAAAACAATTTTCAGAGTTTATCTTTTTGTATCTGTCGAATTAGCGCGCGCGCGTTTCGAATGTTGAATCCCAAACGTTGTCGAGCGACGAATAAGTAGTCCGAGGCTCGGCCACCGCCGAGCGAGAGACGCGCGCGAAACAAATCATGAGAAAGGAATTGTAATCGATAATAAAATGTAACTTGCATTACAAGCGATCGTCCGAATATTAATGGGAGTCGCTGTGCGTGTAAGGCAGCAGGGAAAATGGACGCAAGCTGATACAGGGAGAGACAGAAAGGCAGCAAAGGGGTGAACAAAATATTCGCTGACAACGCTCGCGAAGAATATTGAGATACTATTTTTTATTCGTTAACTATTTCGCGTTTACGTTATTTACAGTGTTCGCAGATTCCAGGTTGTCCTCGTAACGATTTCTATGGTTGCGGGGGTGGTGTCACCGGTTTTACCAGACGCTGCGATCGAAACAAACATCGCGTTATTATAATATATATATATAATATAACGTTATAATATATATATATATAATATATAATATAACGTTCGTCCGCGCGAATCATAATCGAGAAGAAGAATAATAAATCGTGGAAGAAGAGCGTTACCCGTACGAAGGAGACGGTTCGCTGAATACGGCTGGCACCGATTTAACGAACGGCGCCGGTCTTTCGATTATCCTTTCGACGAAAACGGGCTTCTCGACGTATTCGACGTATTTCACAGCCGACGGCGGAGGCGACAGATAGACGTGACGAACGCTCGGTGCGGTGTAATAACCAGCTTTGTACCTGAAAAGCAGCGTGTTCTCCAAATTACTCGAACGAACTTCGCTTAAGTTTCGATGCTGTGAACGATCTCGGTGGACCGATCGATGCGACAACGGTAGAAATACAGTGATTTCTCCCTAATTCGCGCTCAGATTTCGCCCAAAAATGGACGCAGGAAATTTGGGGAAGAAAATTTGGGAAAAGGAAATACGATTATTCGAGCCTTGTGAAAACAAACCTCGAGGCTCGAATAATAGTACCTGTTTTTCCCAAATTGTCCATTTTTGTGGACAATCTGAGCGCGAATTAGGGAGAAATTACTGTGCCGGTACGGTAAGACGAAACGTCCGATTTCCAAGCAGGCTCACCCTTTCGCGATTCCCAAACCGAAACCAAGGAGTCCCGCGCCGAGAAGCTTCTTCTTCAGTAGAATCGTCCTTTTCTGTCTAATCAAAGGCGCTCCCGCGCTTTCGCCTCCTAACTCTGTCAATCGCGCGTCCGGATGGTCCAAGGTCGACGAGTCATGGTCTTCGGCCAGCGAAACATCCGCGGCGATAGCGAATGATACGAGCGAACAGCACGCAATAGCAACAATCGCAACGTTGATTGGACGCATCTGTCGGGAGAAACGAATTCGATTACGATCTACGATCTACGATTACGATATCGCGATCGTCGATTTACCTTGCCCTTGTATCCGTTCCCAGAGTGGTTTTGACGTACGGAGAACGATGGTTCCTGGTGTGACGGCTTTTCAATAGACCCGTTCGATTTTATACAAAGTCGCCTGCCATTGAAGCGCGCCACCCTACCACCCCCTACCACCTTCTCCGACCGATCGTATTCGGGTTCCTTTGTATTCCTGGCCGAACGCCTGTCTTTACCGATCGATCGCTCGTGACAAATTTTCATGATCAAGAGCGACATTTATGATTTAGATCGTTCGGGCGCGCTCGCCGATTCGCCTCGTATTTTACAACAGCCGAGGAGAAGAGTCATCGGAAATCGATGCCCTTCGCGAGGGATGCTTGTTTCTTAAGCATTTCATCGATTTCTGGAAGCTTCGTGTCGCAATTATTACGCGCAATATCGGTCGAACGCGGCGGAAATTGATTACAGTAATGTCTTTCTAATTGACGCTCGGATTGTCCACGGAAATGGACAACTTGGGAAGAGGAGATACGATTGTTCGAGCGCATGCGGTTCGTTTTCACAGTTACGAATTGTCAAGAACTATAAAAAAAACGAGCTACAAGGCTCGAATAATCGTATCTCCTGTTCACAAATTGTCCATTTTTCTGCGCAATCTGAGCGTCAGTAAGGGAGACATTACTGTACTTGGAAGCGAGATATCGAGTTCTAACAGAGGACAACTTCGAGCGACGATAACTCCGCGAAAAATCACCTCGACACGATGACTCTTTTTTTAAATTAAAGCTCGAAACCTCTGCTTTCGGACAGCGTGCCTAAATTTTAAGTTCCACGCATCCTCGCCACTGTAACCCTTTAAATGCGAGGCCATGTTCGTCGCACGTCATACGTCGTATCGTCGAATTCGACGAATCGCACGGACTTTGGACAATTTTTCGCCGAGATGACGTTCGCGGCAGAACAAAGTTCGATCTTTCCCCTTTAATTTGATAAAAAAGGAACTCGGCTGCGATTTTTTCTCGCAAAGTTACAGCAGTTCATAGTAACCCTTGCGTGTTCTCCAATCTATGATACAAATTATCGACAAGCATAAAAACGAGCTGCTAGGCTCGGCTAATCGTATCTCCTGTTCCCAAATTGTCCATTTTTCTGCGCAATCCGAGCGTCAGTTAGGGAGACATTACTGTACATTTATTGTACGACGAAGTCGCTGCAAATTTTCCGATTATGCTCGATTGGAAAATCTCGTACAATTACAACGTACGAGCTCGCTTTATTAACGGTGCGATGTCAACATAATCGACGAGCGATGACGAAAGCGAATCGCATCGCTTGGCCTCGCTTCGCTTCGTCTCGTCGCGTCGTTTCGTGTCGCGAATAAGAATAAAAAAAAGTGCCGGAGAAACACAACGAGAACGAGATCGATGCCCACGTTCCAAACGAATGACGTTCGTTGCACTATGCAACGCCCTCGGCTATGTCTAGAATGAATGGACGCGCGCATTCCACGGATAAGTAAGTATGCAGGTAAGTACACGTGTATTTTATACGTAGGACATACGAACACGTGCGCACGTGTACGCCACAGGCATGGACGAATGTATGTTAAACAAACATCGAATTGCGACGAACGCGAACCTTCGCCGAACCTTCGACGTCGATTTACCTTCGTTCGCGGACGACTCGCGTTTCGACGAGTCATGCGAGTATGGTTGCGTCGACCGTGTACAATGTACATATTGAAAGTACGCATTAGCGAAAGCAAGAAAGAAACTCGTATGAAAATCCGATCGACCGACGGGTCGATCGTCGAGGAAGGAACGAGACGTCGCTGCTAATTCGAAAAATCATTCGCGTTCCGTAACAAGTTATCGTAATCAGGCCCGACCCGTTCCGTATTCCGCGAATACGGCGGAAATCCGTCTCGCGACATTTTTGACACTTTTGAAAATCCGATCGACCGACGGATCGATCGTCGAGGAAGGAACGAGACGCCGCAGCTAATTCGAGAAATCTTTCGCGTTCCGTAACGAGTTATTGTAATCAGGCCCGACTCATTCCGTATTCCGTGAATACGGCAGAAATCTGTCTCGCAACATTTTTGACTGTGTGACTTACCTTTCAACGACCCGCGTTGCCCAACACCAGTCGCGCGGTCCGGCTTGTTCGAGCAGAATTTTTACCGATGCCCCGGGTCTTCTGTCGAAACTGATCGCCACGCCGGTCATCGTGCGCGTCATCGGTGAAATTATTGGTGTACAAAGCCTATTTAAACGACGGCGGACCGGCCGATTTCTATTGGGAACTGTTAACGCGAGAACCAACATTGGTAAATAAGACGGTCGCTCGAAGGTGGGCGGAAGGAACGCGTGGAAGAAAAATTTCGACGGTCCGAAGCGTTCGATTCTTTCTCGAAAATGATCGTCTTTATTAAATAGGCTTTAAATCGACGCGTTCGACGACGTCGAACGAACGAATCCTCCGTCGACGTTCACCCTCGGGGTCCAACGAATTTCCTCGATCATCGACGCCATCTGCGACAAACGTGGAAACGAAAGTTTTAGTTTATTCGATTCTTATTAGAATTCTCTTATTCGCACGTTTGACACGTACCCGTAATGGTGATCCGAAAATTGGGTACTGTAACTACTTCCGTAGCTGCCTCCGTAACCGCCTCCGTAACCGCCTCCGTAACCGCCTCCGTAACTGAAAGAAAAAACCGGTTGATGATTAGATACCGTGCATTCTACGGTACGTTGACACGATCGAATAGTATACCGACTATTTAGCCTTGTACAAGCCCGCGCCGACGATCCCGGCGCCAATTCCGGCGCCGATCAAAGCTTTGGTCCCGACCGCCGCACCGCCCACTAAAAGGGCCTTCTTTCCAAGGAGGGCCGCTCCGCCGAGAAGCGCCAATTTACCCAACGGAGACCTCCTTTGGCGAACAAGCTGTCCTTTGATTGCGAAGTTTTCTCGCGGAACCGCGAGCTCGCCATTCTCGGGCGAAGTCGAGGACGCCGTGTGGCCGTAGACCGCCGACAGAGCCGCGATTACGAGGATCAGGAGAAACGCGGATCTCATCTTTCTGGAGCCGATGGATGCGCAACGAGGATGTTTAGATTATCGGCGACGTCGACGACGGATCAAGGAGACGGGGTAAAGGAGAATGGAAGAAGGAACGGAGACGCGAGGAAACGTTGAAACGTGGAGCACGAAGAGAAGACACTTACGCGGATAGAAGCGGTGCCAACAACGATCGCACACCGTCCGTTTCGCCTCGATGCGAAAGACTTTTATACACACGGAAGGTCCAGAGTACATCCCTTCCATGTTACGTCTGCTTCTGAGACGAAAACCGGAATTCGCGGATCCTCCTACTGTGCGGCTCGATCCAGCCTCTCGCGATCCTCGAGTCTCGTCTCGTCACGTCACGTCTCGTCACTCCGCGGCAATCGCTGTCTCTGCCACCCCTGAACGTTCCGCTTGTTCTTTCGAGCTACCCTTTGCACTCGAAGTTATTTTAACTGTAAATATAAAATCATTATTCTTACTTATAGTATTCTTATTTTATGCAGGGTGTCCCGAAAATGTCTCGCGATCCGAAAGTGGCGGGTTCCTCGGGTCGTTCGAAGCAACTTTTTCCTTTGCGAAAATGTTCTCCGAGGCACCGTTAACGAGTTATCAACGAAAAACCGTGACCAATGAGAGGCGAGCTCGGCTGGCGCGAGGCGACCGAGCCAATGAGCGGAACCGGGCTTCGCGCGCCGGTTGGCTGGGCCGCCTCGCGTCAGCCGTACTCGATTCTTATTGGTCACTGTTTATTCGTTGATAACTCGTTAACGGTGCCTCGGAGAACATTTTTGTAAAGGAAGAAGTTGCTTCGAATGACCCGAGAAACCCGCCATTTCCGGATTGCGAGACATTTTTGGGACACCCTGTACGATAAAATGCATTTTATGCATATGAAATTGCCTCTTGGGACTCGCACGACTGTTACGCACTTAAGAATTTTTTTAAATCTAAACTATGTTAATGTGTGAAAATTATCTTAAAACGTGACGTAACAAATTTTAGCGATGTCACTCGAGTGCAAAGGGTTAATCTCGTTCTTGATTCTTCGATGGATCATGGGAGCAGAAATAAACGCAGAAGCGGGAAAAGAGGAAGAGGAAGAGGAAGAAGGGACGAACGGATCGGGCTTCGACGTTCGCGTACTTTCACCAAACGATTTTTGTGGAAGGAACGTCCTTGAAGTCGTCCACGAGCCTCGAGCGTGCGACCTTAGGTTACACGCGCATAATTAACAGCGTTAATCTCCATAGATTCGACTCGGAGAAGAACTGCTCGTGTTTGGACTTGCCTAGAGACACTCGAGACGAAAGAATTTAGAAGAAGAACGGGCGCCATAAAACACGAAATCGCGACAGGGGAATCAAACGATGCGATGACGCGAGGACCAACGAGCGCGCAAGGTCGCAAGGTCGCAAGGCCGCGAAGCTGAGAGCGTGACGAAAGGACGACCAGATGGGAACGTGTCGAAGCCGCGATTGAAAATTGAAACCGGAAAAGATCGAAACAAGTTTGAATCGCCGAGGATCGAATCGCGTGCATGTGTGCACGCGTGCGTGTATGTGTGGTGCACGGTGTTCGCAGCCGTCACACTTCGGACCGGAGGAAAGATATATATGCGAATAACCATAAAATCGTATTCTCTCCTTTCCCGAATCGTTGATTTAATTAATTTTGAATCGCGAGATGCCGCCGAAACGAACGGGCAAACATCGACGAGCTAAGGCTAGGCCCACGGATACGGGAGATCTGAAACGGCAAGCGTTGGCGCGCGAAATGAAGATTTCTGCCACGAATCTGGAGAAATATCGGGCACGCTGGCAAGAAACGCTTACGCGAATAGAAATGCCGAACGTTAGGAGGAAGATCAAGATGGTTTGGTCGAGCTTGGAACATGCGTTTGATTTGCAGGATTACAGGTACAGTGATGTCTCCCTAACTGACGCTCAGATTGTCGACTAAAATCGAGAATTTCGGAAGAGGAAATACGATTATTCGAGCCTTGCGGCTCGTTTTTATAATTGTGGACGATTTAAAACTATAAATCGTATATAATAATAATCGTATCGCCTCTTCCCAAATTGTCCATTTCTGTGAACAATCCGAGCGTCAATTAGAGAGACATTACTGTATCGCGATTCGCGAAACGCGAACGAACGGATGTACGCGCGCGACAAATAAATTCGACGTCAATTTCGTCCAGTATCAGCTTACTGTTGGACGCTCTGCGGGAGACGGAGGATCAACGACGTAAAATGAACGGTGAACACGCGGACTTGATCGTTCGATCGTTCGACGGGCACCAACGACGTTTAAAAGCCGCCGAAGCGTTTTTCCAACGGCGCGTCGAGACGCTGTTCGCCGACAGAACCCGCGAATTTGACGAAATGCGTTCGAATCGAAACAAGAACGAGGCTAACATACGGAAAGTCAATCTCCTTGTCAATTATCGAATCGAGAGCAGGCTGAACGCTGTAAAGAGCACCGCCATGAGTAAGACACAGATACGCGCGCGCGTATGTGTTGCGTAAAAAAATGCTCGCACGTGGGCCACGCACCTACGTAAATATGTATATTTCTATGTACAACGGATAATAATGTTCGTCCGAAGGTAAAGTGAACGCTTTCATGGAAGATGGGAGAAACGAGAGACGATTGATTACCGCGCAACTTCAAAAGCAATTAGAGGACGTTTGGGACCAACTGGGAAGCATATTCTCGAATTATCGTAAAAGTTTGTCCCTCTACGTCTACATACGCATCTACAGTTATATCTATGCACAGTAATGTCTCCCTAACTGACGCTCAGGTTGTACACAAAAATTTATTTTATTGTAAATTATAATATTATATTTTATAATTTATAATATATAAATTATAATATTGTATTTTATAATTTATAATATATAAATTATAATATTATATTTTATAATTTATAATATATAAATTATAATATTGTATTTTATAATTTATAATATATAAATTATAATATTATATTTTATAATTTATAATATATAAATTATAATATTATATTTTATAATTTATAATATATAAATTATAATATTATATTTTTATAATTTATTCGAGCCTTGCGACTCGTTATTATAATTGTTGAAAATTCGTAATTATAAAAATTAACCGCAAGTCTCGAACAATCGTATCTCCTCTTCCCAAATCGTCCACTTCTGTGGACGATCTAGGCGTCAATTAGAGAGACATTACTGTATATCTATGCATTTGCATATAACTGCATCTGTGTCTATGTCTCGAATATCCAACTTGATATCCAATTAACAATATACCCGACAATGATATACGTGTCCCTGGACAGGTACGCAGGAGCGGCGCAGATCGTACGATATTATCGAAAGAAAGGACAAGTCGGATCGTCAAGCGATAATCGAGCAAGATTTGCGAATCGCGTGTCTTCTGGACGACATCGCCAAATTTCGTGGCAAGATACATTTGTACAAAAAGAATGTCGAGGACGAGACGCGCGACGCCCTCCAAGAGTCTCATCTTTTCCGCAACATCTATCGACAAGCAAACGCATGCGTAATTTTCGGTAAACTAAACGGATCCGATTGAAATATTGCCAGTAATTTTGTAGCCTATCGGTACACCAGGTCGTACAGAAGATAAACGAAGAGCGACGGTGATGTCCAGGGAGTACAATCGTAGCGTTAAACGGTTGAAAGCGTTGACGAGAAAAGCTGAGCGTGTCCTCGTGTACATAGAAATTTGTCGAAAATACGAAACTCGAGATGAAAAGATACTTCCGCCGATCGTTGGTTCTGCCGATAGCGACTCGTCGCCGGACATAGCGGCGACGTGGGACAGTTCTTCGCCGTTCGACGTGGTTCGATATTTTACAACGATACACCTTCGATTCGACGATGATTTTCTTGTATCCGCATCGATGGTTTTCCTCCTCTCTGTTTCGCATCGCTTCTCTTCCAGGTCACCCAAGACTTTGAAACACTGATTCGCTTCTGGCATCGCTTCGGGCTTGCTAAATTGGTCGCTGCTGAATTGAACAAGGAGCGAGATCTGTTAGCAAGGAAGGCTGTAGATCTGCGAGAAACTATGAAACTGTTGTTAGCGCGGACATTCTGTTCGACATCTGGTACTCGTCGAATATGCGAATGAGAAAACTGCTCAAACCAGAGAACCGCTGGTTTCATGGAAACTTGTAGTTTTGCAAAATTTGGAAATTTTTCTGAAAGTGTGCCATTAAAGCGTTCCATACACTTTAAATGCTTTAAGTACACGCGTTCTCCACTTCGGTGTACAGTAAATTCTATCCAATTGTCTCTCTCTCCTTCAGCTTGAAAACAAAAATGGACAATTTGCTAAGAGCATCGCGTTGCATTGAAAGACGATTAGGGTGAATTTACTGTACTCTTATACTCATCGATGGATCAACGCCTCGAGTACCGCATTTGCAGCAAATATTTCGGTAATTTCGCATATCGTGCAGCATAAAACGGCATAGGAGGACGAAAGGAGAGGAAAAAATGTTGTACGAGATATTAACAAGCGAGTTTTCTACAGTCATACTCAATGTTTTCTTATTATTCGCAGACCAATATTTTACCAGATGCGACACATATCGGCGCATCAATGATAGGTATGTATTATGGTTCTTCTTCTCTGTTACTCTACGAGTGTTTTTCACGATAAACTGTATTGTAGCTTCAAATGTTTACGTACACGCTCGTTATACCGATAATTCTATGTGCATAAAGAATATTTTTTTTCTCTCTAATAATCAACGGAAGAAATGACAGCACCTCGAGACAGTGCGCGTTCGGCGAAACTATATATCGCAAGAGCACACGTGCAACAACAGCGGGACAACACCACATACCACGCCATTGCAGCGAAAAGTTTTCATGCGTCAAATGTAAATAGAACGGATGTTGACGACATTGAAACTATAATAATTCGATGGACCGAAGAAGCGAACGGCAGCTTCGTCAAAGACCGTTCCCCGATCGAGCAACATCAGCCTTCGGGTGTTTCTCGTGTTTATTTTCAATAATTGAACGATTTGATCATGCTAGAGTAAAATTGTTCGATGCAATTGCTTTTATCGTAATTTATGTTTATGTGCTATACGCGATAGCATCTTATTGCCGGCGAGAAACGTTACGATTCCAAGGCCAAGCAGGTATCGAAGTGTAACGAACATGTTGAGTTGTAACCAAAATATTCCAAAAAGTACGAAAATACCTGAAAAAGATAGAGAACGATGTGTTAACCGTATGTCGGCTCGAATAGATTTCCAATGTTTTAAGCTTAAATTGTCGTGAACAATTGGGCTACAAATGCGACATTGATTATCGAATTTGCGAAAATTTCACGCTTTTTTTATGCCCAGCAGGTTGACAAATGGAATAGTAAAGTCGTAATTTGTCGAGTCAAATGGGCAAAATATATGAATATATATAGAGAGAGAAAAGCAAATATACTCACTTCCCAAGCCAAGATGGAATGTTATCGCGCTCAAAGAAAGTGGAAAATTCGATATGTTTACTCCGAGTTTTGCCCACAGAATGAAAAGCAATAATACTGGGGCCAAACACAGGCCTGTAAACAAATTGGAAACGAAAGCGGCTGGCCTTTTCTCGGGTTCGCGGAACATATGCTGAAACAAACGGGGTTACAGATTATTTCCAAGATTATATTTCCGCGACAGAAAATTATGGTGCTAGAGAGTTTGAGGAAGTGTCCATCGAACGTCAACATTTGATTTCAAACACGTTGTTTCAAAAATCTGGCAAATGTTGATTCGACGATATGCTTTTCCAATGTTATAGAAGTGGTAGAATATCAAAAGCATTGCTATCACTAACGAGCATTGGTTGTTACACGTAAATTATCATAGAAAAGGAAAACATTTTGCTACCTGTATCTCTGGTTTAGTCGCATAAATGTTCAATTTACGCTTGTACGATGCGGTTTTGTCTACGCGTTCGGTCGAGGTCGGTTCAGGAAACTTCAAGTTCACCGTTGCGACAGTCCACTGGAATGGATTCGCTAATATGGCGTCTCCAACGATCAACTCCACGTTATAATCGCCGCTTTGATGCTCGAAGTTCACGCCGGCAGAACCGACTGGCTAAAACATTTGGAAAATACATTGAATTGAACGAGCAAGCAAAAGTGAAGTAAAAAGAAAGCAGAAGGAATGTAAGTAGGAATCGCTACCATATCGAATTTGTAAAGCTGCGACGTATCTGGTTCAGCGACGAAGATGATTTCACGTCCCATCTTGCCTTTATCTTTCGACTCGGTTGCCGAAGAAAGCCGTACAAAGGCTTGATGTGCACGCATAGGCTTCTTACTGATACTGTCTTTCAGCAAAAATCGCATAACCAACTTTTGCTGGGAGTCAGCTTCTATCTTTTGGCTCAGCTTTTCCGGATAAGCTACGCTGCAATTTAGCACGAAGTGACGAATTTCAATTCTTGGTAGAACGTATTGAAGCCTGACGTTCTCTTCGATAGCACGGAATCGAATAAATAAACTCAATGGGACCCTAAATTACCGTGTGAGCTTTGGTTGAGTCGTCTGATCAGCGTCACCAGTTCCAATTTCCAAATGATCGACCAGCACTTTGCAAAGAACTTTTACAGTGACAGTGTTTGTCACTGAACCCGCTGTCACAGAGATTTTGTAGAATCCACGTTCCGGTTTCGCTTCCAAAAAGTTCATCGTGAACAATGTTCTAAGGTGCGGAAACAAAGATACCAATATTATCGAAATATTCGAATGCCTGAGCTTGGAAATAAAAAAAGACATTGTACGTCGGTTTCCGAAGCTTTCGCGAGACTGAGATTCGCGAAAAATCGATTGCCGATAATTACTTTACCCTAGTGTATAGCCGAGCCTGACAAGCATAAAATCAAGTCGGTAAAGTTATAGGGAAAATTAATAAAAGCTAGTCAATGCTCACTTATCCGTCGGCGAGGGTTGCAAACTCTGTTTGCTCAAAATTGCGGCATCGTCTCCAACTCGTGTTGCTGAATTTGCAATCACTTTAGACACTCCGGTAACCGGATTACCAAGAATGTCGCAAACTTTCACCGTGACCATAGGCTGATTGTCGGATATACTGACGCCTTCATTAGCTAACGTTACACAGATCGGTTTCTCGAAATCGTTGTTTGCTAAAGTTGTCAGCGCCGAAAGCAGATTCATCACGCCTCTCGGAGTTTGTACGGATCGACGGGACAAGAGATAATTAGCCATCTTAACGATTTGCTGAGACGTTAACGGTGGCTTTTTCTTCAGTGTTTGAGATAGTTTGAAAATACCGTTCACTAGAAAACCTGAGGAATAAATAAGGAATACCTGGCATTTATTCTTGCCATGATGTTATGTGATAGATTGTACGTGCAGTAGGAAAAAGTATTCGGACATTTTTAAAAACAGTACAACTTTTTTACAACTGAACTAAATGACCTAGATTTTTTGTAGATTTTAAACGAACTAGTTTACTCTACAATAACTCACGTGTTTCAACTTCAACATCTTCACAAAACCCATCTATAAAACCCATTCTTTACATTTTCGCTTCATGAATTTTTTATTTTGTATCATTCCAAGCAAAATAGGAAAATTAAAAGAAAACTATTTTAGTCATTCTACAGTAAACTAGTATCTTTAACATGTCTAAAAAATTCAAGTCGTTTAGTCCAGATTTAAGCAGGTGTTCAAATACTTTACCCACTGTACGTACACGGACAAAGTTTAACACGTTTAATCTGTTACTTACTGGTCACTGAAAGACCACCTTCAAACTGTAAATACTTTCCATCCACTTCGTCGGCTTGTACAATGGCATCTTCGATTCGGTCGGCAGCGAATGCACCGCTTGTTCCCAGATCCGACGCGACGTGGAAAGCATAGCCCAAGCTGTTTTCGTGAAACGTCCAATAAGCAAGCATTAGGATCTTAAACGTGTGATTTATTCAATTTATAATGAATTTATGTAACTTTGCAATAACAAAAGTTACTGCAAATCTGTGCTTCTGTATTTAAAATATTCAAGAAGACAATCTTACTTCCACAAATTGTCATCCTTGCGCAACGCATTTTGAACCGCTTTTGTAATCTTGTCCACTTTGTCGCGTGACAATTTCTCAGATAGCGCAGTCAATCCGTTTACCGCATAATATAATTCCAACATGCTAGAACCATCCTTCTCTATAACGCTCGAGAGTGTCTGTATACACAAAGAAATTTCTTGTAACTAATACAATCTCAATTAAATTCCAGTTTCCTCTAGGCTAAAGTTTTAATTCAGCAACATAAAATTGTCTTCACTATGAAAATGCAGTAGAACGAAAGTTTAGAAACATCATTATAATATATATATATATATATATTAATAAATAATTATCGTTTCAATCGCTGGTTTTATACCGTGACTAGAACAGGTACAGGAAGATTTTGACAGGTCCCAATTGCTTCTGAAGCAGATGCGACATAGAAGGCTTTTTCAGTGGTCACATTCTCCTCAGCCATTACTTTTTTTAAGCGTTCACAGATGTCCTAAAAACAGACGAGTTACATGTTAGGACGACGCAAAAAATTCTATTAAACATCTTGCCGATACGCATTTCAATCAGAAAGACTAATCAGAAGATCATGATATGTCAATAATTTGGAATATCTCATCAGGTACAGCTGCATTTAAGCAGAACTAAGAGAAGAATTGAAGAACCTATACGAAATCCTATAACCGTCAGAAAAGTTGATAAAATATCTTACCTGTTGATTCGGCAAAGTTTCTCCAAGAAATCTATACCCGTGAACAGTATAATACATAAAAGATGCATCATCGGATATTAAACCTGGTTCAAGGATTTTCTTCAAATGACTTTTATCAGCCATTGTTAAATAGGCATTTGTCGATTGCAACGTTTCGCTGGCTGACAAACATACTGCTACACGGGTAATCGCTATTAAGAATAGTAAAGCTGAAACAATATGAAATTTTGATTAGAAACTGGATTTCAATGAAAAGGAGAAATATCCAAATGTTTTCTATCGGTCATTAAAGGTCAAGACAGAAATTTGTGAGTATCAGTATTTTTTGTGCCAAGCATGCTGAGCACACATTAACGAATTAATCTTATTTCTCGAGATACTTACCGAAACGAAACATGTTAATTTTATTGACATCAAACAAAACGTGAATTGCAAGGCATATCGTTCAGATTGTGAGATAAATCGAACGGAACGAGTGTTTAGCCGAATCAAGAATGTGAATATACGTGCTGACACAGCTCGGACAGTTAATGTACAAATAATTGTTTCTGTACACGGTTAGAATGAGAAATTTCGAAAGAACGCGTGATCGAATGATACTTACGAATATTCATGGTAATTGGAATACCGGGCATGCCGGTTGCCACGTTGCTGTTCCGAACAAAATGGCTCTTCACCCATTGCGCGTGTACAGAAAAATGGACGATTCTTCGTTCCGGAAGTAGTTGGCAGTATGTAATACGTGTGTGTGTGCGTACTGCGACCGGTCTACTCGTATACGAAGGGAGCATGCGCAGACGGCACATCGTTGCATACAGTTTAGTAGATACAGTCGGATACAGTTCATCGAATACCTAACTTTCCGGACATACCCATAAAGATATGTAATCATATTTAATATATTTATTTGATACATTAAATTTTAATCTTTAACAGATCTCGCAAATGGCCCGATCTCCTCTCTCTCTCTCTCTCTCTCTCTCTCTCTCTCTCTCTCTCTCGATCATCTCCCGTTCTCTTTCTAAAGCAACTGCGCGAACATGGACGCGCAGTAGATAAAAAAGGTCTTTGAATTGCTGAAAGAAAAAGCTTCTGAATTGACTCATCTGAATATAGGCACAAGTCATTCAAACAGATCGCAGACTTGAATGGACTTACTGGCTTGAATGGGCTTTTACATAATTAGTTCTATATGTTATTCGTTGTTTGCGACCGTCCTTTGCTAGAAATGGCAAAAGTACAATGCCCAGCATTACGAATCATATGCAGCATGAACATATAACATATATATGGATGAGTTAGATCGACATCAGTAGGTCCTATTCAACCCTATTCCTGCATGGTTTTGGGCCTCAGCTTACTTAGTTGGCGAGGGTCCGAATAGAAATTGTTTCGCTCTGATTGGCTGGCGATTCACTGCTGAGACAGGATTCACTACGAAGTTCGACACGCAGTAAAATGGTGGAGGAACGAGCGCTTATTTAGGGAGGAAGAGAAACGTGCAGATATAGGATCTAAGTACAATACATGCATATATATATAAGTAAGTACCGTGTTCGATTAGAAATGGTATATATGTTAGTATAAGATAAATAAAATAGGAATATGTATTCTACTGTTTTGGATTTCTGTTCTCATTTTCTCGTACATTGGATTTCCACTGCCGCTGCTTATGCGTTATGCGCCTCTTCGTGAAAGAATGTGAAACATGCACGACCGAAAGAAAACTTCGGGAGCTGATTGTATGCCTAAAAAAAACAATAGAAAAAAATCATACTGGTACATAAACACGTGTCTCGTCTGCCTTCGTTTATAAGGTACAACGAATTTTCTGTTTTAATAATTGTCTTTAAAGAAGATGCTCGAAATGACCATATTGCATTTTAAGACAAGCCTGCACGCCGTCTTGTCATCGATCTGGTTACTCTCTCTCTATCATTTCTGGTGTTTCTCGAATTTCTCGGAATCTGCTCTATCTTCGATAAAAAAATATTTGATTTTATTTTTCTATTTTCAGAGAGTCTGCTACGTTCGTAAAATTCATTGTATTCATCACAAACGATGACAGACAGAACCTGCATATATTTATGATTTACGACCTTTTTTCATTGTTCTCTAGGCGTGTACCCCCAACACGCGCGCGCACGCACACACCATATATTGTATACTAAGTATGTATTATCGTATGTACATATACATGTACACGTGACGTATACTATAGGATACGTTGCGCAATAAATATCATTTCGGTGGGAATGTCCCCCTACAAGTTTTACAATGTTTAGTTACAATTCAGCAAGGAAACGTTTAGGGTCGGCTGATGAAATTGGGATTCTTTGAAACATCGTTTATGCGTCTATTGAAAGATTTCTTCTATTGACAATCAACAGAGAGAGGCTAGTGTTACACGATACTTCTAATTGGTTAATGAAACTTTTTACAGTCGCTTGGAATGTTAGTTAGCCTTGCTACACGTACAATATGAATTTCAAAATAACATACTGAAAACCATTTTTGATCAAAGTGACTTCCATATAATACAATGTAATCAACATTTCAGGTTGTCGGGCACGATGTAAAGATCGATGCGACGAATTTAAGTGTTACTGTTAATCGTTTCTGTAATTGAAAATAATAATGTTCGTAGTGCAACTGTAGAAGTGACGTTCGGTTATTAAAGGCAACGGTCGATACACATTCGGGCGACGACGAAGGCGTTATTACGATATTTCTAACAATAACGATAAAGATAATATGTAATAATAATAATAATAATAATAATAATAATAATAATAATAATAGAAACAACAACACCGATAATGCTGATAGTGATGCGATTACGTTTACAGTGATTCGCTAATATATGTAATGTATGCACGTATTTCGCTCACTATTCGAAAACTTGTACAAAAATGAAATTTTAATTACTTTTCTTTCGTATAAAACTGGTTCTAACACCGTGGTACGTCTACATTTGTATACATATATACAAATAGAGTGTTTCGGCGGTGATAGAGCAAAGATTTCGGTTTCGAATATATATATATATATATATATATAATATAATATAATATAATGTAATATAATATAATACGAATTGTTAGGGGAGAGTGGTTCTATCCTTCGAATGTCTTCTTAAAGTACGCGTCCTTTATTAAGTTTCTTTTTTTTTTTACTCGCACTCACTCGTACGCGTGTACGTACATAGCATGTTCCGAGTAAGTAGGATTCCTTGATACCTGCGACATAACGGTGGAGATTACCCAGTGCTACAAAGGTAGACGGGTGAGTTGGTCGACGGTAATCGATAATTATTCATTGCAAACACTTCCGATCATGCATCTCGCGAGGTCCACTCTCTTACGTATCCGTGTACAAGTAAGCAGATACAAACACTGATTTGCTTTATCGCCGAGATGGATAAAGCTTGAACGGGGGTTCGATGGAAGGAAAATCAAGCAGGAGGACATCGGAGTTTCGTTGGAGAAGAAGACAGCATAAAATGTACGATGCTACAGCACTAAGTGTGTACGTCCTACCTATGTACATACGCGCGTACATAGAAAATCGTGTGTTTTAACAATAATCATTGTAACGTGAACGTAAATGATCAGAGGACAATGAAATTTATTGTTTAGTTTCTCGTCGATCTGAAATCTCGTTTGAACCGAAGAAAGAAAATAAGAAAGAAAGAAAACGATCGTATATTGTCATAATAGTTGTAATGGCAGCAATTTGTGCCGGCTTGCGCGTCGATAACTCTATGATTCTTCGTGCTCCTTACACAAAACGTTGAAATGAATTTTACTGCACGAGGGTGGATAGCACATTGTATCGTAATTAACTTAGGGCTCGGGTACCGCTAAGAAGCAATGCAGCACACAGCGACGGTTCTATAGTCCCTGAAAATCGTTTCTAACCGGTTGACCAACAAATAAAAAAGAAATTATCGCTCGATTGAAATTGGTCGTTCTCAGATCCTTACACCTAATTTATATATATACATTGGCGGCCTGATCTCGCCCAAGGTGCACGCACCACCGTCTTATATAATCTTCTTCTTCTTCATCATCTTCGTTAGCCTTACGATTTCGTTTGAACAATATATTACAGAGTTTATACGATGAGGCTATGTACACGTAGCGCGGGTAGGCTCGACGTATAGTATCAAAAGCGTTCGTGTTTCCGCCGCTTATGTATTTACAAGTGACGTTCCTAAAGTCGTCGACAAAGTTCTTCCTCTTCCGACGCGTCGATCTAAACTTGCGGCATCGATAGGCAGCACACGCGCGAACTACCAGATTCGTTTGCCATCGTTTCTGGTAGAAAATGTTCCGAAACGACACCGTCTTATCGTTCGTTCGTTCATCGAATCCCGCTCGAAGGTATCCGCCATCGAACTTGTACGATTTTCCAGTGATCGATGAGAAACTGCGATCAGCAAAAACTTGGATGCTTCGTGAACAAGTTGACACGGTTAATTTAGCAAGCCACTCGTCAGCGCACACAGCGTGCTCGTAAATGTTCTCGAGAGTTCTTTCGCCGAAGGAAAAGTTCTTACGGAAAGTCCACGCGGCGAAACTAGTCGCCTGAGTCGGAAGGTCCTTGACCCCAGCGTGACTTAATTCTCGACGCTTTGGTCGAGCCGCAAGAAGAGGCGACACTGTCGTCGTTCATCTTTCTTTTCACGCTCAACACGATGCCACTTTTCGGAACGAACTTGGAACGGGACGGTGTCATCCTTGCGGCGTTCGATTCTACGCTCGGCGGCGTCGACGGGAACGGCGGGAAATCCTCGTCCTCGAGGCCGGGCGGTTTGGGCTGTTCCGGGGCCAAGTTGCGTTTGAAAGATTCCGGATAAGGGCTCTTGTACACGGTTGTATCGCGCGAAGGATCTCCGACCGGGGTCAAACCGGTCGAGAGACTCGTGGACAACGGCATCATCGACGAATTCGAGTTCCCTATCATCGTCGGAAGAGTCGAGGTCGCGGATAAAACCGGCTGCGCTGTGTGCTCGGCCGCCTGGCTTCCCGGTATCGTTGTGTTCGCGGTCGCGGTGACGGCCGCACTCGCAGACGCTGCGGCCGCGACAGCGGCTAATTCCTCCTCCGCTTTCTTGATCAGGTCCAAGTCGCTCAACGAGCTCAGGGTACTCTTGCTTTCTTTCTCCTTCGAGACGGACTCCTTATGGCTAATCGACTCGAGCGAAGGCTTGTTGTCGGTACTGGATTTATTGGATCCGCCGATCGAGATTTTCGTGGGCGACGCGGACGAATATTTCTCCGTGTTCTGATACACGGTCGAGTTTACGGTGGTCAAGAATGTGGCACTGGGTTTCGATGGTAAATACGGATCTACTTTGGTGCTCTCCTGTCGCTTCACGTTCGCTAGGATTTCTTGCAGATTCGGCGGTATCGTTATGTTTGATACTTTGTCGAGGATCGGCTGCGCAAACTTCGAGATAGGCGGCGGCGGCGGTGTGAACGATCTTGTATCCGGAGGGCTGTAAGCTTCCTCGCATTCGTCGCTAATCGGCGGATCCAGTCCTAAACCCTGCAACGAATATCAATAACCATTACTATTACTATTATTGTTGTTATTATAGTTACACGTTTAGAGCAGAACAATAGCAACATTTGCAACTAAATGCTAATACTCTCAGCTTATTGCCTTTTTACTAATCTTTCTCTTTTCCTGATATAATATACGTGTATGCACACGCACGTGTACGAAAAACGTATGCAGGCACACGGCTGTACAAACGAATTATACGCTTACGCGCGTACACCATACAAATGCCCTCTAATTATTTGCGTCTAAAAACAAAAATATATACACGCACACATATATGTATACATATACATGTCTCTACCTGTGTGTACTTATTTCAGAAGGAGAGGGTGGGGGATAGAGAGAGAGAGAGAGAGAGAGAGAGAGAGAAAGAAAGAGAGAGAGAGAGAGAGAGAGACAAAGATGTAGAGAGCGAACTATATGTATATAGCGCATTTGTAAGGATTTCAAAATGGCAAGGGCCCAAGAATCACTCATTTTCTGTAATCAATGGAACACGATGACAGTCTGAACGACGTTGATCAGGAAATCTTTCATCTTACCGTCAAGATAGACCTGTTCCGATATCATGTATAGTTTACCATTCCGATTCGACTCTGACTCGAGCAGATCGGTACATATAACGAAAAAGAGAATCCTCAAGACTGGAAAGGATTGGAGCTACTAAAAGATTTTTACTTATTGCCAAGGTCGACACGAGCTCGTGTTCCGACGAAAATATATATTGCCCCTTTGAAAAGTAACGAAATTTACGTACGAACAGCATAAACGATAACAGGGTAATAATGCAACGAAAGCTGTGTTTATTAAAGTAAACAAGAAACGGTAAACAAGAAACTGTTGTTTGGTGAATGAAGCAAGAATCTAAAGCAGCTCGAGGATAGGAACAGGATACCATAGGTAAATAGAAATCAATTTTATTTACAATAGGGCAATAGGAGAAACAATAACAATCGATTTCGTAAAAAATAAATCTTGTGAAAATTCTCACCGGCAAAGTAGACGTTGATTCACCGAGAAACGACGAGCTAATGCTTTGTATTTGTTGCTTCTGTTCTTCGATTTGTCGATTTAGCTCCTCCATTTTTCGCTGAAGTTCGTTCGAGTTTTTACTGGAAGAAATAATACCGTTATCGATCGCCGAGCCGTCGATGCCGATCATCGTTGCCACCGATTGAATCGACGGTAAGGCTGCGGCCGTTGTGCAAATCGTGGAAGTAGTTCGCAAATCGCGATCGGACTGCTCCTCGTCCATCTGACCAGGGCTGTAGGGTTCGTCGCCGTCGTCGTCGATGGGTACTTTGCCGGGCGAGGAAGTAAGGTCGATCTTGGACGAGAGTTCCGGAACGATCTTACATATGGTCGCGGTGTCGAGTATCGTGCTTCTCGGCATGCCTATGTGCGCCTTGTTCAAAGTATCGAGAGTGGTTTGCGTGACTGTGTGCTGTTGCTGCTGCTGCTGCGGTTGCTGCTTCTCTTTGGCGGAAGCGATCGTGGCCTTCTGATAAATGCTGCCGGCCGTTGCTACAATCGGGGAAGAGACCGCGGCGACAACCGTCGAGGTTGCTGTTGCCGTGATCGTGACCGTGCCCGCGATCATAGCACTCACGTTAGAACTAACTACTTTGTCCTTCGAAACGCTGACCAACGGCGGAGTGTAGCTTCTGTCAGAATCTTTTTTCGCCAGCTTGATCGGTATGGTCGACGAGGAAACGCCAACGAAACGCTTNGAGACAAAGATGTAGAGAGCGAACTATATGTATATAGCGCATTTGTAAGGATTTCAAAATGGCAAGGGCCCAAGAATCACTCATTTTCTGTAATCAATGGAACACGATGACAGTCTGAACGACGTTGATCAGGAAATCTTTCATCTTACCGTCAAGATAGACCTGTTCCGATATCATGTATAGTTTACCATTCCGATTCGACTCTGACTCGAGCAGATCGGTACATATAACGAAAAAGAGAATCCTCAAGACTGGAAAGGATTGGAGCTACTAAAAGATTTTTACTTATTGCCAAGGTCGACACGAGCTCGTGTTCCGACGAAAATATATATTGCCCCTTTGAAAAGTAACGAAATTTACGTACGAACAGCATAAACGATAACAGGGTAATAATGCAACGAAAGCTGTGTTTATTAAAGTAAACAAGAAACGGTAAACAAGAAACTGTTGTTTGGTGAATGAAGCAAGAATCTAAAGCAGCTCGAGGATAGGAACAGGATACCATAGGTAAATAGAAATCAATTTTATTTACAATAGGGCAATAGGAGAAACAATAACAATCGATTTCGTAAAAAATAAATCTTGTGAAAATTCTCACCGGCAAAGTAGACGTTGATTCACCGAGAAACGACGAGCTAATGCTTTGTATTTGTTGCTTCTGTTCTTCGATTTGTCGATTTAGCTCCTCCATTTTTCGCTGAAGTTCGTTCGAGTTTTTACTGGAAGAAATAATACCGTTATCGATCGCCGAGCCGTCGATGCCGATCATCGTTGCCACCGATTGAATCGACGGTAAGGCTGCGGCCGTTGTGCAAATCGTGGAAGTAGTTCGCAAATCGCGATCGGACTGCTCCTCGTCCATCTGACCAGGGCTGTAGGGTTCGTCGCCGTCGTCGTCGATGGGTACTTTGCCGGGCGAGGAAGTAAGGTCGATCTTGGACGAGAGTTCCGGAACGATCTTACATATGGTCGCGGTGTCGAGTATCGTGCTTCTCGGCATGCCTATGTGCGCCTTGTTCAAAGTATCGAGAGTGGTTTGCGTGACTGTGTGCTGTTGCTGCTGCTGCTGCGGTTGCTGCTTCTCTTTGGCGGAAGCGATCGTGGCCTTCTGATAAATGCTGCCGGCCGTTGCTACAATCGGGGAAGAGACCGCGGCGACAACCGTCGAGGTTGCTGTTGCCGTGATCGTGACCGTGCCCGCGATCATAGCACTCACGTTAGAACTAACTACTTTGTCCTTCGAAACGCTGACCAACGGCGGAGTGTAGCTTCTGTCAGAATCTTTTTTCGCCAGCTTGATCGGTATGGTCGACGAGGAAACGCCAACGAAACGCTTCCTTTTGTTGCGAACGATTATCCCCAGCAGAAGGTGCGGTCGATGCTCCTCGAAGCCGGGACCGTTCAACGGCAGCAGAACCTGCGGTATCGTGCTCTGACTCGAAAACGGCATTATATAAAAGTCTTTGATGTTTTTCGAGACATTGCCGACCACTCCGAGGCGACTTCTGCTGTTCAAGTAACTGTACAACGTTATGTAAGGAATCTTTTCTTCGTCGTTGGCAGCGGTAAGGCGAATTACCAGGATTTCTTTCGAACCAGTCTTCTTCATTTTCGAGATGTAGTCCCAGACGGTGTCGTGGCTTATTCTACCGACGACGTCGACCGTGTCCGGCAAGTCGTCCATCAAATCTTTCGCGTGACCGCTCACCTCTTGCGCGGTGATGAAGAATTTAGCGACGTCCACCATGTTCACGAAGCCTCTCCACACCGTTTGCCAACTACCCTTCGACGCGTCTCTGTCAACGGTGCTCGAGAGGGACTCTTGTTCTCGATCTCTGTCAACGTCCTCGTTGATGTCCGGAGTCTTTATCGTAACGGTCGACGTTGGCTCCCTGTCCGATACGTCGGAATCGTTCCCGTCTATGGTGTTGGTAGTGGCTTCGTCCTCTATGTGTCGCCACAAACGATCTTCGATGGATCTTTCGGTCGAAGATCCTCCGGCTAGACCGATCGAATCGTCTTTCTTCTCTGTGTCTCTCTTCTTCTCGTCCTCCCTTTTGTCGAGCTCCTTCGATTCGCAGTACACGAACCCGCCGGCAACGCTGCGGCTCTTCAAATTATTATCGCTGCCGCCGCCGACACCGCCGCCACCGATTCCACCACCGGCACCAGCACCGTCGCCAACCCCGACTCCGCTTCTATGCCGTTCTCGTTCTCCTCTCTCCTTCTCTTTGTCTTTTTGCTTACTTCGCTCCTTGCTCCCTTTCTCCCGGAGCTTAATTCTGTCGCGATCTCTGGTCCTCGATCGATCTCGATCACGGTCTTTTTCCTTCTCGCGGTCCCTTTCTTTCTCGCGTTTGCTCTCCTTCTCGCGCGACTTTCTCTCCCTACTTTTCTCCCTGGTCTTGCTACGCTCTCGGTCGTCTCTACCGTGTTTGTGCCTGCCGGTGCTCGTACTTCTCTCGCGTCTACCAACCGCCTTCGAACGACTGTTATCTCTCTCTCGGCTCCTTTCCTTATCCTTCACCTTGTCCTTCTCCCGACTCCTTTCCTTCTCTTTCTTCTTCTTCTCGTCGAAGAACTTCGATTTCTTGGCATCTTCCTTGATTCTCAGCCGCTCCTCCTCGTTTATTCTTTCCAGCTCCTTCTCCGGATCGTCCACCGTCGACGTTATGCTGTCCGCGCTATTCAACGCTGTCACGATATCTTGTACCGGAGTTTTCGGATCGACGTGATCGATACCGCCGTCATTCTCGATTATCTGTTCACCTTTGTGCGTTTTCACAACTATAGACTTCGCCTGCGCCATCAAATCCAGCTCGTTCTTCTTGATCATCTCTAACTGGTGCTTGGTCTCTTTTTCCCGCCATTCGGCCAACTCTTGGCTGGCCATTTCGTCGGGGCTTAGTCTTACCACCGCGTCAGGAGTTAACGATCTGTTGGCTATTTTACGAAATAACGTCAAATTTTTCGTGTCTTTTATATTGAATACGAGACTTCTGTATTTGGCTTTGTACTTGGCTCCGGTGTCTTTAAAATATTTGTACATCTCCAACTCGATGTTGAAAGCTAGATCGGCGATCTCGTCGTCGTTCAGTTTCAAATCCTCCGTTTCTTTTATACGGCTCGACAACAACTCTGTCAACGTTTTTCTTATGTTCAACCTTATCGGTTCGGTTTCCGGCTTCTTCGGCGGGGTCGGTTTTAGCTGTTGTTTCGATTGCACAACCGGTTGCTTCACCTCTTGCCTTTTCACGGGTTGAATCTGTTTAAGGGTCGGCACACTCTGCAGCTGCTTCACTTGAATCGGGGTGCTGGATTTGATGGTAGTCGTTTTCAACACGAACGGACTTTTGTTCGCCTGAGCGAGCACCGCTTGCTTCAATTGTATTGGCTTTGTGTTTGCCGTTTGAATGTGTTGTTGCTGTCCTGTAGAAATTACGGTGAACTTTTTATTCCCCGTTGTTATAATCATTTGCTTCGAACCTGGTACTTTGGTATACGTCATCTTCGGAAGATTTGGTCCCTTTCCGGTCGTTAACAACGTCGATTTACCCTTGAACGATATTTTTCATTAACGTGTCGTAGACGATGAATCGATAAACTATTTGATGTTATGGTATAGTACAGTATGATATAGTGTGATATAGTATAATGAACTGAATACGTACTGTTTTGCCAGGAATTTGCGTGTGAATTGTTGCAATCGCTTTTCCTATTTGCAACGGACCTAGATTATTTGCACCAACTACCTCGAACGTAGGATTTTCTTTCAACCATGTGCGCAAGTTTGATCTTGTTGGTGCGTCGATACCTGAAATGTTTATTCGTTCGTATCGAATTAATGCGATAGAAACTATGATGATTCAAATACGAGTCAAATTACGGAAACAACTGTATAGAGTGGTATGTCGAGGTGTATGACTTTTGAACGCTGTTCACTCACCGCTTAACACCTTTCCAGTTTTTCTTTCGAAAACTATGACCCTACTATCGGACTTCGACTTTGTGGAGATCTCGAGAGGCAACGGCCTTGTTATTCCCTTTGGGCTGATCGTTGACGCGGTCGACGATGGCTTGTCTTTGGTAAGAGTTTCTTGAGCGTGCGCGAGTATGCAAGCGTCGGAGCAATAAATACTAGAATTCCTTGCTTCTTTCTTGCAAACAACGCATTGCATACTGCTGCTGCTACTGCTGCTGTTACCAGAATATTGTACATCGCCGTAATCGGAACTGGAAGGGTTTGTGGGCGTGGTTTCTCCGCCAACCGATGCTTGGTTAGGTGCTGCAAGATTCTTTAAAGCGATCGGATTGTCCAACTGTACACGTTGCTTTCCAATCGTAGCTGGCCCTTTCGTTTTCGCGTCTTCGTCCTTCTTCTTTAAACAATTTGGACAAACCCATTCGATTCCTTTCTCTTCCATTTGTTGACCTAGATGAAACAAATAGAAATCCTCCCTTTACCAATTAATTCATAAAAGTTGCACGTTCGCTGGTTCGCTTCGTAATCTTACCCATAGCTTTGCTGACGTGCACGCACTTTCCATGAAACCAATCCTCGCACACGTCGCAACAGATCATAAAACGATTATTATGCGGTCGTTTGCATATACACCAAAGCCTGTCAGGATCGTCTTCCGAATCCGAATTATCCTCCTCCTCTTCCTCCTCCTCTTCGTCCTCTTCTTCCTCTGCCTCCTCCTCATCTTCCCCAACCGCTCCGATTTGCTTCTGTTCCTCATCTTCCTCCTCCTCCTCGTCACCGGCAAACTGATCCATTTCTTCCTCCTCAACCACTTCTTCATCGTCTTCCTCCATTAGATCTTCATTTTCAATTTCTTCATCTTGATCTATAACGTTCGTGGGTGTTTCGTTTTTCAGAATTTGCAATGATCTTTGCGGTACCGTTTGCAAACTGTAAATATTGCAAACGCATATATATGTATATATAAATATATATATACGCATGCACATGTACGTATGTATGTATATATACATGTTGAATAGAACTTCCTTAATCGATTCAATTATACAATTTCACTACGTATATAATACGAGTGTATATAATTCCACATCAATTTGATCAGAGATATTTGAACGCTCACCTGAACTTATCCGTAGATTTCATCGATTCCAACAACTTTTGAGCAGGCTCGACTTTAGCCTGCAACCGTTTGCTTCTAGTGGCTGGCGCCTCGATAGGTGGCAACGTGATTACTCGGCCACCACGAATAATTTGAATCGGCTCTTTTTCATCTTTCGCAGGTTTCTTTGCGGATTCTCGAGTTGCACTGACCACTGCTGCGGACACCGTAGCTGCCGTGGTACTCGCCAAGCTTGCCACCACCGCTGTCGTCAAAGTATCCAAAGGTTTCGCTGCTTCTTGATCGGACACGAGCACCGGTGGTACAAGCGTACTATTCAATGGTAACGATTCGGACGTTGTGCCTCCTCCTCCTCCTTGTTCGACGAGTGTAGTACCCTACCGTGTTGTTAAGGAGAGAAAAAAAGAATATCGAATAAAAATCACTCGCGACGATAAATAGAAATGTTTTGTATATGTGGATTGAAAAATCGAAAAATTCAAATACATGTTCGGTCAAATCGACTCCGAGTTCTTCTTGCAGCATCAACGCTTCCGCGAGCAATTCCTCTTCGTGTTTATTGGCCTCCATTTCTAATGTAGCTAGTAAATGTTCCTCGCCGTCCATGCTACCTGATATACGTTAAAAAAAATCGATGAGTACAAGGTGAGTGACTAGTTTAGCAAAATTTTCGAAAGAACGTTGCTTCGAAATATCAACCTGTATCCAAAGGAGGCTGAATCTCTTCCGATCCGTTAGTCTTTGGATCAGGTTTCGCCTCGTCTTCGTTGCTTTCTATCGGAGTATCGTCATTTTCTCGTTTTTCCGTGGATGGATGAGATTCTAACTGCGTTATCTGCTCAATTGGCGTAGAGACTGCGACACCTTTTGTCGTGATATCGTATGAACAATTAAAATCTACAATATAGACCCAAGAATATGTTTACAGTTATCTAATGGCGTAAATACGGGGCGAACCTGTACGAGTGGACGTGGGCGACGAAGAGGACGACGACGACGATGCCGGAGTTGTTGACGCGACTGAATTCGCATTGCCTGTGGTGGTAGTGCTTGTAACCGGTGTTACCGAAATCAACGATGTTACAATGTTCTCTTGAATTTTCACATCACCGTTCGAACCGACTCGACGAATAATGTCAGGAGTCGAGAAAAGCGCAGGGCCTAGACTGTCCACCATGTATGCCGGAGATTTGCGGCTTTCCTTCTTTGGATGTTTCTTCGTACCTAAAATGAAATCTTCAATCATACATATTGAATTATAGGGATACAGATCATAGGTAAGTAGTCACAGATACTATCTGTCCTCATTGACTAACCATCTAAAATCTTGATCTCTGTGGCTTTTCCAGGTTCGATCTCGGGTTTGCTGATCATTTCGAAGCTATCGGATTTCCTTTTCTCCTTTTTCACGTCGCAAGACTTCACTTTCGAAATGCTAGCAGGGGTAGATACTTTTACCGACTGCTGTTGTTGCGTATGCAATGTTTGATTCTGGTTCACGATCATCTGCTGGGTAGAAGAAACTTGCGGCACCGTACCCTTGATCTGAGTAACCGGTATAGTCGATGTTACGGTTTTACCGGGCATAGGCACTTGAACCAATTTTCCATCTTTAGTTGCAAAAATCTTAGTTCCCGTTTGACTGACAAATTTACCCTTGGGAAATATCAGTTGCTTCTTTGGTTCCACGCTCTTCATATCATTCGACTTGACAAGCACTTGTTTCTGCACGAAAGTGACTTTCTGATTGTTCTTTCCCTGACCCGGTTTTGTAAGAATCATATCGCCTTTAATCATATTGGCACTGATCAAATTGGCTTTCACTTGATTCGTAGTTTGTAACGGTTTCTCGAATGAAGGCGAGGTATTCTCATTCACTGTCACTGTAGACGATTCGACGCGTTGCGTATCTTCTTTCTTCCTTCCGATAGTAGTTTTAAATTGTCTTTTACCACGAACAAGACTGAAACCTGACGAACAAAGAGACGAAGCCCGAATGTACGGAAAAAATTTCAATTTCTGATCGAATCATACCGGATAATTGTGCTGTTATCTTACCAGATCTTTCTTCTTTCTCCGGGCTCTTCATAGCGTTTACCGCTGCAGCCATTTCCATATCCAACCTACGGACCTGTTCCATATCCATTTGTTTGTTGGTACCTCTTCTACGAGTAGCTGCCATACTTCCGCCTCTGGTAGTAAGTCCCTTTCTACCTCCTCTAGCTCTTATACCGCCTCTTCTGGGACCCCGAGGTCCAAAGTCGGAGTCGTTGTCCGATGGAGGTTCTGATTCGGATGATTCAATGGATGACGATGTCGGTTCTTCTTCCTCTTCGTCGTTCAGCCTCCCCTGTTCTGATAAGTCAAACAAGTTTATCCACAGTTAGTATCATAAGTTTATGGTATATTGTAGTAATGTAACGTGTTTGCAGTAATGTTGCTATTCATTAATGGTGAACATATCAAATAATTACGTCTTCCGAGTCCCTGATGCAATGTCCCTGTTAAACTTCTAGTCGACGAATGTCCAATCGACTTGGGTGTACTTGTTATACTGGGAGACGGTCTTGAATTGTTGCATGTTGCAACCGAAGTCGGTGGAACGTTCTTCCGTGGACGACCAACGGGTTTAGTCTGAGAAAGAAATCATCACGATAGATCGTCATTATCGTTATAACATTAGCCTATGCCCAAATCACACAGCGTACTCACAGTTTTTGTAATTGTTTTTGTTTTTGCTATCGCTGTCGTTGTTGCTGCACCATCTCCATCGCCAACAGACGGTAATGCACTCGATGTTCCCTGATTAGGAGAAAGCTGATGTTCATATTGTAAACTGTCGCTAGGCGTTGGCGAATCGGTAGTAGGTAAAGGATCTCGTGGTTTTGGATCGGAAGGCGACAATCTACTTGTATAACAATGATCCAATTCGACGCTATAACGTATTGAGTTTTGCTGTTCCTCTACGGTTAGCATGTCTATAAAGTATAATATCATTGTATGAGATAAATACCAATCCGCTGCTAGGAAGGCAGCTCGAATTCTAATTAATTTTTCATAAACTACACGTGGATAGGAAGGAACACAAGAATAATGTTTACCGAGCATCGCTGTGACATTCTCTCCAAGAATTTGTTTCGCTTCTTCGCTCTGTAGAGCTGTTTCTAGTCTTTCCAGTTGCTCTGGATCCATTTCCATGAAAGGATCGACCAAGCTAGTGGCATCGGTGGTAGTACCCCCTGAATTTACATTAGCAGTAACGAAAGGTGGCGGATCTACGGTTAGAGTTATATCTCCGTTTTCTGTATCGGTCTCGGCTTGTCCAAGTCTAACCACGCTAACATTAGCATTGGACTGATTCGCTGGAAATAAATGCAACTGTATAGTATTTAGAATTGTTGAAAACACAATTGGTAGAGAAATTAAACTTACTAATCAAGCTTTGCAACGTCTCCTGATCGACTGATATCGTACCATCGTCGTTGACAACAATGATCAAAGTATCGTCCTTTTTTTCTGATCCACTTTCCTGTGGCTCAACGACGTACGAACTGGACATTGTTCTTAAGCTAAACAAATATGATAGAACATACTTTTAAAAGAGAATATCACGAAAAGCAGTCGGAATCCACATCTAAATTCAAAATCAATTACGTCTGGAAGGAGAAAATATTAGAAATTTCCTCGAGAGGGGAAATAATGTCTCAACGAATCGTACCGATGTAGCAAAAAGTATGGAAAATATTCACGATAAATGACAGTTATAAATCTAGTTGTGTGAAAAATATGGCTATCACACGATAGAAACCAATTGGAATTGTACACATGGAATATCCTTCAAGAAACAGGTTGGAATCCTAGCAATTGATAGAGCGACGAAACGGAAAAACGTGTTGCATGGAATAGTGTAGTTCACGTTTATTGCAGTATTACCTATTGTGTGGGTATTGGATCGTGAAGACCTTAACGACCGCAAACACTAAGCGATTGGTTAAAGATGCATGGTTACGTTTACGTTGGTCGATAGTAGGGTGATTAAGTACACAACACTTCTCGCGTAGCACACTTTGTGAGAAACATAATGATCACGGTCAAGTAAACAGTACCGCCAAGAAGAGAAAAGTCGCCATTTTGTTTGACTCAGCCAAGTAATGTTTCCCGAAAGTTTTCGCTCACCCGTCGTTGTTTCCGTTGTTAGAAAGCTACTCGTACGGAATTCTATTCTAATAAAACTTGTTCCGCGGTATCTTCACGAAAACAACGTATATTGTAGGAGAGGTACAATTTTCTTTAAGGATTCATCATGTAACGAATGCACTTGCCCCTTTGTGCACACACTGAGACGCTGCGCGAACTCGTTGCGCAACAACAAGAAGAACAAGCAAAGCTCTGGCAAAGCGATAGCGCTGCAACGCGCTAAACGCTGAGACCGCCAAGTCCGCTGAGACCGCCTGAGTCTGCTGATACCTTATCACCGAGGCCTGAGACCGAATCGACTGAACGTACATGTAGCGATAACTTCGACTCCTGCACGTTTTGTATTCCTCTCTAAGCAAGCGCTCGTATCCCCACCATTTTACTGCACGTCCAATCTGCAACGAGTCCTGTTTTGCATCGAATCGTCGACCAATCAAAGCAAAGGAATATTTGTCCAGCATTTTCGACTGCTTGGCAAGTTGCGGCCCAAAGTCGCGCAGCAGTTGGAACCAGTTGTGCGTACATAAATGCGGTAATGCCTCAGGTGTTGCACGATTTTTCTAACTCCTTTAGCTTTCACAAGCATCCCCGCCATTTAACTGCGCATCCAATTCGCAACATACCTTGTCTCAGCGGTGAATCGTCAACCTATCAAAGCAAAGCAATTTCCACTTCTACCCTCGCTGACGGAGCACGCCGCGGCCGGAATCTTGCGAAACTTGAGATATTACTGTATGTACATATATTTTGTACGTTGACTTGTGTCGTTACAACTTGTAACCGACTACAAATGTCGTTAAAAATGAATGAAAATCATGAACAACTATTGAAAATTATACAAAGTTACGTACAATTCGTGTCAATACTTCATTGTGTACACACTTGTATATATATATATGGTAACTAATTCTTGTTACGGTAACATTTGTATTAATATTTATCAGTGGATTAAGCACGCCTGATAATTTCGGTGTTTTTTATCAATAGTTCTCACCGAATGTATTTAACAAGTGTATACATACATGTAACGTTCGATAACGAGTTAATTAATTACAATGCGAGAGAGGCGCGATGAGGTGATTGCATGTGTACAATATGTAAATAGCGACTTTCATACGTACATATGTACATATAGTATATACACATGTGCGTACGTATTTATATATATTCATTATATATTATATATTTATATTATATTATATATATAATATAATATAATATATTATATTTTATTTATTACTTATTTACATATACCGATATTTGTATATGCAGATGTTGAGAATTGATTACGTTTCGGTCGTAGTATATAGTATGGTATTTATAACTAAATTGGAGCAAATTGGAAGCAAAATGTGCAAAGTAGAGAATATAGAATGCGAAACATAAGCGTAAGCACACATTGTGTACGTCATGTATGGAGCGAGTATACCTGAGAGTACATCGTGTGCGCAGCGTTCCTGGCAGAGCATGCGAAAGATACGACGATACGAGTACAATTTTTAAGCTGAAACATATAGATAATATTTTGAATGGGAAACAAAAATAGCTGACAAAAGTCGAGCAGAAATGGAAAATCTTGAAAATGTAGATGTTACAGACAGTGAAGATGTAATGAAACCAACAGTTCGAAAAAGAGGAATCGTATACTTATCCAGCATACCAAAATACATGAACATCACGAAAATTCGAGAAATTTTCTCCGAGTACGGTCAGGTTGGAAGAGTATACTTACAATTGGCAGAGAATGGTTAGTAATTTTGATCAAACAAGATACTTTAAGACACATTTCAATTCGTACGAAACATAACATAACCTAACCTAACCTTCGCTATACGTTGGTTTATTATTGTTTCTTATCAAATATTTTCAGTCGCTGTAGCAAGCGTAACGGTTTTTGTTTTTTATTACAGACTTCGATCAGAATGGTAAGATAAAGAAACGTAAGAAAGTTTGTGCAAAATCCTTCACCGAAGGTTGGATCGAATTTGAAAGGAAAAAGGTTGCCAAACATGTTGCGACGTTGTTAAACAATAAGCAAATTTCAACTAGAAAAAGGAGCAAATTTTACGATGTTATTTGGAATATAAAATACTTGCCGAGGTAATCGAAGATTGCATCATAAAATTACGATCTATCAGATTTTGGAGATAGTTTGACAAAATTTTGGTACTTTTTGTTCGTCAGATTCAAATGGGTTCACCTGAGCGAACGTTTGGCATACGAGCGGGCAGTAAGAAAACAGAGGCTACGAACAGAGATAGCGCAAGCCAAACGAGAAGCCAATTTCTTCTCTCAGAATGTCGATATAAGCAAGAAGTTACGTAGGAAACAGCAACAAGGCGAAAGCAGTACGTTCGTGCCGCCCACGATCAAACAAAGGGAGACGGACGCTGAAATTAGGAGTAGAAAAGAAAATGAAACAACGACAGACAGAACCGACTTTTTGAAATCTTTGTTCGGATAACGAATCACGATGTTTGTTTACCGTTTTATTCTGTGATACAATCCCGTTATTTCTTTTTACACAATAGATTACGAAATAAAGTATATTATACTTGTAGAAAAGAATCCTCGACGCTTGTACTGCTTTACATTCGAAGGACAACAGAAGGGGCTACCATTTTTGGCAACTTGATTTCTCGCGAGTGATCCGAGAACGTGTATATCGGAGGTACGGTTTGCTCTTGAAACGTGTAGAAATTACTTCGGCGGCGATGAATCACATGTTCGAGCGAAGAAACGGAGATCTAAAATTCCACGTTTCCGCGATGATTTCGTCGCGTTGCGTTAGATTTTCCAGCGCTTTTGGATCTGAAATCGATAGAAGTATCAGGCAAAATCGGTCTGTACAATAAGAACGATCATGTGGAAACATTTTAAGGAAACTGAGATCATACCTGTTGTTCGCAAATAATGGTCCAATGGTCCTTTGAAAATATTGGTCGGTATGGCCATGGACAGTCGAGGATAGGCGGTCTCGTCACTCGAGGAAACTGTATTACAAACGATCATGCCTAGCATCTCAAGGCTGGCCGGTCGAACAATAGGTCCTCCGCTGACTCCGCTTTGGGCATAACAATTTGTCTGCAGCATGTACCGCGACGATTTCGATATAATTCCATTGCTGATAGTGGCCTTAGCCGTCGAACAAAATGGAAATCCTATGGACAGTATCGGCTCGCCTGTGAAAATGAATTTCCCCGATTACTACAGAGAAGAGCGCTATACTGGTAGGGCTAAATAAAGGAGGAGAGGAGAAGCGTAATTCGTTGGGGTAGTCGTAGACCGTGGATCACCACAGGGAGGAGATCGGTTTCACGGTTCCCGACGTTCGATTCGCGACAGCACGTATTTGCTTGTTCGGAACGTGCAATAGAGAGTCCTCTTGATTCAGTTAGCATTCTCCTTCCTAATTTATAGTTGCGGACAATAGGGGCTGATTAGGAGCTCGATTGAAAAGAGTAGTCGAAAAGACGAGGCGAGGAAACGCGAGTGGAAAAGAGTCCGAAGGGGGGGGGGGGGAGTACACGAACGGTCACAGGGGATGACGGAGGGTCGTGTGTCGCCCCGTTCGCGACATTCAACACCGACGAAACGTCGATTCCACCCCGGCGGCGATCAATTGGCCCAATTTAGACTCGGGTTATTTTTCCTACTGTCCACGAAAGAAGGTCAGTGCTGTCCCTTGCAACGTCGGGCGCCTCGAAGTCGCCTCACACACGTCGATCTCCCTGTAACTCTTAATTCTTATTGTCATTACCGTTAACCAACCGGAATAACCTCCAGCGGTGTAGGTGCGTTACAAAAGAGGATTAGAAGCTCCTGTCTTTCTATAGAGAACCGAACGGGGTAACCCGTTAATTCGAACGATTACCACGATAGGCCGAGGAGCGACTCGTTTTTTTCCATCGTCTGACGAAAATATGAATTTTGCCTCGTTCGTGGCCCGTCGTGCGTGTTAAAGTTAACGTGCCTCGTCATTACGAATGAACGAAAGAAACGAGAGAAACCAACGCGAGCGCGCGAGAACGAGAATGAAATCATTGCCGCGCACCTCTCTCGCTCTCGCTCTTTCTCCCTCTCGCTCTCCCTCCTCTCTTCGCCACCGTAGCCCCTCCCTCTCACCGTTCATGACTGGTCTGTCCGCTAGTTTGATCGCTTTCATCGAAGTCTCCTTGCACTTGAGGTCCATCTTCAATACAGCGATATCGTAGGGTTTATTATCCGGTGTTTTATAGATCAACTTTGCTTCGGCTGTCCATTCGGATTTATTACGTCGCGATGCGATATGCGACGCGAGTTCGATCCTCGTCTCCGGTGCCTGGACATATGCGGCGAAAGAATGTTTTGCCAGCTTCCTAACGTTTTAGGGGTTAGGATCGACGCGCCGGACAAATAATACGTAAGCGTTAACGCTATGCCGTCCGCAGATCTCGGATACGATTCTTTTGTTAATAATAATAGCTTGGAGATTTTAGATTTAAAAAAAGAATTTCGAAGATGGCGGCAATATAAATTCCTAAAATTAAGATAAGTGATCCATTGAATTTTCGTACTTGATTCTTAAAGTTAAATAAGCGCAATGCTGTAGTCCGTTTGCTGGCTTTTAACACACAAGAAATATAGTTCAAATGTTATTTCAGATTTTTTTTTTAAATGGCACCAGCGTGGTGCCACCGGACGGCATAGCGTTAACGAACGTGAAACGAGGAACGGAGAGGAACGTATCGATGACTTTCCAGGAAACCATCGATACGGAATAAATGCATACTCTTGCGACAACGTGCGCGCACGTGATGAACGTTCCCGTTCGATCGTCCAGTAAAATGCCAGTACCCCAATTCGGCCCGCATCTTACAATTGCGATGCTTCGTTCGAGGATACCTAACGAACAGGGGGGAAACAATATATACATAATATATATATAATAATATATACAGGGTGTCCCAGGTTTTAATATTCAAACTTTGTTAGTGTATTCTGTGGCACAAAGTAAGAAAAATTGTTATGTAAACATAGGTCATATAGAGTTTTATTAAGAAGTTATAACAAAAATTCGGAATAGAGGAATAGTAATTGCATTAGAATAGTGAAGCATTAATCAGCACATGCCGTGTGTTTATGTAAGCTGTGTTCGTTAATACATTTCGAAATGTATTAATAACCGTTGTTGACAATACATGATTGACATCGATCGAAGATTTTTTTTTATTTTTTATTTTCTTTTTTAGTTGATTACTATTCCTATTCTGAATTTTTGTTATAACTTCTTAATAAAGCTCTATATATACTTTGTGCCATAGAATATACTGACAAAGTTTGAACATTAAAATCTGGGACACCTTGTATATTAGGTTGGGGAATAAGTTCGTAGCGTTTTTATATTTTCTTTTATTTCACAACAATTTTTTACTGTTTCACAAAACATATAATATTCATTCGATAGAGCTCTTTCTGCTCTACAAAACTGTGCTAATCGTCTTTTCGAGTAATTAATTTTTTTATTACTTTCGAGGCTTAGAAATGGAATATCCAGGAGGTAAAAAGCAACATTTTCGACACCTTCTCTTCTTCGCTTTTCATCGAGGCCAAGAAGCTGCTGAAAGCAGTCCGGGACATTCGCAAGAGGACACGGAGAAGTTCAAAAATTGCGATTTCGACGTCGACGACACGCCCCGCAGAGCGGAAGACGCTTCTGAATTCGACGAAGATCATCTCGAAGCACTTTTAAAGAAGGACGGTCACCGAACAAGTCGTGAATTGGCCGAAAAAATGAACTGCGATCATACAAACGATCCTCGATCATTTTCGTTCAATGGGATTGTGCCGAAAAATTGAGGGGCCTGGGTGCCTCTCGCGAGCGCAACGGAAACAACGAAGAAGATCGCCTTCGAATCGCTTTGATAAAAACGCTACGAACTTATTCCCCGAGCCAATATTTTTTTGTTCAACGAATCAAATATTGGCTACCGTATCGTACGCGTGTCGTACCGTAACCGTAACTGTAACCGTGAGCCATAACCGTAGCCGTAACCGTAACCGTAACCGTAACCATAATTGTAATGGTAACCGTATCGTTACGTGTCACCCGATCGCGCGTGATCGGCGAACGAACAACGGGAAAACACTTGGAAATCGTTTACGTACCGATTTTGTCGTTACGATCGGTTCCCCGAGCGGATAGAAGAACAGGGGAGGAGATCGAGCCTCGAACGAGCAGCTCGTTCAACGATGCTTGCAAATTAATCGCGAACGTGTAGTCGATCCGTTCTCCGCGACACCAACACGACGATGCGATCACCATGCCGCAGACGGTTTTGCGAGCGCTTTGGTCGCAAATATGGCGGAATATCGTGGGAAGAACGAGGAAAAGATTAAACCCGGTGAAACCGGCGAATCGGAGAATATAAACGGACTCGGGATCGGCTTACCGATTATCGAACGAGTACACGGGAGCGCCTTGGCATCCCGGGAAAACGGCCGCGTCTATCAGCATCAGGCACTCTTTCTTCCCGAGTAAATTACCAACGATTCCACGGGCCACCGTGTTCGAGAAGAACGGATTGCCGAAAGGCGTCGAGAAGATCTCGACCGTCGACCCCTTCGCTGGTGCGCCGATCGCCGATTCTTTCGCCAGTCCGAGCAAAATGTCTCCGATCTCTCCTTCGTCCTCCTGTGCTGTTTCTCCCCGACGTCTGCGTCCGGTGAACCCGTTGTCGGATGATTCGCATAATAGTTGGTCGCCCGTTCTTAACGAGGGTGTCGGCGAACTGCGCGCGATCAGCAACAAGACCGGCAAGAAGGCGCGGTCGAATTTCTCGCCGGTTCGAAAACTCCAATTTGTCGACAGACTCTTCATGGTGTCGCTCAAAAGCGCGCACTTCCATAGAGCGAACGGTTTTCCTTCCCAATGCTCCGTCGACGAATCGTGATCGCGGCGTATCAGAAACGTCACGTCGCCGAAAAGTTGCCCGTACGGCTCGAGCAACGTTAGCTCTCCGGGACTCGATGCGTCGACGAAATCGAGAATCTGCCGGGACCGTTCCGCGCTTCTCGACAACACGGAACCGTGAGCGAGCACCCAACGTTTCGCGATCGGAATACCGGAATAGCCGTGCGAGAAGATCGTCTCGTCGGTCGTCGTCGCGGCTCGTTCCGATATGAAAACGCTGCCTGCTGCATCCATTCTTGAACCGTTGGATCTCCTGAGGAACAATTGACAGAATCAGACGAAACGCGCACCGATCGACGGCGGATCGGAAATACATTCGCGGGAATACCAGCGCGATCCTTTCACGATCGTTTCGCACGTTGCGCCGGCGACGTCGAAATTCCAACGAATTTTCAGGAGATCGATCGACCCGGTATAGTAATGTCTCCCTTTTTGAGATGCAAAAGAGTGAAGATACCATTTGCTAGAATTTCAATTTCAATTTTTCCGAGCTATGTCAAGGTTGTGTCAGGGTTAAATCAAAGTTACGTCAGGATTACAGTTTGGTAAAAGGAGTCGAGTTGCAAAAGGTTTGGGAACACTGTTCCTTGTCGGTTGTCCACGTTTGCTCTTCCCAATTTCAACACAGACACATAATAAAAGTAACGAAACACGAAATAGCGACACGTGCACTCTCGAGGCACAGTTTTTCCGCGTGCCGCCACGTGTATCTGAAAATTGTCGTCGATGATCAACCGCCGTTTCTTTTTTCGTTCGACGCCCACATTTCCGCGCGTCTTTCCTTGGTCAGTTTCGAATGCGTTGATCGCGATATTATACATGATCGCACGAGATCGCCTGTATCTCGGCGGAACGACTGAAAGGATCCACGATTGGGAAGGAGGAGCGGAAGAGCGGAATCGGACACTCGAGGCGGAAACGTAAGGGTAAATGAAACGAGGGAAAAAGGGACAGAGACCAAGATTAAAGGGAAGAGACGAAAAGGGAGAAGAAGAGAGGGCGAGGATGAGAGGAAAAGAGAGAGAAAAAGCGCGGGATAAGGGAGAGCTACAGGTACAGGTACAGGTACAGGTACGGGTACAAGTACAGGTACAAGTACAGGTACAGGTACGGGGAAAGGGAAAGGGGAGAAAAGGAGAAAAGGTCGACGATGAACGGTACGTCAGCCAGTCGTTATCCGCAAAGAAGAAGATTGCAGACTCTATTTCTGTGTGTTCGCAATTAGGTGGGAAGCTGATGGCACCGTGCGAGAAAGGCGAAGGCGACTCGAACCAGAGAGAGAGAGAGAGAGAGAGAGAGAGAGAGAGAGAGAGAGAGAGACCGGAGGGGCAGCAATAACACGGCGATTCTCCTCCGGGCGGCTCGAAGGGGTGGCGCAGAAAGGGGTTCTCCCTGAAAGAGAAGGACGCACACGCATCGAACACCCGCCGCGAGGTGTATATTAGACGCGGAACGCCGCGACGCCCGGATCAGAAGGATTCTGTTCGTGGTACCGTTGCTGCTGTACAAGGGAGAGAACATCAAAGGTACGATCTTTCCTTCCGAGTTGCCGAGACGCATAGTCGGCCCTCCCGGGATTTTCGCTAGGTTCGATCTCCGGTTTCGACCTTCGGTCCTCCCGGGACCGGGAGTTTCGACCGCTTCGAAATCGGTTTTCGCCGTCGCCGCCCGGTAGAACGAACCGTCGGTCGCCCATCATTGTCTTTGAGGTCCCGGATTCGTCCTCGGTGTTCAGTGTCGAGTGTCGAGTGTGTCGAGAGTGTCGAGTGTCGCGCGCTCGAGGGTCGAGTGTCGCGTGTCGCGTGTCGCGTGCGTGACTAGAGAATCAAGCGCGGAGGAGACGAAGCCCGCCGAATCCGGGCGGCGCGGGGCAACCGCGCGTAGATTCATTCAGAGCTTTCCACGTCGTTCCCACTTTCGCCCAAAAGCTTGACTCCTTTTTTAGGAAATTTCGTCTCTTTTCGTCCGATTTTATTCCGAATGTTTTTCCCTCGAAATTGAAATTCGACCAGCTGCGTCGCGTTCGGCCAGCCATCGCGTTGCGGCTTTTATCGGTTCGAGCAGCGTGCTCTCGCGACAGAGAGGGAGACATCTCTACCTACCGCCGTCGATCCGCACCGCATCGGTGCGGCTGCTTGCACGTGGTACGTTCAAATTTTCGAACCGACCGCAAGCATCGATACGCGCGCGGACCCGCCTCGCTCGGCTCGCTCTACAGTTAGGGAGCTCTCTTCGACTAAAGTCGATTCCACCGTTCGGGAGTACGCGTTCTATTTCGAAGCCGGCCGCGTCGTCGTCAACGAATCGGAAAGTTACCGACTACACGCCGAGCAAATCAACGATTTTACGCGCCGGCACGCTGTCCGTGCGAACTACAGGTGTCCGCACGTCTGCCTTCCTACTTCTCTTCGAAGCAGATAAGGGAGACAAAACGCGTGACAATAATTAAGATCGAGATTTTGTCGAATAGTTTGTCGTTCGATGGAACGCGTCTGTCTCCGTTCTCCGTCTCGAAATATTCGTTCGGTTCTCTCTTACCTTCGGTTCTCCGCGAAGCGCGCCGATACGGAGCGCATTTTCGATCTTGACCCAATGACGAAGGCCGCGCCGCCGTTAACAATGACAATCGCGAGGGCTGCGCGTAATTCTATCGAGAGTCCGACGAAGTACGCGTGCACGCGCACGTAATGGCGGATGGGAGCCGAAAAGCTTGCGCGAGAAAAAGCGAAAAAAATATCTCGCGGGAAACGAAAAAACGGAGTACAGTAATGTCTCCCTTACCGACGCTCGGATTGTCCACTAAAATGGATAATTTGGGAAGTGGAGATACGATTGTTCGAACCTTGAGACTCGTTTTTATAGTTGTTGATAATCGATAACCATAAAAAAAATGAGCAACGAGGCTCGAACGATCGTATCTTCTCTGCCAAAAATTGTCCATTTTTGTGGACAATCCGAGCGTCGATTAGAGAGACATCGCTGTATCGCTTCCTAATCAAAAATTAATGACGCACAGATTGCGCAGAAAAATGGACAATTTGGGAAGAGGAGATGCGATTATTCGAGCCTTGCGCTTTATTTTTATAGTTATAAATCGTCCACAATTATAAGAACCAGCCGCAAGGCTCGAATAATCGTATCTCCTCTTCCCAAATTGTCCATTTTTATACAAAATCCGTGCGTCGGTAAGGGAGACATTACTGTACTTATCGCTTACAGTAATGTCTCCCTTACTGACGCTCGGATCGTCCACAAAAATGGACAATTTGGGAAGAGGAGATACGATTATTCGAGCCTGTCTCTTATACACATCTAGATGTGTATAAGAGACAGTTACTGTACTTATCGCTTACAGTAATGTCTCCCTTACTGACGCTCGGATCGTCCACAAAAATGGACAATTTGGGAAAAGAGGAGTCACGATGATCCCAGCCTTGCGGCTCGTTTTTACAATTGTTGACAACTTATAACTATAAAAACAAACCGAAAAGCTCGAGTAATCGTATCTCCTCCTTCCAAATTGTCCATTTTTGTGGACAATCCGAGCGTCAATTAGAGAGACATTATTACGCAAGAAGCATACGATATTTCTGCCTGTTGCGAAAATACGGCCGAGATCGAAGGAATCGAACGCGACGCGTCGACGTAGATATTTTTTGCGAGACAGTCACACGGATGAAGGAAACGATAGACCTAACGATCGCCCGACCGACCGACCGACCGATCGACCGAACACCGATCCAGAAAGCTATTCTGGGAATTTACTACGGAACTCGAAGGCGAGCTACTTTCCGCTTTCAGAGAAGTTGTCGGGTTATTTATAGTATTCTACCCGCGATACGTTCGTCTGAAAAGGACATTTTCTCTTTTCTCTTATTAAATCTCCTTCGCGCGCGCGCGGTGCCTCGCTTCCTCTTCCTTCTTCGCCTTCTCCTCTTTGGTACAATTCAGCGTCGCCGACGCTCGCGATCGCGATCGGCAATCTTCGATTTAACTTTTCTCCTTACGGAAGCCTCTGGAAGCAGGAATAATACTTTAATATAATAATACTTTAATTCCTGCGAAAAAACGGTGTTCGAATCGGAAACGCGGTTGGTCCGATTTTATTTAGAAAAGTCGCAGCAGACTCGCGGCTCGACGAAATTGCTGCATCGATATTCGCGGTTTCTGATCGGTCGAATCGAGATGCATGGCAAGAAACGATTTGTTTCGCTCGTTGGCTCGACGCGCATATGATTTAATGCACGAGAAAATGCGCGTGCGGAGGTATATCGGAAAGGGCGACGCGGGAGGGTGGGAGAGAAGTAGGTATCGGGTAGAGGGGAGGGTGTAGCAATGAACGGTTGCGCGCAAGAGGAACCTAGGCCTGATCGTAGTCGTTTCGAGTGGCCGCTTGACTCGTACAGGAGGGTCTTTTAACCGTCCATTCCGCGTTAAGTGGCAGTCGTACCTACGGAGGGGCTCGGTCGTAACAGAAAAGGATGGCGAGCCGTGTGCGTGCTTTACAGCCCTACACTGACCAGTCCGAGTCAGTATTCACCGCGATTGGTCTCTACTCTGTTGTCGATGCTTTGCTATTCCCGTCTTAAGTCGAAACTAATCGAGCCCGGCGGTGCTGTCGCGTGTTTCCACTGACGACGATCCGTTATTTTCGTCTCGGTCGGGCCGAGCGTCTCTCGCTCTCGTCGCGGTTGTGCCCGCGGGCGGCCTTTGTATCTTTCCTTTTCTCCTTCGTCGAATCGCTTTCGGCTTTCACCGACGAATGCTCCACGAAAACGACGGAACAATGTCGTAACACTATCAGCGCCGGAGACGACGGACGGTGTTTTGAACGTTCTTCTCGACCAGCTAAATCGGATCGGGAACGGCCGATATACAGTAATAAAAAAAAGTGTGTATATATATATACCGTGTCGAGATGCAAACGCGTGTGCAAGCCTGTGCTCGTTCCTCGTGCGATATACAATAAGGACGCGGAAGAAAGTTTGATAAATGTACGAGTCGACACGTTTCGCGAGAATTAGAGTCTGAACGACGCGGTTACAAAATATTTAAGCGAGGAGAAGAAGAGCCGGACCGCCGTGGAACGCGAGGTTGAAAAAGAAACGATCAAAGAAAGCGTTAAGAAGATAATCGTTGTGCATAAGAAGAGCCGCCGCGGTACGAGGGAAGCATAGGAGGAGAAAAGGAACACGGGAGAGAGAGAGAGAGAGAGAGAGAGAAAGAGAGAGAGAGCAGGAAAGCGAAAGAGAGAGAGAGAGAGAAGGGGAAGGAGTAAAATATCTACGTGTACGCGCGTAGATCGGTGAAACCGGAGGGAAATTCGCGCGCGCGAGATTCGACGATTCTGCCGCCTAGGAGAACAGCCGAGCGGCCGATGTTCGTTCGGTTCGAGCGCGTGAGAAAATTGGTTGGAGCGTATGCAGTGGCTGGCACGGATACAGACATTAAACCTATCAACTCTGTTCGCTGTTGACAGCCGGCGCGGAGTTTGCTGTTATGCAATCGAAATGCTGGCAAAATTCGGTGAAAGAATAGCGGCACGTTTAACGTTGGAAAACGACGAGAGGCGATAGACGCGCGGTGGAACGAGCCGACGAAAGAGTATATAATTCTTAACGCGCGAATAGACGACACTGGACGGAGCCGGACGAAGTTGGCAGTAACAGGATCGAGTTGCGTCGCGCGTACAAACCGAGCTCTGTGTCTCGGTTGTACCAGATTCGAGTGCGGTCGATCTCGTGAATTGTTCCACGTCGAAAAAAAATAGTGCCCGATATCTTGACGAATTTATAAGGAGATAATGTTATCTTGAGCATTCGAGGAGCACCATCGAAATCGGTGGGACTGATTCGGCTCGGGCACGGTGTTCGTCGAGGGAGATGAAGCTGCCGTCGGCGCTCACGATCTACCATGGGGGACAACGACCGTCGTCGTGTTACGAGAAGTCGTGTCAGCTTTGCGATTCGCTACGTGAGTTTCGACAGTGAATGCTGCTCCCGCGAGTAACTGACCCGACCAACAAACCGTGTCGGAAACACGCCGGAAACGTTTCTGCCGAAACGCCGTCCGATCGAATGCTCGAAGCATCGGGACGACGCGATCCTAACCTATCCGGTTCTATCCGGTTCTATCCGATTCGTTTCCGATCGACCGGCGTTATCGACGGTTTTCCTTTTAATCGTCGGAATTTTATAGAAATCGAGGAAACGTTTCCCTTCGAAGACATTTCGAAGGATATTCGAAACGCTCGAAAGTCTTTCGTAACGTTCGATCGGGTCGTTTCCTCGCTTACAATGTAGAATGTAAAAATTGCTTCGACTCGTACAAGTTGCACGCGATCGTATTAATTCGATTCAAATTGTGTAACACGCGCTTGGATATACAGGGTGTCTCTCGAGAATGTCTCGTAATACGGAAATGGAGGGTTCCTGAAGTGATTCGAAGCAACTTTCTCCTTAGCGAAAATACAAACCGCGGCTTCGTTCACGAGTTATCGACGATAATCGGTGACCAATGAGAGGCGGGATCTGCCGGCGCGAGACGGCCGAGCCAACGAGCGGAACCGAGCTTCGCGCACTCGTTGGCTCGGCCGCCTCGCGTCAGCAGAGCTCACCTCTCATTGGCCACCGTCTTTTCGCTGATAACTCGTAAACGAAGCCGCGGATCGCATTTTCGCAAAGGAAAAAGTTGCTTCGAATCACCTCAGCAATCATCCTCTCCCAGATTGCGAGATATATTCGGGACACCTTGTATAAATCTGAATCGCAAGAATCGAATAATCGTATCTCCTCTCCCTAAATTATCGATTTTTCTGGACAATCCGAGCGTCGATTAGAGAGATATTACTGTACAATGAGCGGAGTTGGGCTTCGCGCGCTCGTTGACCGGTCCGCCTCGCGTCAGCAGAGCTCGCTTCTTATTGGTCGGCGTTTTTTCATCGATAACTCGTGAACGAAGCCGCGGTTTGCATTCTCGCTAAGAAAAAAGTTACTTCGAATAACCCAAGGAATCCACCATTTCCTTATGCGATTACTTTCGACCAATCCGCTTCGCGTAGGGCGCAGGCAATTGGAAAACAATATCCGTTTGGAAGACTGACGCAACAATCATTGTTACGTATTCTATATATTATATAATATATTCTAAAATAATAATATAATAATATAATGATATATTCTATATTATAAATCGGTGAACCTTCTTTCCGCGTACTTTGTTTATTCGACTAGGTTTGTTCGCCGATTCTGCTTGCCGTGTGAAAATATTTTCTCGATTTTCTTTCTTTGTTTTTTTCTTTTTTTATTTGTCGATCGACGGTCAACCGTGAAACACGCGTTCTTCGCGACGCGTAAGAAAAACAAGAGGAGCGAAATGAAAAGAAAATAAAAGAAAAGAAGAGAAGAGAAGAGAAGAGAAAGATAGCTTCGGACCAAGTTCGAGTAAGAGGTTCAATGTCGCAATCAACGCAGCTGCGCCGCCGGTTGATGCAACTGTAACGCGAGTTTACGCGAGTTTACGCGAGTTTACGCGCATTGCCGCAAGGCACTTGCTACAATTAGAACGGCTCGGTGTTCCATGAACTGGCTGCAGGCGACGCATTCGCCTGAGTATTTGGGAAAATCCAGAGCGCCTCGTATAATTGCTCGTTGCTTTGTCACGCTCGCGTGGATCACGAACGTGTAAATCCAACGCGTAAATTCCAAATCTCGCGTTTCCGGTCGCGAGTTTCCTTAACCCCTTAACGCACAGTTTTTTGAAAAAGGCCGGCCAAAAAAAATAAATTTTTTTAAATGTAGAAAAACACAATCTGGAACATTGTCTTGGCAAGAAAATTACAAAAATACAAAAATAATCAAAATTTGTATTGCCATTTTGTATTTTGATAACATTGCAGAAAATAGTCGAATATCGTAATATTACACGCACATCGACCTTTTTTTATCTTTCTTTTCGAATTCCCATTTCAGAATAAACATTATTATCGGTAAAAATATTTATTTATACTTTTAAAACATAAATAATAACAATACTAGTATTTATCATATTTATTACTATATTTATATATATTATTATTTATATTTTATTTTACATTATATTTTAGTAAAATATATATTGAAAAATGAGCGAATCAGAATCTGAATATGAATACGCTGTCGGAAAGCGGCTCGCAAGGAAGTGATAAGTCGTAAGTGATAAGCAGAAAAAGGATATATTTTATACTTGAATAAGTAAGTGTTATAGCTTACAATCCCACATGTAAATGATAAATATCAATAAAACGATTGTTTTTTTTTGCTTTCAATTGTTATTTTCAATTCTCGATCGCATTCGAGTGTGAAAAATTATAGCAACATAAAGTACAACGCCGCTCGAATTATCTCGAGCGTGCACAGTTTGGCAAGTTTAGCGCGCTCGAGTTAACTCGAGCGTGCACGTTAAGGGGTTAAACGTCCATCACGACGCATCGGCGATTATCGAATCGGGAATCAATCGCGAGAGAGAGCAAAGAGATAAGAGAACAAGGACGCGTGGAAATAGGAGAGTCGAAAAGCATAGAGGAGTATAAATAAGAAGAAAGACGGAGAGGAGGGAGGAATACAACGTGGCGAGCTAATAAATCGTGCGTTCGAACGAGAGAAGGCGCGGCGGTGTTAAATATCCGAGAGACGGATATCTCGAGGGAACCGAAAGTGGAAGCAAACGTGGAGGTGGCAACGACGAAGGTGGCGGATAACGCGTCGGGGGAGTTTACCGGAACGCGGGATTCTGATTGGTCAGTGACTCGGCCATATTACGCGCGAATACGGGCGGCTACGCGATACAGTTAAAGGCGAATCCAAAGGCGTATGCCGACACCATCTATTTGCAACAACTATATGTATAGTTCCGCGAGCGACTTAGAAACCGCGCGCGCGCGTTCTTGGAAAAAGTGGGGAAGGGGTGAATCTGAACAGAGCCTGTGAAAGAGAGAGCGGCCGAGCTATGCGTATATGTAAGAAGAGATTATGAAAGTTTGATGGAAGATAAGATATGTCCGTCTCTCTTGGTATACGGATTCACTGACCGGCGACGCTTACTCGCGCGCGTACTCGCGCGAGTAATATCGGACAAAGAGACTAGAGGCTAGAGACGGAAGCGAAGAGAGAGAAAGAGAGAGAGAGAGAGAGAGCGAAAAAATCTTCGGCCGTGTTTTGAAAAAATCCGATCGGGTCGTTCGGATCGTCGCGTTCGATTCGGCTATGCGCGCGTCCCGATCGCGTTCGATCGCGAGAGGAGAGGGCGGAGGGAGGAAGACGGGGGACAGGGTCGGAAATAGAGACAGGGCCACAGGGACGCGAAACGAGCCGAGCCGGGAGACGCGTCGCGACGGGACGGGGACGCGACGCGAGCCGGCCCGACGACGCAACGATCTCGACGGTCCCGACGCCCGACGGTCTTGGAACTGTAAAGGGGTGGGTGGTCGAGGAGGCGGGCGGGCATTCTGCCGCGCGCGCGCCTTTCTCGAGATCGCGATACCACAGTTCCGCGGTGGTACTTGTCTCGCGTGTTTCCTTCCGCGACGTTTCAGCTACTCCTGCGAAACAGGACAGATGCGAATCGGCGCGCGTCCCACCGAGAACACGAGGAGCTAACCGAAACATGGTTGTCGCTTTAAATCGTCGCCCGGAGAGCAGCAACATCGCAGAAGACGTGTTGTCGCGCCCGAAATTGTGAACGCTTTTGTTGCTCGGTGACATCTTCTTCGAACAAGTTTCTTCTACAAGCTTGCTAGTGAGTAGTTTAGGGAACCTCGGGATATCGACGGGAGGACGCCGTTTCGTTCCCCGGAGACCAACGAGCGCGCGCGCGGACATTTCGTCGGCTCTCGCTGTCTTTTCGCGAGTCGAAACCGAGAAGGTGTCGAGTGGAATTGAAAGGAATATCGAGGAGATCGGGAGGAATTGGGAGAGAGAGAGAGCGGAAGGGAAAGGAAAGGGGTAGAAGAGAAGAAAGGCAAAAAGGGGGCGGGTGGGAGGGTGGACAGACGGCGCGGGCAGGGCGCGTGGTAGGGTGTCGGGCAGCCAGGAACCAAACGAGAGCAACCGTAGCGAAGGAAAGGAAAGGAGAAAAAGGAGAAAGAGGAGATAAGGAGAAAAGGAAGAAGGAATTCGGAGAAACGAGCGTGAAACTGCCCTGCCGCCGCCGGGGAAATTTCCGTGAAAAGAACGTTTGTGGTTCGTGATCGTGGAAGGAGGAAAGACATGTGAAACGCGCCGCGTACCTCTATTTCGAGCGTAAAACGAAAGGTGAGAGAGAGAGAGAGAGAGAGAGAGAGAGAAAGGAGTATCCCGATACAGGGAAAGCGAAAGAAAAAGAAAGCGAAGCCGAGTGTGTGTTGGGAGAACGGGTCGATAGAAGCAGAGTGAAAAAGAACGTGAGAAAAGACGAGGCAAGAGGAGCTATTAAATGTAAGTCTGTCTGTCATTCATTCCATCGTTTACGCGTACATATTATTTCCAAACGAAACCGTACGTATTTTGCAAACGGTATGAAAAAAAAATAATTACACCGTTTCTCGCGGCTTCCCGCGATTTCGTCGCGAGATTCTTCTTCGCGAGATCGTTTTACGCGAGCCGTGCGTACGTCGAATTTCCGGAAGTACCGAGAACGACTCTCTGCGCTCTCGAATCGAGCATAAAAACGGGTTAGTCGGAATCGCGACTCGATCTTATTCGTCGAATTTCCGGAAATTTCCGAAAATCTAGTCTCGCGCGCTAAATCGCGAGCATCGCGTAAAGGATGTATCATCATTGTCATCATCATCATCGAGAGAGAGAAACACGAGAATCTTCGACGGTCGTCGTCGTCTCCTCGCGAGCGTGTGTAGCTGGTTCGGGCGATTTTAAGTCGAGGCAAAATCGAACATAGTAACGCTGAATTCGACCATCGGCTGTCCGAAGAAGGTTAACGAGAGCCGGCCGAGAGAGAGA